TACTACACACAATGTTATAACAAGTGATACATAGTTTTTACAATTTTTTCAAATCCCATTTTAATATTTTGAATAACAAACTATAGGTACTAGAGTTTAACTGGGTCAGTGTCTGGGGAGGTTTTTGTGACAGTCAAACGTCAGAAAGACTTCAGATATCCTTCTACCCCCCTAGACAAAACGGACTTTTTGATCGAATCGAAAATCGAATCCGTCAAAACTCCATACAAAAAAGGGGCTTTTCGACCACTTTTCGACTGGTTTGCGATTATAATTTGCACTTTGTCTAGACCCACAAATATGCTCTGTCACGTCATAATAATAGGCTAGATGACAAAATTTCAATTATTTGTCCGTCAGACAGATAATTAGAAAATATTAGACTCATATTGTTTATTTTCTTTCATAATTAAATAGTAACAGTGCTACATCGAGTTGAAATGGCGCGATACGTCACGCTTGAGTATAATTTTTACTCAAAAGTGACGTCACGCGACATTTCAACTTAATATAATACTCAATGATATTGTATAAAAACAAAAGCAGATATGTTATAACGATGGCTCCTACGTATAAGGGCGAAACTGCCGCTTACGCCTTTTTCCAATTATTTAAGCAATGATTTCACTTTGCTCTAATCTATAACATCAGTAAGAAAAAAATATTTTTTTTCCATTAGATACAAAATAAAATTTTAGGTAAATAGGCATATGTGCAAAACTACGCCACGTATAAAGCCCAATCATACGATTCGTCAATCTATACGAGTAGTTGCTTACATAAACATATATTTTTTATAATCCAAATCTTAAACAAAGCCATGAAAATATTTAGCAAATTGTTTTATTTATAAATTATGACACATTATATAGTTATTTAATTTTTAGCGTTAAGAGTCGCATCTCAAACTAATTTGAAAATTATAAATAACTTGAAAAAATCGAACTGCCTAAGGCATCGTGGATTCAATTCCCGCCTTAGGCAATTCGATTTTTTCAAGTTAATTATATTTCTTAAAAATATGACACATTATGTTAAAAGACCTAACTAAATCTCGAGCACAGTATATGGGCGTATTTGCGTTAAAACGTAAAACGGTACATTAAATTTTGAAGAATAAATGTTATTAAAAGTTTTTTTCTAAAACTGATAGTTTAGCCGGAAAAAAATATTTTCCATCCCATTAGTACGCCGGCTGCGCTCGATTCGGATATAATGACGTCACGCGGCCTTGCGTACGTTGACTTTTAGCGGCAAAAACGGCCAATGTTTATTACTTAATATCTTCGTAAGTAATGGTCCGATTTGGATAATTCAAAAAGATATATCTTTCTTATGTCTTAAAGATTAACGTAGATACTAGTTTTATTGAATTTTCTACAACAGTACTGATCCTCATTAATGTCACCCCTCCCGTGCCGCTTCCATACCTCGGGTACGGAGACAGCCAAGCACTATTCCTATAAATATTAGTTTGCATTAAAAGTAAGATTATAAGGCATTTTAGCGAAAAATTTATTTTGTCATTTTAACATCTTTTATTTATGGGCTGCTTTTAGTTTTATACACCACCAACCTTTCTGTGGTAGACGTTTTTAAATGGAAAATTAAACTTTAGATATTTGACCACGGTTATGGGTTCCATATAGTTAAAAATCTCTCTGAGATCATTATAATGTAAGATAAATTAAAGAATGCCATGCATTATATTTTATTTCTACCAAAATTATATAACACAACCATATTTACAAACAATAGGCGACAGTATACTTTGTTAAATAATAAGAGTAGGCGCACACCGTTGATTTTTAGTTGGCCGATAGTTGTGCCCGATTTCAAATTGTATGAAGAATCGGCCAAATCGAATCGGCGTAGTGTGCGCACTCCCATACATGCCCATACTGATCAACAGCCCGACTAAACTATCGGCCGACGAAAAATCAACGGTGTGCGCCTACTCTAAAGAAACTGCCATTTTAACATGTAGGTACAGTCAGCGTCAAATAGTCCGTGACACCCAAAGCACAGAATAATAATAAGTACTACGTACAGAAGTTTTACTTCGCGAAGGTATTTAAAAAAATGTATGCTCAATGTCATTAACATTATGGTGTAATTTAGCTTGTCTCAAGAGTCAAGCACCATTTTGTTGACAAACGTCAGTGATCGGTACTGCGCCGAAGCTATAGGGCTGACTTCGGTAAAATGATGTGACGTTAGGTGCCAAACTGCGGAAAATGGCGGAGGAAATACATGATTTAGCATGAATTATCAAGAATAATATTAACTACTTATTTACCTCTCAGTGTCTTGAGGCAACTTAAAAAAGTACATTCTGTGTTTTTATTATTATTTAGGCAGTTAAATACTGCACAGTATTTAGTACACATTTTCTTTATTTTCTTCCATCATACACAAGAATACGCGTGCGTGAGTCAATGTTCGCTCGTATGTGAGGCCTTGTCGAATAGTATCCTGTAGGTGGGCCATCGTGCGTGTTTTGTTTTCGATGTAAACTCGCGGAGATGAACAGGCCTGCCCAAAGTAGCCAATAAGTTCGAAACACGTCTTTGTTACAATTAGAATAAGGTTGTTATAAACTTTTTGGCCACTTGCGTTGTCACGAACTATTTGACGCTGACTGAACAAGTCTTCGAATCGCCGGTTACATCTTAAATATTGTATCAAGAAAGTTTCATTTTCGCACCGCCAGGTGGCGTCATACCAAATCCCGTTAAGTTAAAAGTAATCAAATAAAATTATGTGCAATTTACCTGACTACATACACACATGCATATTTTAAAATAAATAAAACGTGTAACAAGCAAGCAGTCAAAAAACTCGACAACTAGCAATCTTAAATTATGGAACATTTTAGATTAAATACAACTTAAGTTTGAGTTTTGAGGGGGCGTAGTGTGTGTGTGTCCGCTCCGCTTTGGTGGAAACCGGGTCTTACTTAAAGCTTATTGGCGTTGTGAAAAGTATTACTAATAGTTGGGCCATAAGAAAAAGAAGCAAAAGTATGTCAGAGGGTTTTAAATGGAAAACTGCATAGAAAGAAACTATCAAAATAACTAACCAATTTTATTATTACTTGTTATAATAAAATTATTTATTTTGTTTGTCTATGATTATAGTGTAGAATAATCTGTGCTTTAATTAATTTACACAAAATTATTGTGGTGGCATTTATTTAGACGTATACATGACAAATTCTGAGCTCAACAAAATTAAGGCTTGTTTCGTCATTTAATGGTGCCTAAAGCCTGGTCCGTGAGCACGTAGAATCCCGTCCAATGACCCCTAGCTACCCATCCTTATCGCTCGCGCGTAATTATATTGCTGTCGCGACTGTGACGTGTGTGCGACGGGCGCCCGCAGTGAGTGTGCGAGATCGACAGCAACATAATTACGTGTGAGCGACAAGGATGGGCAGCTTGGGGTCATTGGACGGGATTCTACGTGCTCACGGACCAGGCTTCTTAAGTTGTTAAAAAATCAGCAGCGCCTCTATCGGAAAAATTGGCAGTTAGCTAGCAATACAATATGCCATCGTCAAATTATAATCTGGCGTAGTTAGATTACAATATAACCTAATCCACTGTTAGTTTTCAATCCTACGCGTTATATTATAAACTGACGAAGTTCATAATTTCACGATGGCTGTCATAAGAACAACTATTTATACATCTACAATTCATATCAAACGTATAAGCACTATAAAGTAACTTAAAAAAAGTACTTAAAATACTTACCATTTAAATTATACTAGAATCAAATATCTAAAGTTAATAAAAGTACAAGTTACACGAATAATAATAAAATAAATTCATAAATAGCATTATATGAATCACATTAGTAGTAAGGTCGTCAGCAATTCAACCCACCACAACAATGAATTTGAACCCTATTTCAAACACTGTTTGCCATTTTTCATCTCATTGCAATCAACATGTGACAGAAAGTAACAAACATTTTTGGCTAAACGGTGCTATAACATTTTCATTGTTATTAATAAGAGCAATAAAGTTTAAAATCATTTGAAGACATTTATATTCTTATATGATATACTGACGGCATGCATTTAACATCCAATAAAACAATTTATTATCTAAAAATATAGTCTGAAATAGGATTTTCTAACAGAAACCCTGTTTTTGAAATTTTAAATAATCATCATCGACTTTAAAAATTACTTAAGAATGCTATTTGTGAGTTGTAAACTAAATGTACTAAACTTAAAACACCAATAAATAAAAACACGCTATTTATTTTGAACAAGGAGTCAAAATGATTTATTTAGCAAGCAGAGAAGATTGCATACAGAATATGATTAGGAAGCAAAATTTTCTTCTTTATCTACCAAAGAATAGGGTATAAAATATAAGTTATCCAAAATGACATCTGTTTGAAAATAAGCTGTGTGTCAAATTATCAGTGACTGACCTTTTTTCTTGAGACCATGAGTTTCATAATATTTTCCATTATAAATTAAACATTGAATTCTTGAACACATGGTTTAATACATCGAAATAATGAATCATAATATTATGTATTATATTCTTAAAAATAGTTGTGATTTACATAACTCGTGAATTAACTCGGAAAGTTAGGTTAATAAGTTAAAATGTAAGCTACGTTAATGTAAAAAATTACAAAACTTTTCGGTTAATTCAATATTAATGGCCAAACACACACAAGCATACCACAGATTTAACCAAAGCATTTTATGACTTGTCATCATAATATCCTTATATAAATTCTTTTCATTCATCATGCCTTTATAGTAAGAATAATATCTTTACTACCAATAAGACTTTCGAATTCACTTATAAATTTTCATATTAATTTACAAAATCAATCACATTCATTAACACTCATTAACAATGTTACTAATCCAATAAACCTTTACACTAATTTATAAAGATATAAAATACCTATTTATTAAAGAAATATACATGTTTAAACTATTCAAAATTGGTTATTTTTGAGTCAAACACACAATTAAGTTTATTACGTATAGAACTAACATCTCATAGATAATGTGCTGCATTTGAAACGCAGTTCTTCATGATTCCATCACTTAAGAGCCTAATGGTATGTATACGCAAGAATATTTAAACATATCTGATCAACATGACATTGAACACCATGAATTATACAAAATAAGGAAGGCTATAACGCCTGGCACTGAAGAGATTGACAAATGAAAGATGAGCTAGATCAGTTGATATAAAGAAAGAAAAATTGTTTATTTCATTACTTAGTTACTTGCTTTTTTTACTTTGAAGCTATAGAAAAGTGAAGTGAAGAAAGAAAGCTGTATTGTATGAAATACAGGTTCACTTTTTTTCATTTAAAAGAACAATTCCCATATAGACACTTCCAATAAATGTAGCTTTCAGTAGTTAGTTTCATAGCATGATTATTTTATTCACAACACTACTTGATTCGGTAGAAATGATTCCAGAAAAAGCAACTGTTTTATACAAGATATGTTCGAGGCTCTTTTATCTCATTTGTCAAACTCTTAAACATGCTTTAACCTATCATGTTACCAACCACCGTGAAAAAACTTAGACATCAAGAAAATTTCACATCATATATTTCGACTTCCACATTCACATCAGCTTATTCCGACTTATTGCAGGAAGAATTCTATACGTTCACTAGTCCATCGCAATCTCTCAATTTAAAGTCCTGGTCGTGTTATCGATACAGAATAACACTGGCGCACGATACAATGGTTTTTAAAACCAATAACGTGTTTGTTACATAAAGAATTCCCTGCTGTCGTGTGGTGGTCAAGTGTGCCTCATAGTTGATGTTGAGTTACCTGTCGGACTCTGGCAGTTCGGTACATCGATCACCGTTATCTCAATTACTCGCAAACCCCTTAGTATGGGGTCGGTGATGTGTATGCCTCTTGGATTGTAAATTCTTTCATTCTGTGTCGCTATGAATTTTGATACTTTCCGTAAATGCTGAAATGTAACATAATATTCATATTAGTTTCTGGTTGGAAAATAGTAATAAGTTGTGTCAAGATTAGATAAGGTAACTCTTAAGAAGTTGGGAGACATAAAAATCTCATGATGGTTATAGTAACAAGAATAGGTCGCTTCACCCAATATGATGAGGTCATCTTTAGGTACCTATCTATTATTATGAAGTGAGCAACTTTGTAGTATGATGATTTATTACTGTCTCTTGGATAGTTAAATTTAATTAAAATAAGAGTGAAGAAATTAAGATGGTATTATTTACAATATCAAAATTAATGTTATTTAATACCATAAGTGTAAGTCATTAACAAAGAATCTTCATATCACAGGATTCGTAGGTACCTACTTATTTTTGGCTTATGAAGGTGAATATGATTATATTAAAATAAAAAGACTGCTAACGAATTAACACCAGACATGTCATATAAAATTCTATCAAAATGTAAGATAATTTTATAATTTACAAAATTAAACATACAAAAAAATTAAGTTTATTTGAATTTTTCTTACCTTTTCATAGTGTGTTTCTGTGCAAATGTAAATAAAATAAGCGGTGAGGCAAGCGAGGCAACCCTCACAGTACGTGCTGCAGTCTGCTGTCTCGGCCATGTCAAAATGTTCGTTCAACCTCTCCATCGTGTATTCAAACGTTTGGCGGTCTATCTGAAAATATATTTTGAAGACATGTTGACATAAAAACGTTGATATACAACTTAATTCTAACGTGTCGATACTATTTATAATTTATATCATAGAAATTTGATGATAAGCAAATTCAAGAAGAGGTTAAGCTAATTATAGCATGTTTTATATTTGTTTTGCAACTAACAATGAAATTGGTCAAAGAAACAGTAAATCAAGTTCAAAAATAACTTTTAATTTTGTTAGAACAGGACAATGTGATAAATAAATTAAGTTAATGTGGTAAATTTAGACTGGGTTGCACCATCTTACTTTAACTTTAACAACCTTAAAAATCTGTCAAACTCCATACAAAAAGCACTGGTTATCATATAGTTACGGTTAAAGTTATGTGGTGCAGCTCAGCCTTAATGTTTTGCAATGCAATAAGTTTACACTGAAACCAATCTTGGCATAACATTCCAAACTAACATGAGAGATAAGTTCAATGATAAAATGAGATTAGCTATCAAATTATTCAATTGGACTCAATATTAGGTTAACTGATTCTCTGACTCTGATTTACAGAGGCAGTTAACGTTAATTGTCTTCATAATTGCCTTGAAATTCTCAAAACCGTCCACAGTCATACATCAACAAGGATATTCGCGATTACAATGTCCCTGTCAAAGTTCAGTTGACACGATAAACAAAACTGTGGGATAAACGCCCTGGGCGCTTTCACTTACTCTGTCTTCGAGTTCTGGCGGAAATCTGGTCTGGAACTTCACTGCTGTGCCTTCGGAGTAGTCCCTTTGTATAAATATCTTCACACCTTGCTGCGTAGGCGTCTGGGTGCTTCCAGGAGTGTTGGGACCCGACGGAATACGATTATTAGCCATTGTTGCACAAACACAGTCGCTACACCAAATAACCGGTTTATATCACAAGTAAAGCATAGTATTTAGTTCGGAGATGAAATACGAAGAGAAACCTTACGGCAATAGATTGATCTCACGGTTTAAATTCACATAAATTGAGCACGGAGACACAGTTCTCTTTTTTTTTTTTTTTTTTTTTGGGATGGACTGTCCCGCTCATGAAGCTAAAGATAAAAATGGAGGCCAGACTTAGAATACCTACTTGAAGCACAACCTATGTATCACTATCTCGCTCTCTGTGGGCAGGCTCTCTCTTTCTAAGTAGGGTAACCTTTTATTTATTTTTCTCAGGACGACAACGACTGATTTACGTTTAAACAGTGTGTCTTGATAAAGTGCACTTAATATGATTATGAAAAAAGGTTTTCGATGTTTTTGTTTTAAGATGAATTACAACATTAAGAAAGTGTAAAGGCATCGAAAACTGTGGATATTTGATAGAAAACAGATTTTAATTTGGCAGTTGACAGACGGATTTGGATATGGATTGATTACAGTAAACGGCCGTAGAAAACATTATGCAAAATTAGATAAGTAAGGTCCCACAGAAAGTCCCAGATATATCCTCAATATGGTCATACTACTTCAAAATGTCTTATAGAAACAAAAATTTTAAATTTGCTCAAAGTCAATGAAACTCAATGTAAAATCTTCTTTTTCTTGACATATGTAACATTTAATAATAAGTTTAAATACTGGTAAAACGTTTTAGGAAGTAATTACTGTGAAAATACAAAGAAATATGTTAACAATGATCCACTGTCAGAAATCACGAAATAAACACTTACGCGTGGAATTTTATATCACTTCCAGGATAACACGAACTACCGCAACCACGCACTATACAATTTTGCACCATTTCTTCAGACAAAACAATGATAACGTCCCTTGAAAAATCTCAAACGAAATCAACTGCATAGTAAACAACCGCCATGATGGGCCGGATTCGGCCGATGTTGCCACATTACCGATACCTCAGAAATTGGGATTGTAATTCCCTGATTCGCCAACACATTAAGCCTAAATGGCCGACAATTTTGTGATTTTTTATTTAACTAGGTAATCTAAGTTTCAAATATTAATAATTTATTTATTTAACTTCTTATTTGGTTAGTGAATTGGCTATTTCGAAGAATTTACAAGGAGATTTAAATAAGAAGATAGCAATACTACAGTTCACACTAAAAAGAGAGGTCGGCCCACAGAGAGCGAGATAGAGATAAGTAGGTATTTGACTCAAGTTTTGTTCCCAACTTTGCCCTCCATTTTTATCTGTAGCTTCATGGTCCCGCTGAAGCGCGCGACACAGTTCTCGTTCGTTCGTGACGTGACGGAGCGTGCGTGAATGACAGCTGATGTGATCACAGATGGATGTGATTGACGTTTGTCTATTGTTTATGGTTCTCGCTTCCTGTCATAGACAATGTCGTTCAGAAATCCAGTTTTGTAAGCCAAATAAAAAAAAAAACAAACAACAATAATTTATGTTATTTTATTAAAACAAAATAAAAAAAGAAAAAACTATTTAAAATTATTAGGTTTGGCGCGCATTGCATCGTTTCAGGTACAAAAATAAATCTGAAAACATTTTATGCGCTAGAAACCACCAGCCAAAGGAGTGGTGATATTCACCTCGTTAACTTGAAACTGGTTAAGAAAGATGATTTCATTTTCATCACATATGAAGCAGAAAATTTTACCCCAAATGGAATCGAACCTAGGACCGTTGGGATGCAGGTTGACCACTAAACCACAGAGGTGGCAACTATTTTTTATAGAGTTATGAGTTGTAACGGAGGCATTGGGACTCCACCTACTTACTGCTAAATATTCAAAGGACGACGACAGCAGCGAAATCGGCCTGAATAGTTTCGAGGACTACCGTAGTTAATCAATGGATCAAATTTTACATGTTTAGTGACGTCAGAGTTTATTAAAATTTTTTTTTTTTTTTTAAGTACCTACCTACAGTCTTTTTAGACATACTCTCTCATCTGTGGTATCATCATCAGGCACCTCTGGCCAGTGCTATAAGACTACTTGATGCCTTAGAGCAGTGTTGCTTAATCGGTGGTCAGCGACCCCTAGGGGGTCCACGAGCATAATTTTACTGCCCCTGACCAGAGCATGGGGAATTAGGTAGGTAGTGTGGCCTCCTCCCTTTTGCCTCCTAAATGAAGGTAGTCCTCCTGCGGAGTTCATGGATGCGGAGATTATTGCTAGATAGATGATGACAGCGTATTTAGGCTGTATCTTGTATGACTCAATAATGCACCGAGTGGCTGCCATTTTGGTTCATTAAACAAACTACGAGTAGCTATGTACAGACGACGGCACGTCAAGTTAACCACTGTGGGTTCTTGTGCAGTTGTAATAGGGGCGAGTTTGCAACAAAAAAGGGTAGCCTGATGTGGTGTCGTGTGTACAAGTAGGTATTTATAATTAAATGATGTTGTAGTCTAAGGATTTTGGACTAAATATTATTGTTTCTTTCTTTCTTTCTAATTTCTTTCATTAACCCCCTTACTAATAAAAAGTTACACAGTTGTTGAACACTGTTTAAAAATGACTTTTCCATACTAAACGTCACTTTAAAACACCGTAACGGGAGCACATACGGGTGCGTGCCTAAGTTTTATTAGTACCTAAGGGGGTAAGTATACAGGCTGTAACAAGGTCACTCGACAAGCATTGTAAAGATTTGTAGGTCGTCATGATGTGTTGACATAGTTTTATTGGTAGGATCGACAGCTTGACTGACTAGCGCTATAGAGAACGGATCATAAACATCATCATCATCATATCAGCCATAGGACATCCATTGCTGAACATAGGCCACCTCAATTATTTCCGTAATTATCGTTTGGCAGTGGCTTGCACCCAGCGCCTTCCTGCTACCTTTTATGAGGTCGTTATTTCACCCACATGGGATCATAATATTTATAAAAATTGTAAAAGCAATTTGTGTCTAAATAATAATAAAATATTATGTAGATTTTTAATAAAGTACCTTAACTAGGTTTTTAAGTGAATATAATGACTTAATTTGACCGTTCACGCTGACAACCAAAAAGATCCGTAGAAAAAGGACAATAGAAAACCAGGATGCAACGATCTAAAATCGTATAAAGGTCAGCACTTTCTTCAACAGTGGGTTAATGAAGGATCGTCTAGCCAATCAACACTTATTATTAAGCCTTTACACACCCAAGTCCAAGGCGCCAATTGCGATTCGAGACATGCGCGCACGCATCCGTTTTGTAGCGACATCTTTCACTAAATATATGACCGGAATGTCAAATATAAGAAATGAACGCTCTTACGTAAGGAATGCGAACGCAATTGTTGATCTCGATTCGTTAGATCACTTTCCTTTGTTATACTTAACGAAATTGCTGGCTGAAATCAAATCAAATCATTTATTCAGTACTTACGCCCTTTCTAGGGCGCTTGTACGTCATCATCACCATTTCAGCCATAGGACATCCACTGCTGAACATAGGCCTCCCCCAATGATTCCACAATGACCGGTTGGTGGCGGCCTGCATCCAGCGTCTTCCTGCTACCTTTATGAGGTCGTCGGTCCTCCTGTGGACGTCCCACGCTATGTTTTCCGGTACGCGCTTAAGGCGCTTGTATATCTCCCAAATACTTTGCCCTACCACCACTTCAGGACAATATTATGGTCTGGTGCTGCGAAGAAACGGCAGAAATAGGCTGAAAGAAGCGGTAAATGAACTAGAGTCGCTGACATAGCACGCAGACTGAAAGTCACTGATGCTGCCTGCAGAGGTTCTGGAGTGGAGGCGTGTATGTGGACAGATGACTTCATAAAGGTACCAAGTATGCTTTCGGCAACGTTATCTACCACACAGTAGGAAAATGCTGGATACAAGACGCACCAAACGGCTCATCTGGAAACCTTTGGGGAAGGGTTTGTTCAACAGTAACGTTAGTGGCTGAAATGATGACAATGATGATGGTAAAAGAATCGGAACATCTTTGTTTTGTAGTGTTTTGGGAGAGGCTACCATGGATTGCTTTGTGCCTTTTTCTAGCGTAGTATGGGGAAATGTATACAAATAAAGTTCAATGACTTGCCAGTTGCCACAGAGTTAAATTTTGTAAACATAAAAAAAACTCCTAAAACTCATTTATTTACATATGCAAGTAGGCTTTTAAAAAGTACTTTTACATACACAGTTATTTCATTTTTAGCGTTAAGAGTCGCATCTCAAACTAATTTGAAAATTATATAACTTGAAAAAATCGAACTGCCTAAGGCGGGAATAGAACCCACAAACTTTTACATGTCCCAGTACAATAAATGGGCCAATGCTGAGAAGAAGCAAGCAGCTAATTTCAAAGCACATCACTCATGAATAGTAAATTATGTCATTTTATTCACGTTTTATAATACTTATAGCGGGTGGGCCGATAACTTACGGCCCTCCACAAAAAATCTTAGAAATAGTAAATCTAATAATAGTCATACTTTATGACCCTAAGACCCTAAACCCTAGCCTACCCAAGCCTTTACGCCAATGGTCACATAGGTAAGTACAGTCGAACATGGACCTATAAAAAAAGGCGGACGGAACTCGCGCTACAACAAAACTGTGACGCAAAATTTTGGCGTTTGTCTATTGTGTGAGTGAATTTAGGGATGCCATGTTAGCCAAAACATTTTACCCATTTATTTTAAGAAAAACATAGATCGGCAGATGTTACTTGGAAATGTAGACAGAATTATTCCGTGCCATTTTAAAAGGATGAAAGGTGTATGCGTTGAGGTAGGCGCGAAATTTTCAATGTTCAAATTTTCTTACATTGTTTGCAAGTCAGTGTGTCAGGGTATGTACATAATGTTGATCAAAAATAATTCACGCAGTTACAAATTACGAATCTTGTGTACATTATAATCATAATCTTATGCATCATCAATATATTATTATTATCTCTGATAGATTTTTTTTAACATACAACCTGACACTGACTTGCAATCAATGTAAGAAAATTTGAATTTCGCAGTTCCACATTTTTGGGAAGGATCAAATTTGCCTATGAAAATATATCCCATTAAAACACAATTATTATGATAAATTATTTTATTTCCATAGTATGCGTAATACATAACTAAAAAGTCCTAAAATCATTATTAATTTCCCATATTTCGGGTAATTTTCCCACGTAAATAACTGAGAACACTGGTCTTTGACGTATTATTTTTTCGAGTGAATGACGTTTGATTTCAATTAATTTCAATATTTTAATGTCGGGAAATAAGTGATTGGATTATTATTTTGCCTGTGAAATGTGATTCCTTAATTTTTGTTTGTTCGAACAGAACGGTTTTTACACAATTTCATCACACAAGACATGTCGTATTCGTGTTGTTTTTTCGCTGCTTAAATGTGTCAACTGTGTGAAGTTTGCTCTCGAAGTGGTGTAACAGGGTGTGAATGTGTGCGTGCCGGCCTGTACGTACAGGCAAGCTGGTGTATCCTAATGTCACAGTATTTTGTTGATGAGACTCCGTCCGACTTTTTTTATAGGTCCATGCAGTCGAAAGCACGTCAACGTAAACATTGTGGTATCTTACGTAGTTGCGATAAAGGCGACTTTGCAACGAAAATGTGTAGTCTGATGTGCTGTCGTCTGCACTACTAATAGCTCTTCAAAGCTCTCATGAGTATGTAGTACGGACAATAATACAGCAGTAGTCGAGTTACAACAACTAACAGTAAGATTGTCTAACGCCCGTGTTATTCACAAACGATGCTTGGCTAAGTGAAGCAGCAAATCGAACGCACTGCGTTGAATAGAGTTATGTGATTGGTTCGTGTGTCACCCTGGTTAATACGGGCGATAACAATCCTACTCTCTGATTTGACAGTTTTATAAGTAAGTACACGTCCCTAATTGGGAATCAAACCCAGTACTTCCAAGTGGAAAGAGTTCAACTCCTTACTACTAAACCACACGGCGTTAGATATCAATTCAAAAATTATGGAATCCTTGGACATCTGCACTAAACGCACTAAATAATTTAATTTACACGTGTTTTCATGCGATGGCCAAGTCAATATATTTATGTAAAACGTTAAAGATTTCCTGGCCTGGACTTGGTATTACATGGATCTCACAACTTTTTACCGTAGAACAACTGAGTTGCGAGACTTGTTTTTTTGACAAGTATTGTTTTTGATGGGATTTACTTTACCCTCTACGACTCTACATTATTAGACTTATAGGCTCTATCCCAACCTAATTAGTTATGTAGCTATAATTAATACTTCAAATTACCCGACTGCAGAGCTGAGGGTAATATTCGCCCTCTTCAGAAATTCGTGGATTTATTGGTGCATAGTATTTTTTGATTTAATTAAATTCACGTAATATTTAATGAAATTATACAAATTGACGGAGTTGAACTTTTATTCTTCGTTAATCAATCACAAGTCTTATGGCACAATGTGTCAGTTTTCCAATACATTGCTTCCTCGCGATTAAAATGTACGCGGGCGAAACACGCCGCCGAAGATGGCCAGCGCATTCGATGTCAGCTCACGTATTAATGCTCGTATATATACCAAGCCCTGGACTCCCATAGCATACATTGTGACCGCAGCATTGACGGCAGCAAGAGCTCAGCCGTCTGACAACATGGCCAAGTTAATAGTGTTATTATCCATAGCTGCCTTCGCCAGTGCACAGACCTACTCCGCCTCCAGTTTATTACGGAACGTCTACAACGAATGCCTCAGTCAATATTCTGTGGAATGTGTGAAACCTCGAGCCCTGCAGTGGATGTCAGCGGTCGCGAATGACGACGAGATCAAAATCACGGATAACCTCTCAATCGTGAAGACGGCTGTCTTAGAAGACGGCAATGTGGATCCAAGGATGGCTTTGGAGCCCGCGCTACAAATTGTGGACAGAGTAGACCGGTTCCTCCAAACCCATTCTGTGAAAGTTAAAGTTCCTGCTGAGATCACGAACAGTGCAGCCTCTGAATACGTGCCAAGGTCTTTGCTGGTGGACCTTCCTTCGGAGCTGAACATGCCTTTGGATGGTGAAGAAGAGGTTGAGGAGTTCGAAGGCAGGAAGAAGAAGATCAAGCTGCCCAAGCCTTTGAGGATTAAGAGCAGTTAGTTTATACTCTATTTCCATTATGGACTTAAATTGTGTTATAGTAGTTACAGTATTAATTACCATTTTTCAGAGCACGGCTTCATCAAGAAGGTGCTGCTGCCTTTCCTCCTCGGACTGAAGTTCAAGGCCTCCGTGCTCGTTCCATTGGCTCTTGCTCTGATCGCCCTGAAGACGTGGAAGGCCCTGACCCTTGGTCTAATCTCACTTGTTTTATCCGGTAAGTTGTTGCATATTTTTTTGATATTTTAAACGGTAATGGAAATGAGAAAATTTTCAACCCAAAAGTCAATTATCATTACCAAAAAAGACTACGAGTAATAATGTCAAGTCAGTCCAAGCTATATTTTTCTTAATTACATACTTACAAAAACTTTGCTTGCTTATTGTGTTACAGTAAGTACATAATTATTGTGTAGTGTTCTCAAAATTTAACTGATCTTGTTGACGTGAAAGAGAACACAAACTTTCGCTTTAATAATGTTAGTAAGATAGGTACGTTTAAAAAGTCCAAATCCCCTACCTAGGATTTACTCTAATGCCCGTTTTCACCACCAATCCCTAATTTTTACCCCCCCTTGTGACCCCTATGATGACATATATGAATTTAGTTTACATAGGGGTCACTTAAAAATTAGGGATCGATGGTGTAAACGGGCATATCCCTCTAACTAATAAAAGTTATATGCACGTGAACCCACTTTATAGTGACGGTTAATACGAAAATGTCATTATGAACAAAGCAAACAGTTCAACAAGCATGTACCTAACATTTTAAGGACGTAGCACACTTGTCGACCTGGAAAGGGATCGTAACCGTATCAACTTAAGGCGGTCAGTATTACTTGTATGAAACTCCATACTTCAACGCACACATAACTGCGTTGCAACGTAAGAGTAGGCGCTCACCGTTGATTTTTAGTTGGCCGATAGTTGTGCCCGATTTTAAATTGTATGAAGAATCGGCCAAATCGATTCGTCGTATTGTGCGCACTCCCATACATGCCCATACTGATCAACTGCCCGACTAAACTATCGGCCGACGAAAAATCAACGGTGTGCGCCTACTCTAAGTAAGCGTGTAACTTTTTATTAGTAAGGTTAGCGTCTCTACTAATACTTTAATACGGATTGTGACGGTGTAACATCTTCGCAGGTGCCATGGTGATCTTCAAATTCACGAAGCCCAAGGTGGTGAACTACGAAGTGATCCACTACCCGCAACACCACGTTGAACACCACGTAGACCACCATGCCCCCGCGTGGGATGCCCACGGTCCCTACCAAGCCAGATCCTACGAAGACGCCCAAGAAATAGCCTACTCGGGCCACCTCTAAAACGACACAAGACTTACGGACCTCGATTAAATTATTTATTTATTTATTTCTACACTGTAAATAAAGTCTGTATAAATTAAGTTTCATAACAATGTTCTTTGATTGCCCTACGCCTTAATCTCTTAAAAATACGAGATCCTTGCTGTATTTTGAAACGGACTTTAGTTATTTTTAAGCTTAGAATAAATAACTCGTGCAAACAGAGCCAAAATCTAAATGGGGCTTGACGTAAATGATAAACAAAATAATGAAAGTAGCGTCAAGTGCCCTGTGATTGTCAGTGGAGTGCAATAATTTATTATACTAAAAGTTATCATGACCTACCTATCCCATCCTATTGGTCAAAGATTTATCGTAATCATTTTAGCAACAGAATGTCCACTGTTGAACATAGGCCTTCATCGCCCGGTAGCGGCCTGCATCCAGCGCGTTCCTGCTACCTTTAAAAGGTCAAATATTATTAATTTTGTGAAATAAAAAATATCAAATTAAAAAAATATCCATATACTACAGTCACTTGGATAGCAGATATAGTAAAATCTTCTTAAAATCTATCTCATAACGACAACACCATCATCTCTATAGACTTTATAATTATCTTTATCTAAATTAATCGGTCCAACCTTAACCGACTGTGAAACTGTTGTAGGAATTAGATCTAACGCTCTATCATACGTATTCGTGACCGGGGCATGAGTAACATCACCGGCTGTCTCATTACTTTCTACAATGTGACCGAAAATATCTTTGAACGCGTCATGTTTAGGTTTTAAAAGGTCGGCTTTGATTAGTTCCTTGACTGTCAGTTCGCTGGAGAATCTCTCTGGTACTGTATCTATGTCTACCTCAAAGTCCGGTTTACCAATTCGTTTGCTGGTAGCACGTGAAGAATGTATTGCATCCTGTATCTTCTTAAGATTCACGTCAGCTCGCGTTTGCTTTTCCTTGATACTTTCATTCTCATTATAATGCAAGGCGTCGTTGTAGATCCCTCCACTGTCTTTATACGGCAGGAGAATTTTATTGGAAAACATTTCGAATACCTTCGAGTGTCTTAGCGGATTAAATTTGTATAGATTAAGCAACACGTTGAACTTGTCTTCTGTGTTTCTCTTTATCCTTCTGTTTGTATGTACCCTGAAATTTGGTATCTGAAATATTTATATACTTACAATATACTACATAGTTAGTAGGTAAACATAACAAATTATTAAATGTATTCAGTAATATGACTGATGGACGAAGTTTTAGCCCATAATTTCAATAAGATTCAAGTACAGTATTTATTCACTTAGTTTATTAGAAAACTGTATCATAACTGGAACAAAAGTACCTACGTCGCGTTACAAATTATATATTTTAGATAAATACTGAAACAATTAATAGCTATAATACAATTGTTTAGGTGATTTTGTAATCAGTATCCAAATTTTTTTAATAAGCTCTACAGAACAATACAACAATACTGCTTTATATTAATTATTTTTAATCGTGGTATTTTTCGCGAAAAAAATAATCTAAAATTTAATTCGCGGGTGCCCTTAACTTATTTTCGCATACCTACCATTATGTCTATTACGCTTTGTTGTTAACAGTGTATGTATGTATTTTTCTATAAAAACGGAGCTAATTATCCACGTGTGCCAATTTTGAAACCGCGCGCAGCGGATAAAAATAATTGATTAAATATTGAAATAAAATGTTTTCTTTGCGTAAATCGATTAATTTGGATACTGAATGCAAAGCCACCATGTATAATAATAACAATGGGTCAACAACTTTTTCGATTGATAAAACTTGTACTTACGACATGGAATGTACAGGCAATATGCAAAGTCCAAAGGCAATAGCAGGTCGGTTGAATAAATCGCATAGTGGTTGCTACATGTTTTGCATCGATAGCTTTGTTGGTTTTAACTTCCAAAACATCGCTAGTGAGCTCACAAATTCAGTAAACACTTCGATCAACAATACCAACTGTAGATATCGGGTCAAGCGCAAAAAATACCTTTTGGGAAATAAGAGCGCACAATAGATAGAAGTGAGTTCGTTTATTAATATTTAATTTAATATTTTAAAGTCTTTATAATTCCCATGTATTACATATTGTATACCCCGCTAACGTTAATTACATAAGAACTCACTTCTCAAGTGCGCTGCAGCGCTGTTATTTCGCGAGACGTAATTTTTGCGCTCGCCCGATACTCATCTAGATGGTATTTTTGATGGAAGAGAACATGATATTAATCATATTAAATTCTCATAAAAAAAACCTCATAAAACAACTCATTTATTTCTGTAGATAGGCTTAAAAAAGCACTTAATTACAAGTCCCAGTATTAACCCTAACACTGCTTCAGGACAATCAATGGGCCAGTGCACAGTGCTGAGAAGAAGCAGCGCAAGAAACTCAGTCACTATTGTCAGCCTCTTTTTCAAAGGTTTACAGGCTTTAAAATGTACAAAGTTATAAATATTTATGCAAGCTAGGCGGTAACGCATCCCAAACATTTTTATCTTTTAAATAATCATCGACATTATAGTAGCCCTTTTTCATTAAGGTACTTTTAATATGTCCTTTGAATTTATGAATGGGTAGTTCTACAACAGTTTGTGGTAATTTATTAAAGAATTTAATACATTTTCCCATAAATGAATTACCAATCTTATGCAATCTGCAAGGAACGGCAAGTTTATTTTTGTTTCTTGTATTAAAGTTATGCAAATCGCTCTTTTTCGTGAATTGCTCTATATTTTTGCGAACATTATGTAAAATCCTAGACTGCCTTGTTATGCATAAAAAAATGTTGTGACTCCACCATGTAAAGGAAAACAGCCATCTGAGGAAATAAGCTTCGTAGGTTTCGTAAATCAAAATGGAAGACTCAGGTGAAAATCAAAATACAAAATTATTCATCAACTAAACATTTATTTAGCATTAATTGTTTTTATGAAAAATAATACATAATAAGGATATACTGGCAAGTGCAAGTTATAATAATACTAAGTTACAAATCTTATGGCAAATGCCACTGTGTTATGCCAAATTGATGATTGAATTATGTGATTAAATTAAACACAGAATTTAATAGCAAGTTGCAAGTTAAAATTTAGTGACAAACATTACAAAAAATACATTTTAACTTGCAACAGGTTTAGGACTTGCGAAGGCTAATATAATTCGTATTATGAGAAATAGCCAAGTAAGACCTTAGGCTACAATATAATTATTATCCTAATAGTAGGGNGTTGGTAAAGTATGATCAGTATAAAAAATAACACCTATACCTACTTATTATTTTACTTTATTTTAGTATTGTAATAAATTTTTTACAGTTTGTTTATCTCAATTTGTGTATCTCCGTATTTTTCGATAGTATCCCATCACCATGATCTAGTCTCGGGCCTCGGGATTGCTATCAGCCACCCGGGCCCTTCCGGCCCAGTCCGACCCTGGTTATACCTAACTACAACTACCTAGTTTCAATGTTTGGGTTTTTATATTATGTTACGTACCTACTTATTGTGATGATATTTTACGAATACGTTGGACACTTGGATTACTGTTTTATACATTTTAATTTTAATAATTTCACAAGAGACGGCACAATAAACCTTGGACATTTTCACACAGAGCCATCAGCCATCTAGCCCCAAAGCCAAAGTAAGCAATAATAATTTAATTATATGCTTGTGTTATGGGTGCTCTGATATACTTACCACACTAGCTAGATGATCAATTTTATCGACAAATCCACTGGAATAAGGTGCAGTCCTGTTGTCCCCCCTGTGTTGGGCCCCCTAGGGGAGCCAACAGGATTTCGAAATCCTGTTGTCCCCCCTGGCTAGGGGAGACAACAGGACTAGATTTTTAATAATGATTTGAGGACTGTTGTCCCCCCTGGCAAAAATTATTTAAAAGCCATAAATTTTTATAGCATAATTTATGAAAAACTGAAGTATTTGACTCAGAATGCCAATTTGCCAAACTGAATACCTAAACGTTTGTCAAGGTATAGCCCGACCAAGAACATAAAAACCCTCGCCATGTTGCGGAAAACTAATGGTACTAATTTCTTTTAATGGCAACAGTAACTTAAAACTTCATTGACATGTCACCTTGCATGTCAGTCTATTGCTGTCAAAGTGTAAACAAACTATATTTTAAATGTGCGTAATTGATTTTGTGAATTAAATTGCTGAAATCTTTTTATAGTCGTGAAAGAAAAGTGGTTCACAATGTGTTAAAGTATTTGTCGAAGAGAAATACTAAGGGTTCGGACAATATTTTCATTGAATAATGTTTCCGACAAAGGTTGTCAAATTGACTGACATGTTTATCGCATAGTACAGTCCACTATGAAAATTAGCTGTGGTTTGTTACAACTACCTATTTTAAATTTTTTTGTCACTTTCTAAGTGTTGAATTTTATGGAATTGGGAAAGAAGTACCGAGTTGGAAGCGTTCATGAGCAAACATTGCAGTTGAATATTCAAGTTCTGAATTTGATTATTGATGAATAATAAAATAAATCCTACTAGCTCGATTGATGGTTTCATTTAATTTATTTAAACCAGATTACCTATAATAATATGTTTCCGTTAATTTATGAAAATATCAAAATAGCCCGAAATCCTGAATCCTGATACATAAAGTTAGCCTATTAATTTAACACAGGTACGACTGTACTCAGTGTTGCACTATCAAATGCAATTGACGCGCCTCTATGCCAGGGTTTTTATGTTCCTGGTCAGGCTATAATATTACAATATTGATAGGTATTGGTGCCGGCCGGTATTATCTAACTAACACTTACAAACTTGAAATTTGGCATGTAGGTTTCCTTATAGGGTGTAGACATCCACTAAGAACGGAATTTATAATATTAAAGGATTGAAAATAATATGACGAAATCGCGGGCGGCTGCTAGTTGAATCACTGTCACTGAGCAAGTAATTTGTTGAATATTATGATTAACTAGCTGTGCCCGCGACTTCGTATGCATGAAAACCCGTTTTCGCAACATTTTTCATTTTTGCTCTGCACCTATTAGGTACTTACTCGTAGCGTGATAGTATATAGCTTAAAGCCTTCCTCAATAAATGGGCTATCTAACACTGAAAGAATTTTTCAAATCGTACCGATAGTTCCTGAGATTAGCGCGTTCAAGTAAACAAACAAACTCTTCAGCTTTATAATATTAAGTATAGATTTGATGTACAGGACCTATAAGTGTAAAGGTGAGTTCGTTCGACGGCTAAAAAAGTAAGCAATAAGTTGACATCAAAAATTTTACCAAAAACTCCCATTTAAATATTTTAGAAACACTTGAAACGTAAAAAGTACAGTTTTTTGTGCTTCTTTTTTAAATTCAATGTTACTGACCGTGAACTTACCTTTTTTTTCCATTTTTTAGATGCACTAGTAATTACCTAAAAACTGATAAGTATGGCTTAGCTTTAAAAGTTAAATCAACTAGCTACTTAATCTAGGTGTTATGATTAATTGAACATGACTCTATCAAACGCGAATTCATCCCGATAATAGGTGGCCCTATTTTAAAAAGTGGAAAAAAGGTATGTTCACGGTCTAGTTTTTTTTATACGATTGAACATTTTAAAAACATGCATAAAACAGCACCCAGACCCGTCACAGAAATTAAAATGCACCATTTCAATTTCTGCCCGACCGGAAATCGAACCGGGACCTCTCGGCATAATAGTCCGTTCTGAACCACTACACCAAATAGCCGACAATATAGTCGGTCTTATCATTATGAAGCGATCTCTACCAGACAACCTATGATGAGGACAGTTGTTTATAATTTAATTTTAAAGCATACTTAGTTCCCTAATACTTGCTCCGCAATCGATTTGATAGCAACTTCCAGTGACACAGGACGCTTTATCACTCGCCAAAAACAACACGACCTCGGCTACATCTTTGCCGCATGCTACTTTTCCTAAAGGACTCGCCGACTCCAGTGTGGAATAAAATAAGTCGTTAGCTTCTTCATTAAGTCCCGCATTTTTCATTAATGCCGTCTTCACTGGCCCGGGATTCACAGCGTTGACTCGAACACCTTTGGGCCCAAACTCAACGGCGGCGCATTTAGTGAACATATCCACCGCCGCTTTAGACATGCAATAAGCCGTCATCATGGACACAGGCATGGAAGACAGCATGCTAGATATGTTAACGACGTTTCCTTTGGCTTGGATCAAATGCGACATGGCCAGGTCCGTCAAAAGAAAAAGCCCCCACAGGTTTGTTCGTACGACTTCCTCGAATGCGTCGATGCCGGCTTCGATACTTCTCAGAACCATGATCCCCGCGTTGTTCACTAGCACATCAAGCCTTCCGAAATGGGCGAGAGTTTTGTTGACAATCTGCTTAACGTCGTCCTGCACACATAGATCCGCGGCAATGACCAAAGGTTCCGATGTGAAATCTTTGCACGAGTTCGCGACTTTCATCAGGTTGCCAACGTTTCTTCCGACCAGCGCGAGCTTGGCGGATGCCTTCGCGAACAGCAGGGCACACTCGGCGCCGATGCCAGAGCTGGCACCGGTAATTACAACAACTTTGTTATTGAAGTCCATTATATTTATAGTGGCTTTGAGAAAAATAACTTTATAATAGGATTGACAACTAGGTAAGTAAGTACGAGTATAGGTGTAAAATTAACGGTGCAATGTTAAATGAGATGTCTGGCCATAGCTTTTATAGTAATACCTAAGTATTACTTACGGATTTGCTGAGGATAAGGAAGTGACTTCGTAAATAACACCATAGGGTCAAACCTCCAAATATCGACCATAATATCGGCGTCGTTGAAGTAACAATACCTTCTAACTGCATTTATTTTTTTGGTCTATATGAGGTAGTAAAAATACGAAAATATATGATAACATTTAAGGGAGGCATTCAGTAATTACAGCAGTGGACGTCCTGTACTCCTGTCGCTGAAATGATGATGATAATGATTTGAAGAATCAGTCAGCGGTCTCCAGCCTCCAGTCATAAATGACAACCTTTACGTTGCAGCAAGATGAGCCCGTAACACAACACCTAGGCCCAGAACAGACGGTGAAACGCGACTGCAACGAAACTGCAACTTTCTGATGATTCTGATGAATGAAACTGAAACTGAAAGTTTCAAACTGGTCGCGTCATGTGTGGTCTCTCAACGGACGCTATGGCAGAAACTTAGATGCAACTCAAAAGTAACTACCAGTTGCAGTTCGTTGCAGTCGCGTTTCACCGTCTGTTCTGGGCCTTAATGTGCGAATCCAAATGCGCATTTTCTCACATAGATGAATTCGCGCAAGTATACCTCAATCGAAATCTGAAGGTTGGAAACATCTTCACTCTTACTGTTTAATCTTATTTGTTTTATTCATTTTCGCATCTGTTAATGTTACAGTCAAAACTCATAATCGGTATATGTAGGAGTATTATAGTGCTTTTGGTGTGTCTTTTCTAAATAATGTTATCTCTAATAAACTAAATAAACTAATTATTCGTAATAGATAAGAAGAATATTAAATTGTACTTACAAATTACTAAAATAATGCCCGTTTTCACCATAAATCCCTAATTTTGAAGAAACCCTTAGTATGTAAACAAAATTCCTGTTACTTATTTGTTACCATAAGTGTAATAGTAGGAATAGTTAGGAGGAGGAGGATAAGAGTAATAGTTCCGTTTGTGGTTCCGTTAAACTAAGGGCGTCGCGTCTGTCAAAACCAGTTTTGGCTGAATTTGCAGTCAGAAGTGGTTTTGACCGATTATGAGTTCTGACTGTAACATTAGGTAATATCTGGTTTTGCTAGGTTTTTGCGTTTCTGTGCTAAATAAATTCAAATAATCATAAATGAACATCGGTAGGTATATTTATTTAAGTGCTCTATCTTCCTAGTTAGGGGCCATTCATTTATTATTTTACTAGCTTTTGCTAGCTTGCTCTAGCTTGTCACAGATCGTCATAAATTATAGCCTAATATGTTATTCTGGGTTATAAACAATAATACTGTAAAGTTTCATCAAAATCCGTTCAGTAGTTTTTGCGTGAAAGAGTAACAAACATCCACACAAACTTTCGCATTTATAATATTAGTAGGATTTATAGGTACAGCTTCTGCCCGCGGCTTCACCCGCGTGAAGTTTGTCACAGATTGTCATAAATCATAGCCTATGTTATTCTGGGTTATAAACACAGAACATTTCTATGTTCTGTGGTTATAAACAATAATACTATAAAGTTTTATCAAAATCCGTTCAGTAGTTTGCGTCAAAGAATAAACATGTTAACATCCAGACATCCATACAAACTTTCATATAATATTAGTAGGAGGATTCGTTGCCTGCTGCTGTTTTTCCCGTTTAGTATGTACATTTCCATAGACTGGGTTGACGACAAAAGTCACCAGTGCGCGAGCGCTTTGTCCAGCAGTAGGCGAATTAAAAATCAAAAGGGATTACCTGAGTAGTTAACAAAAGCGATAGCAATTTAAGTAACTATGTAAGTGAGTAATGTACAGAACCCTGTGTGGCAAAGTACTAATCGGTATGCACTATATTTTTTTAAATTCAAAAATAATACCTACTCAAGAAGCACCTTGCATTGTTGAAGTAAACACATAAAAGGCGACAAGTGATCAACCTTTTCATAATTACATTCAATAGCACGCTACCACTGGCGATAGTTGATAACAATGTTGTAAACAAAATTAACCAAATTACATAATTTTAAAGTTATTTAATTGTGAATTGTTACTTTTATAAGCCATGGAACTAATCCTGTTTGGTTTACTGGTTCTGTTCCATCAGTCGGTATCGACAGAGGTAATCTACAAGCTAAGCAGTAAGTATTGTCAAAGTCCGGTCATAAAAGTAATACACTCGGCGTCAAACAAATCGCACCTCCCGCGATAAGCACTTTCAAACGTATGCATCCCTATTTCCCACCAATATTGGTACCCATTTTTAAAGCCTAATAAATTCTAAACTTCATTTCATTAAAGGAAAGGATTTCACCCCAAAAATGTGTCTTTATAAGGATCCAGAGTCTCTTCTGGCCTAAAAACTGTTTAGTTGGGATTATTCGCTATCCCTCTGTTAAAGAGGACACGTGAGATCACCTATTTGGTTTTATAACCACAAAAATAGGTCTAATTGATCCCAGAGGTGGGCCACAAGTGAGGCCGTTTTTCAAGTCACATTTATGGTTAATCTATATACTTATATAAAAGAAAGTCGTGTTAGTTACTTCGCTTATAACTCAAGAACGGCTGAACCGATTTAGCTGAAAATTGTCAGGGAGGTAGTTTAGAGCCAGGAAAAGGACATAGGATACTTTTTATCCCGTTCGAAATTAAAAAAAAAGTCTGCTTATTTATTGCCATTAAGGCGGAACAAAGTTCGCCGGGTCAGCTAGTTGTTTATAAAAAAACTAAATGCGTTTGTCTTTAAGTTTAAATTTAAGTACTGGGCTTTCAAATACCTAACACAAATATTGTTAGGGCACCATGATTGTATCAGAAGAAAATCTTTAAAGTTATTGTTTACGCTGTAAAAGACCTTGTACGAAAACTAAGATGATGAATAGGTAAAGGTTTTTAGGTTCTTTCTTTTACGCTTGCGTCAACGCCAACACTTGCGTGTGTTACCTTACTGATCCTTGAATAATACCTACGTAAGTACCTATATTGTTGAAAAACATGGTAAATTTTATTGTACCTGATCATCTCTTACAATTATGTGAGATGCAGTCAGCAACAGCTTTCTCGTGGGGAATAAAATAAAAAAACAAGTATGTAGATGTTAGCAATTAGTTAGCAGCAGCTTAACCATTTATCTAGGCTTCTTTTTCAGAGGGGGGGGGGGGGGCTGTGCCTCTGACATGCCATGTCACTATCTAACTCATGATTAATACTATCTGAGTATGATGGACTGCCATCTTGAAATTGGCGCATGAGCATGCCCTTATTTTCAACGATTGCCGTTCTTGTACAATTACCCATGAGCATTGCCGTTTGATTTGATCACAATGTTGATGGATTTCCAGAGGAAGATTATGCACGAATGCCGCTGAAGACCGACCTGGACCGCTACCAGCACTGCCTGAACCAGCCCAATGGGGTGTACTGCTTCGCGCACGCCGACGTCGTCTCCGACGGCCCGAGCGAACTGCTGGATATGATGAGGGTCTGTACACCTTCCAGGCAAACCAGCTTGGCCACTCTTTATCTGATTTCAAGATACTTTGACGTGTCCTACGTACTCTCTTCTTTTACGTCGGGAAATTCTTGGCGCGTAATGGCTGATGAGGACAACCAATGGATTATGCTAGATTCTCCCCGTCAATAATTAACTTTTAAAAAAAAATAAAACCGACTTCAAATGCGTGAACACAAAAAAAAACTAAAAAAATTGAAAATATTGCGTATAAAAAAGTTCATCCCCAATTTTCCACCCTTGGGGGTGAAATATTTTCTTCAAATTCGCATGCAACCACCCTTTTGGTAATACCTATTCAACAAAAAAATAATCGTTCAAATTGATTTATAATCGGCGGAGATATTGTGTATAAAAAAGTTCATCCCCAATTTTCCACCCTTGGGTTGGTTGTTTTTTCTATTATTAAATTTAAATGGGACCACCCTTGAGGTATTACCTATATGACGAAAAAAGATTTGTTCAAATCGGTTCATAATTGGCGGAGTTATCGCGTAACAAACATAGAAAAAAAACATACGGGTCGAATTGAGAACCTCCTCCTTTTTTGAAGTCGGTTGAAAAAGCGGGGCCTACCCGCTAAACTAAAACCCGGAGCCCAATGAAACGGAGCTGCAAGTTACTGTCTAACTTGGACATTCGTCCGCTCCGTCTCAGGCTACCGCGTTTCAAGAGGAATATGGTGGATCTCCTTGGGTCGTCCGCTTACGGCGACCTGAACCCTGGTGCGCCGCCGCCACGGCTTGACGAGCCTGACTTAAGAAGACTATTCTATTGTGGTTTTTATAACAGGGCTACTCAGCATACACGACCGCGCACCACAACTACACACGGCTGCGCCGCGGGCTGTGCATGACGCGCTCCTGCCAACAGTTCTACTCCGGGGACAGCGAGCCTGAACTGCGGGCAGCCGCCGAGGCCTGCCTCAACCACACACTGGCCCAAGAGTGCGGTCTAAAGACGAAAGTCACAAAGGTATTTTCTCAGTGCTAAGAGTCAGCTACTTCTAAACATTACAAGCAGATTGCTGCTGCTATTATATGTCTTCGGACTAGTATAGGTTAGGGTCCTCTATTTACTAAAAAGCCATAATTTTGTTGGGATCCGGATCAAGAAAATTCCACTAAAATTGAGTTTTCCGACACAGATAAACTGCTACTTCGAAGATGAGACGAAGAGCAAATACTCAGTCGACTGGGTGGACTGGGCCGTTGCGGCGCTCATATTTGCTGTCCTTACCTTGAATGTTGCAGGGAGTGTATATGACTATACCAGAGACGAGGCTAAGCCAGGTACAACCAATTGAGTAAGTTTAGAATAACGATTTTGATGTGCGGCGGTACTAAGATGTGAGTGACTGAGTTTTTTGCCCTGCTTCTTCTCAGCACTGGGCCATTAATTAAAATTTTTATTGCCATTAAATCTAACGGCTTCTGCACTAAGCATAGCTAGTATCGCAGTAGGCCTTTTTAGTTTTTACAACATGGTCTTAGTCTTTACTTTGTAGTCCCGATCCCGAAGCAGTGGTAGGACGTTTAAGGTGCTTTTTAAAAGCTTGCAAAATTAAAATGAGTTTTATAAGTTTTTATGTCTGATAGCCCTTCTCGTTCGTTCGCTAAAATCCATTTGAAAAGTACCCAAATAACAATTCTATAAACATTAAAGTCCAACACGTATGGCGCATAATCATTCTAGTATATTACAGCGAACAGATTCCTGCTGTCATTCTCGTGGAAGAGAAACTGGAAGCAGCTGATGCAGCCGCCGTCACCAGATCCTCGCGCAATGGAGCTGCAGTCACTCAATGGGATAAGGCAGGTTCTAAACATTCAAGTGTTTAGCTATTTAAGACCATGTCAACCATGTGATAGGTAGGTAATAAGCACAGTCGGTAGAATCCTAAGCTACTTCTTAAAACCACAAGAAGATTACTTTTTTATGCAGAACAAGGCAAGTATTTGACCGCAATCGCACCTGCCTGATGTTAAGTGAGATGCTGTCTAGGATGGTACAATGTATCTGCCCTGTAAGTGTACGGGAAAGACAACAGCAGGCAACGAATTCCAGTCTCTAGCTGTTCGCATTAATGTGTAGACTGTAGAGTCATATTTCCAACCAAAAAACTAAATACTCGGCCTGCTAAGTATAAACTCTCTAATCCACTAATAATAATACAACCCTTGTCCTCAGATTCTTGACCTGCCTCATAATCGTATTCGTCCACGTGCCCATGCCAGCACACATTGCTCTTGAAAACCCCGACTTCATAGAAAAGGTATGTATCTACTTGTCTACCAAATGGTTTTTTATAGATATCTTGAACGTAAATAAATATTTACATAAATAATTCAAAAGAATATAAAAAATTCGACTTTGCATACACAATGTCGTCAATTTTTAGTTTGGCGAAAGTTCATGGCACAGTCTTCTGGAAAAATCTTATTCCACCGTAAATTCCGTTGCGATGTCACTATTATATTTGGAATGGGTGACATTTCTAATAAATCATCAGACATTGCTTCTTGAAAAAAGAACATGAAAGATGCCTCACCAAACCTCTTCGTAAAAGTTACAATAAAATAAAAGGGTCTCTCAACAATTTCAGGGGTACGAGGGGAAGGACAACTATTTGATTTATAACGCGAACACGACAACGCAGTCATTTTTCTTGATGTCAGGTTTGCTGCTGGTCTACAACATGCAAATATCAACTGAGAAGCAGCCGTTTACGTGGAGAAAATATATGAAGTCGATATTTTTGAGATGGACGAGGTAAGGACATAAGGAAGGAGGCAATTATAATAACGTCATGTGGTATTTGCCTAAAATAATATTTATTTACTCATTACAGGCTGGCCCCGATGATCCTCCTCTCACTGGTACTGTCAGCTACTTGGCTGCGTTTCTCAGCTTATGGACCACTTTGGCATGTAAGTGTCCATCACTAACTATCGACGATTTTTTGTTTAATTTTCCAAAGAAAAAAAAATACAATTTATGCAACTTTTTATGCGTTTCTTTGAACGAGAAAAAACACATTAACACACAAAAGGAACTACGTTAAATATAAAAAAAGGATATATTTTCTCAAGGACTTTGGTGGAATTCAGTAGTGAAATGAATGGACCGATGTTCAAAATCTGTCCATAAACAAAACAATGTCATACTGGTATTCTTTATTTTTAGGAACAGACAGGAGAAGAAGTGGAATACTGCCGCAAATACTGGATTTACAACGCGCTGTTTATCAACAATCTCGTCGACGTCTCCACTTGCAATTTGCAGGCTTGGTATTTACTTTTACAGTACTTTTATTTTTACTATTCAATAGTTTCTTTTCTTCACGTTCTATCTACGGAAACTCTGTCTGTCTTGCTTTCACGCCTAAACCACTGATCCGATTTCGATTAAATTTGACAGAGATAGTTTGAGTCCCGGGAAAGAACACAGGATAGTTTTTATCCCGGTTTTTGAACCAGAGACGCGTGCGATAAAGTTTTTCTGTGACAGACAAAATTCTAGCAAAAGCTAGTACTTAGATAAATCTTTCTGTACGTATGTTCCTTTTTATTTTGGTCAGCCTGGCAGCGTACTTTTTTCTTTGTTTTTAACCTTTCGTAGCATTTGTTTTTTGTCGTCTATAAAAACTGTAACGTCCCCAGGTCGTCAGCCAGCGACTTCCACCTGCACATGATAGGCCTGACGGTGCTTTATCTGGCACCGAGCGTGGCGTGGCGGCGCGTGATGCTGGCACTGCTATACGTGGTGGGCCTGGTGTGGCCGGCTTACAACGTCATCACAAGAGACCTGGATGGCACTTTGATCGCCAAACCAGAGTTAGTCTTATCAGTTATCATTTTATTGTGCTCCCTGAAATCTACGGGTAGGCGAGTAGAGATCTTGTTCTTCGCAATCGATGATATTTTCTCACTTACAAATTCACTTAACGTAAGACGTAGATCACATTTTGAGACCTCTATAACATCTCTACACTACGGATTGGTATAAAATAGTAGCTGATCGCTTATGATTTTCGTGAAAAACTATGTCGTATTCATTCGTAATCTTCTGACTTCTCCAAAACAGTTATTAACAACGTAGTCACTTGTGCAGTGGCGGAAATACTCAATACTCAATTCTTTAATGCATCCATAATGTTACAGAGGAAAGTTACCTTATTGTGCATAATGTCAGGCCTGTTCATCTCCGCGAGTTTACATCGAAAACAAAACACGCACGATGGCCCACCTATAGGATACTATTCGACAAGGCCTCACATACGAGCGAACATTGACTCACGCACGCGTATTCTTGTGTATGATGGAAGAAAATAAAGAAAATAGTGTACTAAATAATGAGCAGTATTTAACTGCCTAAATAATAATAAAAACACAGAATGTACTTTTTTAAGTTGCCTCAATACACTGAGAGGTAAATAAGTAGTTAATGTTATTCATGATAATTCATGCTAAATCATGTATTTCCTCCGCCATTTTCCGCAGTTTGGCACCTCACGTCACATCATTTTACCGAAGTCAGCCCTATAGCTTCGGCGCAGTGCCGATCACTGACGTTTGTCAACAAAATGGTGCTTGACTCTTGAGACAGGCTAAATTACACCATATTGTTAATTAATTTATTTATTTATTTAATGAGCAACATAATAAGCTTACAGAAAACCCAAAGCGCTTACATGTTTAGTCACCACATCGATTACAATAAAATTATATATAGTCAAAAAATTACACAAATTATTAAATTAAATTAAAATTAAATTCTGTTTAAACAGAATTAATTAATTAACAAATTCTAGATAATAAACAAATCGAGATAAAATTAATATAGATACATTAGAACAGAAAAATTATGGATTAATAATGTCACATGTCAAAAAAAAAATCATTATATCAAGCAGGTCATCATTATCATTAACAATGAGTGTCATTGAGTGATATACAAAAACGTTTAAAAATAAATCCAATATGGTCGGCAAAAATGTCAATATCCTCGTGCTGAGCGAGCAAGTCGCCAATGAACAATAATGACATTGAGCATACATTTTTTTAAATACCTTCGCGAAGTAAAACTTCTGTACGTAGTACTTATTATTATTCTGTGATAATGTCCCTAATTTGCTCGCACACGGGTGACCTCTTCGTTTTTCAGCTCTTTTCAGGTATAGCTATTATATTGCGTACATTTTCCCGCAGAACAATTATGGAGTACTACAAGAATGACGAGACGTTCCACTACCTGTACAAGCGGACATACAGCAACATGCCCGTGTTCATTATCGGCATGACCCTCGGCTTCTTCATCTACGACTGGCAGAAGAGGAAGGTCACGACGCGGGACCACTCGGTATTGTCTATGTAATAGTTGCTATGCTATGCTTGCTGATGAGGGATGGGTTACTCCGAAGAGTGCTAAATAAAACCGACCCGTTTGAGTGCTGCTCATACACTGATTTATTACTAAGTGATTCTACAGGCGTGAATTAAAACTAGGTCAAACTTATACGTAAAGTGTTTAACGCCTACTTAGCAATAAATGATTTAACTATATAAAAGGGAAATGTGCAAGTAATAATGTACGATAGCTCGTACAGTCTGCCTTTCTTCTATGGTGGTGATAACATTCAGCTTCAGCTTGCTAGAATCTTGCTTTGAAACTTCTAGAAGTTGTATGCTACGGGTTACTACGCATTCGGCGTCAATCAGATTTCTTTTCTTAGTTAAGACAGCTTGAGTTTGCTAGAATCTTGCTTTGATATAGCTAACACGTTTGCTAGCTATACAGAGAATCTGAAATAGAGGTTCTGATTTCCTAATAAAAGACGACAAATAGAAACCTTTTAAACTTTCGCGTTCCATTGTGATCTAAATATAACTCAAAGGTGACTGACTGACTGACATACTGATCTATCAACGCACAGTCCAAACCACTGGACGGATCGGGCTGAAATTTGGCATGCACTCATGCAGGTAGATGTTATGACGTAGGCATTCGCTAAGAAAGGATTTTACAAAACTCCATCCCTAAAGGGGTAAAACGGGATTCACGCGGAGATATGGGGCCTTCGAAGTACCATATTTCATATTGTCGCCATGTCACGTTTCGGGAAGATTAACTGACAGAAGACATTGTTGCAGAAGTACCGCTACGCCTATTGGTTGTTGTTTCCGTTGATGGTGCTGGTGCTGCAATCTGGCGGGTACTGCTTCTACCAGCCGGGGCCGCCGCGCTCGCTGCCGCTGCGGGCGCTGTTCACGCCCGTCATCAAGCCGCTGTTCGGGCTCATCGTCGCGCTCATCATCGCCGGCGCCGTCAACAAAGTCGAAAGTGAGCATGGCTGGACATAGCTAGGGTTGCCAGGCGTCCGGATAAAGCCGGACATAGTTAGGCTTTTTGATTGCGTGTCCGGCCAAAATAACCGATGTCCGGCCTGTTCGGCCTTTTTATTTGGTTGTCGCGCCAGGCGAAAGTCGAACCACAGAATAAGGCACGCACGCATCAGGACGTTAGGCAACCGATGATGATAGTATTCACTCGTGAGCTCACTAATTACACCCACAGACCACACAGCACAAAGTATTAGTTGGTTCAGGTTCAACACTGATAAGGCCAAAGATGTATCTGTTCGCTACTGATGTCAGTTTTCTTGAATTCTTTGAAGTAATGAAGCTCGCCGCGCTTCGTTGCAAATCACAAGTATTCTTCTTGTATGATAGTGAGCAAGAATCACAAAATAACAATATGGTTTTAATAAGATCGAGTGATCTGTGAGTTGACTCATTCTTTTTACTGCATTTTCACCTGTGTCTCAAACAGCCACGCGTCCATGAGTTACTTAGCATAATATAGTCTGCAAAAGTAAGTTATGGACTAAGTAAGTCTACAATGTAGACCGTAGTTGTCATGGTTGTATGCTTGTTGCAGCGTTATACCGCAGCGTGCTGGAGTGGCGCGGGTTCGTGCCTCTGGCCAAGCTGTCGTTCAGCATCTACACCTTCCACATGCTCGTGATCCGCTACGCCGTCGGCTCGCGTGCCACCTTGGTCCACATGTCCTACGTGCACGTTGTAAGTGCCAGTGTTTAGCTGATCTTCGACATAAAATAGATAGTAAGAGCGCTTTCACATTTAGAGTAGGCGCACACCGTTGATTTTTAGTTGGCCGATAGGTGTGCCCGATTTTAATTTGTATGAAGAATCGGCCAAATCGAATCGGCGTAGTGTGCGCACTCCCATACATGCCCATACTGATCAACTGCCCGACTAAACTATCGGCCGACGAAAAATCAACGGTGTGCGCCTACTCTTAGGCGATTTACAAGCGCGACAAACGCGCGACAGACGCGCTGCCGAAAATGTCATACTATGACCACGGTAATACTATCATACAGTATTGTAACTTCATATAAACGGACGAAACGCGAGCTTTCCTTCGAAATTCAAATCTCGGTATGCGCTCGACATGCAAAAGCCGGGGGTGTCGCGAATGTGCCACAGTAATAAACGGACGATGTGTTGGTTTTTAAACAGTAAGTGTTTTTTTAAAAAAAAATAATTACAAGTACCTATCTATACAGGGTGTTAGGTAAATGGGTTTATAAGCTGACACTAGCCCATGTTAACATTTATGCATGTAAATGGTATGGTGAAGTCAGTGATATAATTATTTTTTAATTTTCATACAAAATAAAATTTTTAAAATCAGATTTGTATGAAAATTAAAATTATTAAAATGATGATATCAATTTTCTAACACTCTGTATAATAATCAAGCATTTTTTACGCCTCACTCGAGGCGCATACATTTTACAGTCGCTTTATAAGATTTGTTACTAAATCTTAACACAATTTTTTTTTTAATTAAATCAATTAAGAGCGTTTACGCGAAGCGCGGCGTTTCAAGGGGCATCATTGGAAATGATTCGCGCGCGGCGTTTTTTAATAGTTTTCAAATGTTATAGCAAAACAATAACAATGAATTAAATATCGTTTCAAAGTAAATATTTTAAAGAAGATGTTGTTTTATTATATTAAGCTATTTTTATGTTGAATAAAGAAAGAATATTGGTGAAAAAATCACTTTGATTTTTGGGTATTTCACGTTCTTTTAATTTGTGATTTCTTATTGTAAAATGCTTAAATCTAAAAATTTTCTCAGATAACTATTTGCCCAAGGATCTATGCTATAGGATATAAATGTTTGTTAAATCGTTTTCACAGTATTTTTATAAAAATTTCAGCTTGTAAACTGACGCTAAAGTGGAAATTTACAAAACCTTCCTTTTTCTTGATAGAATTCTTAAATACTAAACTAATCGCAATATTTTCTCAATTAACTATTTAGACGACGAAATTGCCTAACTATTTATGCCTATAACATATTTGTAGTATTACTGGTTAATGATTGTAACGAGTTGAAAAAGTACTGTTTTTGCGCCAAACGGCGTAAACGCTCTTAATAACAAGGCAACATGCATTTTTATCCTATTGCATTCACAAAGTGTTTTGTTTGTCAAAATAAAATAAAAAAATTACAATCACAAAATACATTAACAAAACTAGATAGAAATTCTAAGTAGGCAGATGTAATGAAAATAGGGTCTGCAGGTGGGCAGCCCTATCGCATGTTGTCATACGGTGACGTACCGCGCGGCTGTTGACATTTATTTCAAAAATATGGCCGAATTAAAAAACTAAAACGTTTGTTTTTATTTGTATAGAGAACAATAGTGTCTAGACAAACCTAAAAAGGATTTAGGACGCTATTTGGATCAAATATGTAATTGCTCAATAATGAATAATAAATAAATAAATAAATAAAATTGGAATACTGTATAGATAGTATTACCGTTCTATGACAGCCGATGCCTGCCTTCACATTATAAAACGCCGCTGATGCGCTGCTGTCGAGCTTCTAACGCCCTAATGTGAAAGCGCTCTAACAGAAGACAATCACCAGCTGTAATGTACTTCATTTTGCATAGTATACAGAGGCGTCTCAAACGGGCGGCATTCGCGCTCGCGCTGGTTTAGAATGTTTGAGGCTGCCAGACATAGGTGACTTTCTGAAACGACAATAGCCCAATCGATGACGGGCTGGCTGACTCAAAATCCAAGGAACATGGGTTCAATCAAACCCCGCCTGGACTTTTGTGATGAGCCCACACGTAACGCAAGCATATTTGGCTTACCACTTCTTTACTTGACTTGACTTTCTCCCGCCACTACTTCGCAGCACCAGCCGACATGTTATTCCAGAGTGGTGGTAGCAACCTTCACTATTAAAGAACTTGAATTTTAATTATATTTTTTCCTCTTCCTTTTACAAAAAAAATGAGAAGAACAAATGCGATTTAATTTATTTTCAGTTCCAGGAATACTTCGGCTACATGGGGCTGATCGTGATATTCTCTGTGGTGGCACACTTGTGCGTCGAGGCGCCCGTGAACCACCTCGTCAAGATGGCGTTCGTAGACCAGTCGGCGCCTGCGCAAGCGCCCGCGAAAGACAACAAAGCCGAATAAATACCAACAATGGAATATGTACGAGCCAGTAGCACGTACCGAATAGGGTATTTGACACCACCAATCAATTGACGTACTTTTTAAAACTGTCAAAACGAAACTCTCCCATAGATTTTGTACGGCAATACTAGCATGTGACGTCACAATTTTATCAACACAATGAAACTACTTTTTTCAATTATAATGCAACCAAAAATCGTAATTTACAGGTAATTAAAAATTAATTAAGTTTTTAAGACCAGAAACAAGTGTATTTTTAAAAAAGTTGTGGTTTAGAATTATTGGCGAATGGTGTCAAATACCCAATTGCGCGTCAGCATTTTACATTGTTTCATAAGTTCGCGTCACATCAGCATTTTTACTCCACATTTATAATTTCATCAGTTCATGTTCGGTCATCGTTCATACCGTGCGCGTTCTCAATATCATTCTATCATTTAGCATAAGTATCAGTCTATCAATACAGTTATATCAGTTCATATCAGACTTTCATTCCTCTCTTCTATCAGCAACATATCACTCAAGAGCGTACAAACCGTACAGAATAGGAGATGTCATGGAGAGGACAGAGACTTGTATAAAACACAGCGATAAAAGCCTCTTAGTATCACATCACTAAATAAAATTTTAAGCATGTTTATTTTATGGTTGTTTTAATGAAAGCAACTTACTTACAGTTATGATATTAAGTTAGATACTAATTCGTAAAATACTGACTGCATAAGTACTTCTAAACAGCTTTGAACTTAAATATACAACGTAATGTAGCAGAGTAGCGGACGCCTAGTACAAAAGACATCAACGCACCAGCATCAAGAAGTAGTGACCGAGGTCAGGCAATATTTATTGAACACCAATTTCGATTTGATCAATTCCATCTATTACTTATGTTTATGTAGAGAAAATATTTCAAAATATCACTTATTATTACAACTACATTAATTTGATACCACAGTGTATAGGTATTTTGCCGCATCGTCTGTTCATTACAAAATAATTAATGAGACATTTAATTTTAAAGGTGCGAAGCTGCGCCTTTAAAACTTGGGAGTAAGTAAAGAAATATCTTTAATATACGTGTATGTTTTTAAGTTGTCTTTCAAGAGAAGGTAAATCACGGAAATATAAATTGGACACACAAAAATGTGTCCACGAAAATGTCATTTTAATTTACTCTTCAACACGTGTGTAACTTTTTATTGGTAGGGTGTTTAGGGGGTTACCTTAATACTACATACCTACCCACATACCACAGCACATACCTTTAACAAATAGTAGGTATAGGTACGTTTGATAAACGAAACCTAAATGAGTGAAATGTGCGCGAATTTGAATTTAGAACGTTTCAAAAATATTCGCCGCCGTGCCGTGCATATCGTTCCCCCATCCAATTGCAATATTTTGTCAAAAATATAAGAATTCTAAATACTGCTCATGCAAGAGTTAATAGTTAGCTAAAGTATCTACGAAGTTCATACCTTTTCTCCATGGCGGATGTCACGTACTTTGCCGGCGTCGCGTCGCTTTTCTCCGGGACTTTTCTATTGAAGTAAGTTACCGTTCATTTTGAAGTAACTTTACACTGATTTGTTTCATTTGCTTACACTTGTGCACTTTCATGAATACTGAAATTGTTAATAATCCACAATTATTACACATTTCACTTAAAGATAAACACAATTTTTACAAATTATGACAAAAAAAACTGCCTCACCCTCCCGCCAAGAACTCCAAATTCAAGTCGGAGTTTATTTTTTTAAAAATGCATTCACAGATTAAATAATTTATCATGGTGCATGGTGGTGACGAGGTGAGTGCAGAGCCCCGATTACGGTAACTTTTAACGTTTCCAATCCAGACACGCTTCTCGATTCTGCGATACGATTGGTCGTTCAACAGCGTACGTCAGCTGTTTTGACCAATCGTATCGCAGAATCGATGAAGCGCGTCTGGATTGTAGACGTTAAAAGTTACCGTAATCGGGGCTCAGTTTTGCTAGCAACTTTAGTTTGAAAAGAAAATTGTTATTTTGATTTAAATAAACAAAAATAAGTACAAAGAAATAAAAACTAGAACTACTTAAGTAGTGTATCAAGATATTTTTTATTTTCATAGCATCATTATTTATTATTTATCTAATATGATGCATAGCTTCATACTAAGAGTAGGCGCACACCGTTGATTTTTAGTTGGCCGATATTTGTGCCCGATTTTAATTTGTATGAAGAATCGGCCAAATCGAATCGGCGTAGTGTGCGCACTCCCATACCTACATGCCCATACTGATCAACTGCCCGACTAAACTATCCGCCGACGAAAAATCAACGGTGTGCGCCTACTCTTAGTTGACTGTTAGTTGGGCCCGATTCTTATTTGTATGAAGTTCATATCTGGCGAATGTGTCCTGCTCCATTTCGTTATGTAACATCTAATTATACCACATTCTGCAAATAAATAATTTTAATTTGAATTTGAAGAATCGGCCGATACGAAATCGGTGTAACGGTCGCACTTTCATACATCTCCATACTGATCAACAGCCCGACCCAACTAAAAGTCAATTTCTGATGTAGGTCAGCGTTATCCATGGTAGATAGATAGATATTTATTTGCATCACCATAATGTAACATAGGATAGATAAGGCTTAAAGCTGGTCGTCGCTTGAAGTTGCTTTGAAAGAACTAAGTCAAATTATCTGACCTAAAAAATCTAACTTACCCCTCCCTAGACCAGAAGCTGGATATAACTTGCCCCCCTGTAGGCCAGAGGCTGGGTACGACGATGGTTGATTTCCTTTTGTCGCAATTTACTGTACAATTGTAAATGAAAGAGTAATAAACAATGGATAACAATTAATTTATTACAAATATAAATTCAATGTAAGTATATTTTTCCTTATTACATAGTACGTTTTAATTACATGTATATTGCGTGAATTTTAAAATACGATTAATATATAATACAAATAAATCAATACAGATAAGATTAAACTAGGAAGAACGTTATTTATTTGATAAATTGCATTTAAATTGACAATTTTGTGACCAGCTTACATACTTGTCTACGTTTTGTCACAATTGTTCAGACAAATCATAATCTAAACTTGGGAGAGTGAAACTTAATATTATGGAAAAATAAGTAGATTGTGCGTTACACGTTAGACTGGAGGTCATTTATAATTCGAGGCTATTCCCAATTTATTTCGCTACTTTATGAGCAGTGAGGTAGCATTTGGAAACATAAAACTAAACCTGGGAATGCTTATTTCGACTGGACTGTATCAAATACACTCTTCTTATAATAATATTATAAAAACAACACGACATTAAATGACTGTTAGGCGGTACGAAGTTCGCGGTGTCAGGTAGCTATAGTTAATAATACTGTCTGCATTAATGTCCTATTGCAATATGATCGTTTTTACCATTCTAAAATGTCTTCAAAATTTTACGACCAAGGCAGTTAGTTGTACAATAGTTGACAGTGAGTCTCAGTCTAAAGTAAAGTCCCTCGCACACTACGCTTTATCGTCCAAGTTGGCATCATTCATCTTTCCCGCGAGCTGGTCATCATTGAGCTGGTCCAAGCACAGGTGCAGGATCCTCTCCAGGCCGCGCGCCGTCTGCTCGGCGGAGTACACGTGAGAATCCGGCACGTGCACGAAGAGAGTGCGTGTGTTGTCCACGCTGAGAGATGTGTAGTAGATGTACTCGCATAAGTACCTGGAGGGAGAGGGGAATTAGGTTGTGATGTGCTGAGAGGGATATAGATGACCCACGCTGAACTGTCCCACCAAACTCAATGACAGGGGGGCGCTACCATCGTTCAACTATATGGTTTCCAACATGGCAAAAATCTGAACCAGCGATCCGGTATTGACGGTGGCGCCCCACTGTCAATGTCATCGATAGGACAGTCCAGTATTTTGGAACTATATGAGGGCTATCGTTTTAATACTTAACAGTTGGCACCCCTGGCGATTGACAGGACCTTACTCTACAGTGGCGCCATCTTGATGAGTGCAAATGCGATAGTTTTACCTTCTTACCACTTTCGCGCTCACCAGCTGGCGCCACTGTCTTCGCTACTAGCAAGTGACAGGACCTTACTCTACAGTGGCGCCAACTGGTGAGCGCTAAAACGATAGCCCTCATTCTCATATTGGGCGGATGGTACGCGTTCTGCTATTGCGTCATCGCACTATGTCGATTTGTTATGCCAGCCACAGATGAGAGAGAATGCCAGCTGAGCTGTGCACTCTCTCTAGGTAGGCCGAGTACGAGAGAGTACAGGGGAGCTCTCGCTACCTCTCGGAGTGTCTCGCTATCGCTCACTCACTCTCGCTCCCGTGTTCGCAAGTGAGGCTGTCTCACATTCGGGCGAGTCTGGACGAGAGCTTTCGGACGAGATGAGAGTGTACAGCCGAAACTTCAACCGCAACCGCGCGCCGTCTCTTCTACGACGCTATTCTATTCACTGCTTTGTCATATTTATGAATAAAATTTACAGCATTCTGTACACACCCCTTACAGATGTCTATCAATCAAACAGTTAACCCAATTTCTTGGATGTATGTAAAGACCTAAAGGCCAGTGTACACAACATGGTAGGAGCAGTAGTAGCACAGTTATGTCTACACAGTTGACTGTGTGATGAACTCATGGCATTGTTAATTTATGGGTAGTTTATAGAAAAAGTAACTACTACATACTAGTACTGTTAATGTCTAGACCATACATTAACTATGTGCTGCATAAAACTTAGAATGTAGAAATTGATTCTAATATTTATTTTCCAGATGGCAAATGAAAAAATTTGAGAATAGAAATACAGTGCCAAATGTGGGTGATAACAGTTCCTAGATTAAATATTCTTGTTGAGTCTTGTTTATGATTAAGTATGCTAAATATAAATGATTTTCTTACCTTCCAGCATCTTTTGAGGCCACTGCCTTTGTGTTATCTTCATGTGAGTTGCCATCATTGAACTCTTTGCATATTCTTTCCACATTTAGTTTTGTGTGCAGCCTTATAGCCCCCTCTGCGGGACATGTATGGTTTGCCGGACATTTCTCAAAGTAGTCCATTCGCTGGTAGCCTTTTCTGTGAGCTTGCATCTCCAAGGTGAAGCATTCTGCAATACATGAGACTCCAACATGTATCATCAGCTGGAATTAATAGAAACAAAGGGTTTTAAATTAAAGTTATAGCCTTGTACTTTATGGATGCAATGCAATATGTTTATCTGACAAAAAAAAACATTCATAAACTTTATGGGCAGTTATTTATTAAGTACCTACTAAAGTGTTTGCATTATGATAAAGAGGACAAAAATAAACTGATATTTAGACCCTATTCGTACCTTTGGTGTGTGCGTTTCCCACAAGGCTGGCACAAATTCATCGACATTTTCATAAGTCACAGGGATCTCCAGGAGAACGAGCTCTACATTATGTTTCTTCTCTATTTCATCTTTGTTTATCAGCTTCACACCCTCCCAACTCGCGTTAACTGGATGATTTACAAACGGCCCGAAACCCGTTACGAGCACTATTGGCTTAAACATAAAGTCCATGTCGTCAGGCATCTTAATTTTAATCTAAATTACGCTTATTTCTAAACAATGGATTAGAAATTAAATAAAGATATCTTCGCCAAGTATTGCAGTTCAAAACTGTTTTGACATATTGGTAGTCAGCTGATTTGTCTTATCAATGTTGTTATGTTGGCTACATAATGCAACAGCTATTGTTACGACAAATTGAATTTTTTGCTTAGCATTAGTTCACCCTTTTTTTTTTTTTTTTGTTTAACATTAGTTCACCCTTTTTACGAACACGAACACCTCGCATCGCATTCGATTTACAGTTCGTTCATTGGAGGAGTTCATTCATCGATGACAGCTGTCTGTCAAATTGTCAACCATCGTTCATTCTGTCTTGTCTTTTCTTCCGATTTCTTCATGGCGCGTTTTAGCAATAAAAGCATGGCATTTTCGTTATAACAGTGAATTAAGCGTATTTAATAAAGTAATTACAGTTTTTATATAGTTCAAAAGTAAATATAGTTGGCTGGTGCTGGAAACATTAGCAAACTGTTTACCTCACTTTTAGGTTATGTTAGAACCGTGTCCATATTTTGTAATTAAAGATAATTCGAAATGACTGAGGGAGATTCTAATAACAACTGTCGGGTGGTGGCGATACCACACCCGTTTGTGAAGAGGAAAATAGAATGCGCTGGTTCAGCATTCTTGAGATATTTCAACATAAAATGCCACGGTGAGGATGCCTCGTTCCAGACGTCGGATTTGAAGGAGAAGGCAGAAGAGGTGACTTTTGAGGATGACGTCGAGTACTTAAGGAGCTTAGACCCGAAGGACTGGAAACAACAGGACCACTATGCAGTGCTAGGTATGAAGAATCTCCGTTACAAGGCCACAGACGACGATATCAAACGAGCTTACCGCCAGAAGGTGTTGAGACATCACCCGGACAAGCGCAAAGCGCAGGGTGAAGAGATTCGTAGTGACGACGACTATTTTACTTGTATCACAAAGGCTTACGAGACACTTGGCACTCCTATCAAAAGAAGATCGTATGACTCGGTGGACCCTCAAGTAGATGACTCTCTGCCATCTAGCAGTGAGATTAAAAAGGATGGTTTCTATAAAGCGTTTGCAAAGTACTTCGAAGGGAATGCTCGCTGGTCCGAGAAGAGAAATGTGCCTTTGTTAGGTGATGAAAACAGTCCTAGAGAACAAGTGGAGAGGTTTTATGCGTTCTGGTATGAGTTTGATTCTTGGCGTGAGTTCTCGTACATGGACGAAGAGGAGAAAGAGAGGGGGGCTGACCGCGAGGAGAGGAGATGGATAGAGAAACAGAACAAAGCGGCTCGGGCCAAACTAAAAAAGGAAGAAATGGCCAGGATACGCAGCTTGGTTGACTTAGCTTATGCAAACGATCCGCGAATCCAGCGTTTCAAACAAGAGGATAAGGACAAGAAATTAGCAGCCAAAAGAGCTAGACAGGTACGTACTTTTAATGCAATTTATTGTTATTCACACTGATTATTATTGATGAAACTGGTGTGGTTATCTGACCAATAAAGCCTTCATATAATCTGTGATAAGTGAAAAGTTTATCATATATCTAGTGATGATAATTTGATGAATCAATTAAAAATGTGACTTTCAGTGTTAATAAATTTATTTGCGTCAGATAAAGCCATTTTTACCCTTCTCTATGAAAGATATTTTTATGCTAAAACTACTAATCAATACCAAACCTTTGAGTACTTGATTTTACTTAATATTCACTTAATTTATTTAGTAATTTTATAAAAGTAGAAAAAGGCAGTCTATGTAAGGCCTTAAACATTTTATATGGTATTAAATTAATACATTTCCCACCTTTCAACTTACCTGAGTGATTTACAATGTAACACTTGAATGTAATATTTAAAATGTGGTGTTACCTACAAGAATAAATACATAATACTTGTTGGCCTACAGTCACTATTAATTACTACAATATCGCACAAAAAAAGAATTTTGAAAATCGGTTCATAATTGGCGGAGTTATCGCGTAACAAACATAGAAAAAAAACATACGGGTCGAATTGAGAATCTCCTCCTTTTTTTGAAGTCGGTTGAAAATATCGCACTCGTATTTCAGGACGCCGTGCAAGCGAAGAAAGCGGAAGAAGAGCGTCTCATCAAGGAGGCGCTGGCGGCCAAGCAGAAGGCCGAGGAGGCGGAGCGCGCGCGAATCGAGGCCGCGCGCGCCGAGCGCGAGCAGCAGAAGAAAACCCTACGCAAGGAGCGCAAGGCCCTCCGCGACCTCTGCAAGGCCAACAGCTACTACGCCAGCAACGACGACGAAACCGTCGCACACATGGCAGCCGTCGAAAAGATCTGCGAAATGATGAAAGTCGTCGAACTACAAGATCTAATGAAAGACCTCGAATCTAAAGGCAGGGACGCCTTCTTAAACACGATCAGGGAAACCGACGAGAAACTCGAAGCCGAGAGGAAAGCCCTGTTCGATACTAAACAAGTCGAGGAGCAGAAAACTAAAAAGGAATCTGCGGTCCGAACACCCATTGAATGGACTCCGGAAATGACCCAGCTCCTGATCAAAGCTGTCAACTTGTTCCCGGCCGGTACGAACCAGAGATGGGAGGTGGTCGCTAACTTCTTAAATCAACACAGCACTTTCACTGATGACAAACGGTTCGCCGCTAAAGAAGTTCTGAACAAAGCTAAGGATCTGCAGAGTTCAGACTTCTCTAAAAGCAGCCTCAAAAAGGCTGCCAATGAGGAAGCCTATGATCAATTTGAGAAGGAGAGGAAGAAAGTTATCAATATTGTAGATGACAGTGGCATATCCAAGAGTGACAGTGGCACCAAGATGGTTAATGGGACGTCCAAGCCCAAACTTGAGGAGCTACCGAAACCTGAGAAAGAAGCCGCTAAAGAAGACAGAGCCTGGACCAAGACCGAACAAGAATTATTGGAGCAAGCCATTAAAACGTTCCCTGTCAGCACACCTGAAAGGTGGGAGAAGATAGCCGATTGCATCCCTAACCGTACCAAAAAAGACTGCATGAAGAGATACAAGGAACTAGTAGAATTAGTTAAAGCAAAAAAACAAGCCGCTAATTTAGCTAAATAACGTTTACAGCTCATTAGCTCTGTATCAAATTATAAACATATTTTGGTGGTGGATCATCAGCAGTATTGCTACTATAATGTAACATTTGAGAATATAAAAAATTCCATTAGTTTATGCCCAGTCATGTATTGATTTCTCTGTTTTTGTCATTGATAGATAATTTATTAGCAAGTCCATTCACAGTGCCTAGAATTGTTATATTGTATTAGTAAATTGTTGTTCACACATCAATACTGCTGGTATTGTGTGTGCTCGACTGATGATCCTACCACTCAGACTCACACATCGCCTTACTTACAAATTCTTCAATGAAGAGTTAAAATTATATTAAAGACAGCACTGGAATTCTGGTATAGTGAAGCTTGCATGTATTTTGCAGTCGAGATATTTTATAAGGATAGGTGATGTCACCTATTTCACAAAATTCATCCAAATCCAACAATGTGACCATCACATGCAGTAATTAGATCCTCTTGTGACATATTTTTGTATTTATTTTTGTTTAAAGTGATGAACATAGTCAATTTGAAATTTTATTTGCCTTTTATTTATCTATCCCATTAATTAATTAAGTACTGAGAACAATAGATAGAAACCAGGGATGGGAAAATCTTTTTAATTGGTATCTTTTGCTTTTGTAAGAAGAAGAAATTAGGTAGGTATCCAATTAATTCTTACGTATCGATTGTTTGGTGATTTTAAAAGTGCATATTTAGTTATTGAAGAAATAAATGCGTAGTAGTTGATCATCATCATTATTTTGATTATCTTTAGTAACTTAGGTACAGACTAAAGTGACGAAAACGACGTAGTTTTGTCTGGGATCGGGTATCTGGTAGGTACTGTACATAATGTACAGTTGTACACCAACAACCTTATTCATCATCAATATACGACCTTGATTAATGTACCTATACTGGCGAGTCGCAATACAATGATACACACGAGTTTATCATTATACCGGAAACATCGAAACCACTACCAAATAGGTACTTACTGGTAATAGCCACAAACACATGACCTTATTTTTTGCTGCTAATAACTACGTCTTCGGTCTTGTAGGTAGGTGTTTTCGGCCTGCATTTCTGTTTACCAACACACAAACAAAACAAAGTATTATCAGTATTATATTGAGTCTTCCCCAGAAGTTCCCAGTGGGAGATGTAAAACCAGTAGGTATAGGGTTCGAATCCTGCGGTATACTTTTGACCAACGATTTTTATTTTAGCATTAAAATTTATTTTAAACTAGCTGACCCGGCGAACTTCGTACCGCCTTAGCGTAGAGATTTTCTTAATATTTTTTTCCGTAAGAACCATCCTTGGACTTCCACAAACATTTAAAAAAAAGAATTATCGAAATCGGTTCAGCCGTTCACACGTGATGCCGTGACAACGCGAAACGGGTTTCATTTTTATATATATAGACTAGCTTTCCGCCCGTATCTTCGCCCGCGTGGAATTTTGCCTGTCAGAAAAACTTTATTGCGTGCGTCCCTGTTTCAAAAACCGGGATAAAACTATCCTATGTCCTTTCCCGGAACTCAAACTCTGCCAAATTTCATCAATATCGGTTCAGTGGTTTAGACGTAAAAGCGAAACAGACAGACAATTACATTCGCATTTATATTATTTTCCATTGTATGACATTAATATTGTTCGTACCTAGGTACTTACTTGGATAAGAATAAATTACTAGCACGTGCAGCGGCCTTGCATTATTAACTTTGCTGTAATAGCGACTTACATTGTTCCGCACTAAATATTTGCCTAATTAATAGGTCAATTGCCAAGACCACAGAGCACCCAAGAGTAGAAGGATTTAGCGGTAGGTATGAGAAAGAAAGGCAAAACAATCATCCAGTCGCAATGGAGGAGGAGATAAGTAGTGAAGTTAGAGAAAGATTATATTTTTTATTTATTTTGGGTAAAGTTGCAGTGATTACGTATTTTTCGTAAGTTCTCCTTGGGCTTCCTTGCCTATTTCGTTTGTCACACTGTTAGAGATAGACCTTCCTTATTACTACTTAAAATGCAAGTGCTTTGTATGCAACGTGAGCTTCCAAAGCTTGTGAAAGTCAATTACGTACCTGGTTGGCCATTTTTATATGTATAGCTACCTATGATATATGACCACCGATCGTTTGGTTATTACTTACCTACCCTACATACATTTGAATAACTTTGTCGGCCGTTTGGTGTAGTGGTTCAGAACGGACTACTATGCCGAGAGGTCCCGGGTTCGATTCCCGGCCGGGCAGAAATTGAAATGATGAATTTTAATTTCTGTGACGGGTCTGGGTGTGACCGTGTGACTATGTATAATGTTTATGTATTTAAAAAAAAAAGTATATAAGTAGTATATCCGTTAAGCTAGCACCCATAACACAAGCATTAAGTTGCTTACTTTGGGGCTAGCTGGCGCTGTGTGAAATTGTCCAAAGATTTATTTATTTTAATAATGAACTGACAGGGTTCATGTCGTTAAATTGATCAGTCTTGACCATAGTCTTGTTGAAGAATAATTTATTAGAAAGGAAACTTTCTTTATTCAAATTTTCTATCAGTGGCAGGGCTCGATTAAAGGTTAGGTAAATGGCTAGTCGGTATACATATTTAGAAAACTACAAGGCGTCCGCAGGCAGCACGGCATTAGCAACAGTTATTAGTATTCAGTATTCATAGTGCATGAAGAAATAAATGTGTATACCTGCACATCCTAGTCCCTAAGTATGGTCACTGAGGTTGTTGGACTACCTATAAGGTTAACTGAAGCTACTGATGAACTATGTTTACAATAGGCAAGTAAGTAAGTACACTACCATATACGTTGATTAGATATGTGTAAATTTTTGGATAAATGTCTTGGTACCTGTGTTGGTACCTACTAAGTATAGCCGATNGATTAGAATTTATATTTTGCGTATTGCGTGCTTGATGGAATCGAACCCGCAATACCCGAATTTTCAATCACTGCGTTTAATCGATTTCTAATTCCCTCTCGCTGGGTTGTCTCGAAGACATCGCTTTCTAGCGATAAGACCGCCCAAATTGTGCTGTTTAGATCTTGAATTTCTTTGAGATGTGTGTTTTGTGGTTGTTGTAAGAAAAAAACTCAAGAATTTATTCAAGAATCATCTTTAATAAAAAAATAATCATAAATATTAAACGAAAGTAATTAAACACAAGATTCAAAAAATGTTTGAAACCAATATTAGAAGTTTAATAACTTTTATGAGTATGAAATTAAATATGAATATACTTTTTACGTATTTTTTGAACAAGATTACCATTTAAAACTTGTAGGTATGGACTACAAACAGTGTAAAACTTTAATAATATGAAGTTTACGAAAAAAATTTCGTATAGTAATTCGTATAAAATGCGTAGGTAATGGAATCCAACTGGAGGAATTTATTTATTGGCTATGTGTAAATACATTCATGTACTGTTACTGAGGTGCACTTAACACAAGTATTATCTATATTAACGTTAATTTTAAAGTAATAAATTATACGAGTTTGGTTCGGTTCCGTTAAGGCACGATAAAGGCCGTAAATTGCGATTAAAGCTTAATTATTACTTAATTTAAGTTGTAAATGGACTATTTATCTTGATATTCATTCAACATAGCTAACATTATAATGGCTATTATAGATAACAAAATAAATAAGTCCATTTAGAACATGTCTTAAATAATGACCCTATTTGCATTAGGTATACAATATCCTAATAATAAATCAATTCAATATAGATTATTTTTAAAGTAACAAACTGTTTTTCTTTTGATAACATAATGTAAATTAAAGTATGTAATTAGATTGCTTTGCTTTGCTTTCTATCTTTAAATACCAATAAGAAAAAATAACAAACCAATGCTTATATTAATTGATACATTATAAAAATGAAACTGTAATTAGTAAATTATGACTCTGCCTTTCCAGTAGAAAGTGAAACTACTCTATGTAGTTTATGTTAAAGAGTATTTAGTAATGAAAATGAGAATAAAACTAAGATAATCAAAATTAGGTAATCAATGACAATAATATATCTGATACTCATGATGCAATTTTATCTTTATCAGTCTTACAGATTTTAAGTACAAAAATTATATTTTAGTAATTCCACCACCACAAAGGGTAAGCTACTGGTTACAATTTTCAATTTGAGCAATTTTCTTACAAAATAGTACCTAAAAATAATAGAGATTCAGTATAAATTAGAGTCCTACATTTTTCATCAGGTTTCAATCAAAGAGAAAGATAATCAAATCAATCACATAACTGGAATGTAATAAAGTTATATAATCTTATCACTAAAATAAGGCACAGTAAGGTCCTTAGGGTTATAAAATGGCTCATTGGTTACTGCAGGTACTCTGTAAACACCTGTCTACCCACTGGCTCCGCGAGGGACAGATTCCGGAGTTATTCATTGTATAAAGCTAGTCATCTCAATATCCTTATTAACTTACAGTTATACTGTTGGAAAAAATAGCTTTAAACTATCTTAAAATATGGCATATCAATCAATTCACAATCCAGTACCATTCAATAGAATTATTACTTTCAGCTGGGTAAGAGATGACTAAAATAAAAGTATATTGCATGGAATCTGCCCCAGTACAAAAATAAATAGCTGCTAGCAATAACTAGACTGCGAAAATTAAGATGCATACTGACTAAGAAATTGGGGGTATTAAAAAATAACTAAAACACTGTTGTAAAATATAAACCAAAAGTCAAATCACAAATCACATGACATGTGCTGTTCTTAGGCTGTATGCACCTTTAAAAAACCATAAAAGATTCACAAATCAGATAGTATCAAAAATGAGATTCAAAGTATTCATTGTATTTTGCACCCTTTTCTCTTCTTGTGCATTTCAGCTTGCTTGGTTTTCTTTTTAGCAAGACCTTCAGCTGTTATGTCGGATATGACGGACAACCTTTTAGAAGGGTCGTAACCTCTGTCGCGGTTGGACAGGTCTGGATGTGTGCCGCCTAGGTCTGGGGGGAACGTAGAACTGTATAGATTGTTATTCTCACTGTAACTGTGAGACATATTTGACACATTTGTAGAGTTCTCATCCACCTGTAGAGTATTGTCCGTGGGATAGTGTGAGGCGGGTCGGATACTAACTGGATCTGGGAAGCGAGGCTTCTTCCCAGTCGTAGGAGGAGGTGGAGGTTGCCTGTGTTGTGTGCTAGCATTCGGCGGTCGCAAATCGGAATCGTAAGATCTGTTGTGAGATTGCGAAGCGTTTTCGGTGGTGGAAGAGCTGGGCTGTTGGGAGTAATACTGGCTGGAGATTTCTTTCGCCTGTAACGCACTAGCTTTTGACTGAATGTGCTCCTTTTCAAAAGGCTCAACATAGTTCAAGTCGGAGTCAACCGATTTACATAATCTGAGCCTGTTATCTCTTATCATGTCTCGGGGGTTGCTGTATGCATCACAAAGAGTGGTCTGCGGGGAGGGGGGCTCAGTTTCCGGCGGGTGGGGCAAGGGCCCCTGCTGCTGCTGGGCCAGCCGCTGCTGCTTCTTCAGAAGAGCCTTCTGCCGAGCCTTCTCCTTGGCTCGCTGCAGCTTCTTGTACTCCCTCTCCTGCAGCAGCCGGGCCAGCTCCCCGTCCTGAGCCTCGACCGCACACCTCATGTCGGCTAACAAGGCGTCGTGGCCCTGTGCCTCATGACTCAGTTCCCTCGCTAATCTCGCATCCTTTTCTTCCTGCTCCAGCCGTCGCCTCATCTCCTCAATTTCCGCCACAGACAGGCCCAGCTCTTCGGGGTCGAGGTCGACCGCGGCGGATGCGGGGTGGGGCGGCGCGGGGGGCGCGCGCGAGGAGCAGGGCTGCTGCAGCAGGTCGGCGGAGCGCTGGCGGCGCTGGCGGCGCAGGTTGATCTCGGCCATCTCCCGCGCGATCTCCTCGTCGACGTCGGCCTGGCGGCGCCGCGCCAGCTCGCGCAGGCGCACCTCGTGCTCGAAGCCGCGCTGCTCGCTGAGCGCCACGGGGAAGTCCTCGCGGATCTGCTGGTTGCGGAAGCGGTTCTCGCAGAGGTGCGACGAGATCTCCCGGTCCTGCAGACGGTGCGCCAGCGCGCCGTCCGCGCGCACCAGCCACTGCTCCCGCAGGTCCGTCACGTGCCCGAGTTTGGGCATCGTGTCGCTCGCCTGGAACCCCGACATCGCTGGTGCGCAACGCGAGAAAGTGATTCAGCTTTCCAAACGGCGGAGATCGCCCAGATAAAATACCGATAATCCGGTCGACTTACGTTAGCATAGCGTAACACTCGGGTTTGTTGAGTGTCAGCACGTTCGATAATGATGATCGCACCGAACGGAGACACGAAACACGATCACAAACACTGGTGCGACCTTTCACGTAAACTTTCTTCGCTCTCCGTGAGAAACGTCGTCAGTTGCGAACTTTTTACATTTTCCCTGTGAACTTATGAGAACAATAGAGAGCTAGGTTTGATAATCTACATAAGTAATTGTAATTAACACTGTTCACTCGCTACTCGTCGCCTCATCCCTCCTCCCTCACAACAAAATTATTGAAATAATTTCCATTGGAGAAGCGGAGTGACACATCTTTGACACAAAGAATCAACTGACAGATTGACAGGTGGATTCCACAGTAGTGATGCACTCATACATATTATGCAATCATAATCGAAAAATTTAAGATTAATTAGTCTTGTCTACCATACCAACATCAAGTCGACCTCGACGTGTATTGCCAATAATTATCATCAAAAAAGAAAAAGAAGAAGAAGCTTAGGTTTTGATTTGAACATCCACTCCAAGGAAATGGTAGCGTTATGCACTATTAATAAGTCATGCAAGTTTGTACGTGAGTTGTTACCTACTTACAGTCAAATTAATAATACTAGTCATTCTTTTAGATCTTTTATTACTCATATTTATAATTTAATCTTTTTTGTTTTCTTTCTCAGGAACACCAGCGCGACGTCTGATCGAGCTCCGCGGACACTTGAACTCACTGTCATCACTTATACAGCCGCGATCTAGTTGCGACAAACACAAATCGTCAGAAAATAATCTCCATTTTTACAATTAACACTTTTGTACTTCGAATAACTCGCCTATTCTTCTCGAGAACTCGCCAAGGCCCTTTTTGTTTGCTGTGATGTAATATATCTCTTCAGACATTCGATAAAGCCAGCTGGACAACCGCGGGTACCTGAAAAAGTTTCCACGAAATAAAAAATATATAATCAAAATCTATACAGGGTGGCCAAAACAGTGAGGTCTAAAAGAAAAATTTAGATTCCTTACATCAAGGTGTACCTAAATCACCCCCATGTATATACTACGATTGTGCTTAGTTTAGGAGATAGAGTTAATTTTGTGATATTTAAAAATTTTATGACCTAGTAGGCTTTAAACATTTTTATCTTTTTTTTGGGTTGACTTTTTTCAGATTTCTTTTTTTCGACAGATTTGTTATTAATTGCAGATGTTTGAAAAAAATAATCACCTTCCTATCTTTGATTCAAGATACAAAAGTTTTGCTAGAAACATTAAAATTATGCTTTTATCAGAACACTATCAAATTTTCATCTTAAAAGTTAAAGTAAAAAAAAGAACTTCCATAGGTCCAAAACCATTTTAAAAACTGCGCCGTTTCCTGAACATTCATAATAATACAAAAAAACGTGTACTTAATGGGCCACTATTTCCTGTAATCGGTCCACTAAAGTTGTAAGTCGGAGATTCCGTTACATGTTTTTGACTTTCTTAGAGTTAATTAATATTGGGAATCCTCTAAGTTTACATTACGTAGATCAGATTTAGAGCAGTAACTGGACAGAAAATGTTTTTATTCTTAACGAGGAAGTTCTTGCCCTTCATCACACCTGGTGGAAACTGATGATTAGGCTGAAGGTGAAAGGGAACTTCAACTACAGAGGAACTATGGCTTCTTACCTCGAAATGCCGGAACACATTGTTATTTTAAGTAAGTTTTAATGAACATAAACCAAACATCCCTCCTTCTTCTCACTGTAGTAGGTATTTCAAGGGTAATAGTAAAATGTAACAACTGCCTCTGTCTTCAAGTGGTAAGAGGTAAGCTTCAGAGGTCCCGGGTTTGATTCCCAGTGGAGGTGAAATTTTCTGCTCGGTTTGGTTGGTGGTAGGGTTTGATTTAAGTCTGCCTGGTTAGCAACTCTATTTTCCTAAGTCTGTCACTATAACAATAATGTTAATAGCATTACTGTATTCCGGTATTGGGAGGTAGGAAGCCATAGTTCTTCTGTAGTTGAAGTTCCCTTCCACCTTCAGCCTAATCATCAGTTTCCACCAGGTGTGATGAAGGGCAAGAACTTCCTCGTTGAGAATAATAACATGTTCTGTCCAGTTACTGCTCTAATTCTGTTCTACGTAATGTAAACTTAGAGGATTCCCAATATTAATTAACTCTAAGAAAGTCGAAAACATGTAACGGAATCTCCGACTTACAACTTTAGTGGACCGATTACAGGAAATAGTGGCCCATTAAGTACATGTTCTTTTGTATTATTATGAAAGTACAGGAAACGGCGCAGTTTTTAAAATGGTTTTGGACCTATGGAAGTTCTTTCTTTTACTTAAACTTTTAAGTTGAAAATTTGATAGTGTTCTGATAAAAGCATAATTTTAATGTTTCTAGCAAAACTTTTGTATCTTGAATCAAAGATAGGAAGGTGATTATTTTTTTCAAACATCTGCAATTAATAACAAATCTGTCGAAAAAAAGAAATCTGAAAAAAGTCAACCCAAAAAAAAGATAAAAATGTTTAAAGCCTACTAGGTCATAAAATTTTTAAATATCACAAAATTAACTCTATCTCCTAAACTAAGCACAATCGTAGTATATACATGGGGGTGATTTAGGTACACCTTGATGTAAGGAATCTAAATTTTTCTTTTAGACCTCACTGTTTTGGCCACCCTGTATAGAAATAAAATTACAGTATAGGTCCCACCCAAGTCAAAAAGTAAGATCTTCAACATTACCGCTGGTAAATACAAGTAAAAACTGTTTAATGAATAATAAACTTGTGCTCAAGAGTAAGCGTCATTACCGTAGTTTGTCTATAGGAACGAGCACGTTCAGCGTACTGAGAGTGGCGGCGATGGTGATGTCACCCAGCGTTGGCCAGCTGCCACCCAGCCACGTGCGTCCTACCAACATGCACTCCAGGTCTCGATACGCACATTCGATTTCGCAAACCTGCTGTGGCATCACGAATCTGCAGTTCTCGTAGAGGATAGGATACTGGAAAATTGAGAAAACAAGGAAATTTGGTAAGCATAAAGGGTATTTTTTTTATTATTTATGTCATTATTGTAATATGAATTTAACCCTCAGCTCCCAAGCGGTAGCCGGCTGCCGTGTAACAATTGATTATCTATTGTGTCTAGATTCGCGGAGCTTGAAGGATTAAGGTTGTACTAACTGCCGCTGCCCGAAACCGAGGATACAAGATGCCGCTGTCGTAGTGCATCAGCTGGTCAATGATTGCTCGGCCTCCGGCATCCTTCGGCAGAAACTTCCCGGCACTGCAGTACCGTGTAGCTAGGTACGAGGTGATAGCATGGCTGGAAAAAGTTGTGTTCAAGTAATGATTTTATGATAGAATAGGGCGTTACTTACGTAATTTAATTGTTATTTAAAGTTAGTAGGTAACTAACAACATGAAATTGAGTAATAATAAGTACCTGTCACTTAAAATAAGTTCTTTGTCTTTGAATATTGGTAAAGTCTGAAGTGGATTGTACTGTAAATAAACAAAAATAAACATTCACAGAGGATCAGATTACAGCAGTTGATTGAAAAGGAAAGGAAATGTTTAACAAATTGTTTTCGTATCAAATGGCATGTTACTGTGGTATGTATTTAGAAAATACAAAACAGGGTTGTAGGAGACTCGCCTTATGCGACTTCGAAAAATGTGGATAACTCACAATAGACAATTCAGGCCCTCTGTGTTCTCCTTTGTCCATGTTTACGTCGACTTCCGTGATGCTGAGGTTCATCGCGTCCAGAGCCATCATCACGGCGCGACACGGCGGACTCCGATCGGTTTTCCATAATGTGCAATGTCTGGAATTTTTTGGTTTATTTAACAGCTAAGTTTACCGATGGACTATATTAAAATCACAATTTAACATTATACAATGTGAAAACACACTTTAGACCAGAAGTGATCACATTTTTACTGCTACTTGTGCCCATTGTTCTGTTCTCTTGAAGTAAAATTCATCATAAAATGTTGTCTAAAATGAATAAATTATTGCTATATTGTAGAATATTATGTAAAATCCAGTAAAATCACATTTTAATTTTAATTCAAATTGGATCGAGCTGATTGTTATGTCAGAACAGAATAAGTCAGCCGGAGGTGTTTTTCGTGACAAGCTATTTAGCTTTAAAAAATAAAGTCTAATCAAAACTCCTTCCTACTTAGTTATGAATGAAGATCATGAATATGATTAACTTTATGAATAGGTATTAATAACTATACCTATACGGCTGCATGCTACATAATCGAATATGATTTCGTCGATTGTGTCGTTAAACCAGTTGCAAAACACGTTTTTTGAAGCATTAACAGAGGCACTAGGCGATACTGGGCGGTCGTACGTAATTCAATAAAATATCTTTGTCTGCGTAAAATAATCGTGTTGTTCGAATTAGTGAAACTGTGAGTTGCAGAAGAACCGTAATATGAGCAGACAGAATAAAGTAATATGAATCCTGTATAATTTGTGACGTAATACTTACTTACTCATTCATCTTTTTTAAATTGCTAAATCTACATTTACACATAAAGGTGGAGTTTCACTGGTTGTACGAGGACCTATTGATTTTAATATTTGAGTAGGTATTCAATATCAATAGTCGTGCCTCATTAGTCATTATCTATTTAATGATAGCAATAGATGAGTTACGAGTAATTATATTAGTTTATGTGAGCAATTGTATGTTATTTTGTCGGGACATAATATCTACCATTATAATGAAAAGTGTTTTTTCCTTTCACCTACTTTTATGATACATTCTACCTACTTCATAAAGTTAATAATATACCTCTCTACCTACTCCTAAATACACATTCAGTGCAATAATGCTCTCTGAGTGAGTACTAACCCTAATAGTACGCTCCAATGTTTTTGTTATAAACAGAGGCGATAAATTTTTCCCTGCGACCCATTGAGTTAATGTCTACCTACCTGAGCAGAAGGGTCGCTATTGTGTACCTACAATGATTATATTGCGAAATGTTTTTAATACGTTAAAACCAGCGCGAAATTTAATATTTGATTATAATAGAAGGTACGTGAAGTCATGCTTTTAGGGTTTAAAAAATGTCTTTGAAGATTTTTGTTCGCCTCATCAAAGAACAATGTGCCTGTGTGCTAGGAAACCAGTGCCTATTTTGTGTAGTTTATGTACCTACCTACTGACCGGGTAAGTCTTGTATTTCTACGAAATTATTATTAAATTTCAATTACGATTTTCAGAACCATGTCGTTAAGTAATGTTCCAGTGTTGTATGGAGATGAGGCATCTCCACCTGTAAGGTTCGTCATGATGACAGCATCCATATTGAAAATCCAGCTGGATTTTCGAAAAGTGGATTTGTTTTTGGGAGAAAATAAAACAGAGTTGTATTCCAAGGTAGGAACAATAACTAGGTACGCTTAATAGCTTGCAACTTATTTAATTTTGTCATGCCTGTTAATTTTTCAGATAAATCCACTACATAAAGTTCCTGTACTAGATACAGGGAAGCAGGTAATATGCGATAGCCATGCTATAGCTCTCCACCTTTGCCGGCAAAGTAAACACCAAGACCTGTATCCCGAAGATAAGTTGACAAGAGCCAGAGTTGATCAGATGCTGTTTTTCAACTCTGGCCTTCTGTTTCCAGCTGACAGCCTAATTTTTGTAAGTTTTCACGGAAAATCTTTTCAGTAAGGTTTTGCAGTCATTTGTTGAATAAAAATTAAATTTTATTTTATTTAAACTTGTAATATTTCAGACAGAATATTTTGCCGGCAAGCCTGTGAATACGGTCAACGTGGATCATTGGTATAGGCTGTTAAGTTACTTGGAAGGGCAGCTGAGAAGTCAGCCTTGGCTAGCTGGCGAAAAGGTAACGCTATTACACTATATTACCTACCATGATCTTGAGTGACTAAAATGACCACTTAACGAAATAAATGGCGGCGTTAATATAGGATAGTAGCTAATTGTTTTTTTTTGTTAATTAGATGACGCTGTCTGACTTGTGCTGCGGTACTACTATAAGTTCATTGCAACTTTTAGTGCCAATAACGGATCAACATCCTAAAGTTAATGAGTGGATGAAGATACTTCAACAGCAACCTTGCTTCGAAATTAACTTAAGAGGTTTAAAACGTCTGGCTACTATGGTAGAAAAATATGTGACTAATTCTAAACAATAAAGTTATTAGTTAAATGAACGTTTTTAATATTTATTTCACAATTCACATTACATCCGCCATCACGCCATGGGACTTACCCATCCGAGTTCATTTTAAACTTGGTAGAATCATTGGATTTTGGCGTCGTACAAGAGCCTTCGCTAAAATTCACGCAGGTGCCCGCAAAAATTGGTGTGAGCAACGCACTCAGGTGAATTTCCGTACATTTCCATTAATTCATAGTTCGGTAGGCGTATTATAATAATGTATGGAAATGCAAACTGGCGCGGAGGCCCTAAAAGCATCAGAATAAACACTCTTTTCGAATCAAGCGGGCGGGATAAGGGGCAGAAGCTACACGAAACTCGATACGATGCCGAATGACGTCCACTGCTGGAAGGCCTCCCTCAAGGATTTCCATAACGACCGGTCCCGCGAAACAAAAACAAAAAAGAAACTTAATTAAATCGATATTTTCGATTATGTTTCAGCTGATTACAACGCGGCATTTACTTGTCTATGGAACGGAGTATAGTCTGTTGTTCAAATGTCAAAAGTTCTGTAGTCTATGAATGCTATTGATTGGTCGACGAGGAGATGTAAAAAATGGCTGCCTTGCCTTCTCCTACTCAGGTAGAAATAATCGGATTTAAATAGTTATTATAGTGCAAATTGACTATTTATTATCTCCCACGGAAACTTAATTTATATACCAATCGTTTAGATCTTCGCTTGTAGGTCCTCAAGTGTGGTTTTATATAAATATTGCTGGTCAAAGTGTCGTACTCGAGTGTGATTGCGATGCGTTAGAAATATTAGAATTGTTCATGTTTTACCGTGAATATGAGTAATATTAGATTCTATGTCGAAGTGTTAAGCTATTTAGCATACGATATTGTAGTAATATAATTGATAAATCCAGTAAAATTCAAGTTGTTTCAAAGAACATTGAATGTCAGGGACAGTGTTGAAATGTCACACCCATAGCAATTCAAAATACGTTTTGTGAATAAATTCCCAGTGAAATTCTAGTGACCAAAATGTGGATTGAACCGTTGCAGGTGGCAGGGACCCACAGTGCTATATACGAAGCATATTATCACCAAGTAAGTGGAATTTATAAGTAGCATGTAAGTTTAATTTGTATGTATTCGTTCTCAATTGATCGCAAGTAATTGATTTTATGAAACGTCTTGGCCACTTAATGCCGGTGTTGCGTGTGTCAAGGAGTTGCTTAAAAATCAATAATATGAGAACATAACCATTTGTACTGCATCAGTTCTTAAAAGTCATCATACACATAATTTATTAAAAACCAATGTTTTATCTTTAATCTATTTCAACTCACTGCAGAGTTGTATATTAAATACTACTGTATCTATGAAACTTTCAACAAGGTCTTTTAGAACCTAAATAATAGTTGATTTTATTCATATTATACATATATCTTGTTTAAAGCCTATTTTATAGTTTTTACTCTGTAGAAATAAAGTTTATTTGTATGCATCTCCTATTAAGGTGGTTAAAACAAGAAGTTTTAAGTTGGTATTTAAAGCTATGATTTAGGTATTTGAGTTATAGTTTTGTTAACAGACTATACAAATAAGTAGAGATATAAAATTGTGTATGAAAATTCACACATAATAATTTTAAACATGAATAATATTTGTAACCATAATAGGTCATAGTGAATAAACTATTTGATATGATATGATGAAGTTAGCTGGCCTACAAAATGACTTTTTACTTCAGTCAATGTGTTATTTGTCTTAGATTAGATATCAAGTAATGATAAAAACTGCTCTTAGACAGATACCTATAACTTTAAAAATGACTGATCACTTATTTATTTTAAGAAAAAAGGCTGAGCAATCATAATAATCATTTTAAAATAATAGAATGTAAAAAATTTAGCTTCCGTTTAATTGGAATAGGTCTCAAGCTCAGGGTTGCCAACTCTACGTATTTTTACGTAGATCTACGTATTTTAAGCCTTCCTTGCAAACCTACGAACTTTAGTCCCAGAATCTACGTATTTTCTATCTTTGCTGAATGGGCATAGTTTCCTTTACTTTCGCGAAAAAGTTCGATCATGGTTCCGATAACGGTTATTTGGCATGTGGCAAAAGTCGTAACTAATGTTATTTTGACATTTCCCCATAGAAAAAATGCTGTACAGCGCCCCCCTGTAAATGTCACTGTCACTGAAGAGCCTTGATCTGAGCCCCGATTACGGTAATTTTTAACGTCAACAATCCAGACACGCTTCTCGATTCTGCGATACGATTGGTCGTTCAACAGCGTACGTCAGCTGTTTTGACCAATCGTATCGCAGAATCAGAAACGCGTCTGGATTGTAGACGTTAAAAGTTACCGTAATCGGGGCTCTGATATGAAATTTGAAATGTGACGTGACGTGACTGTGTGTAAACGGTCAAAGTGAATCTTCACTATAAAAATATTTCGAACTAAGATTTCGAAGTATCTGTCCATAATCACTTCCTCAAAATGATCTCATCTTCATGAATTGTAATTTCAGTTTAACTCAATCATCTATTTTATGTATGTATTTATTTATTATATATTTTATATATTATTTATGTATGTAGCATATTTGTTTTTGTTTTTCTTTCCTGCACTAGAAGTACCGCCAAACAAATTTCTTTTCTGCTCAACCCAAAGGTAAACTGGTCGAGAATGCTTTAGTGCATTAAGTTCGCCTTATGTTCAAATTTATTTTGGCATAAAAGTTTAAATAAAATAAATAAATAAGGTGTTGTTGTATTTCGACATTTTTTTAACTTTCTTCCTTCTTTCCAACAAATATAATTATGTATAAATTTAATTTGTCTGAAAATGATACACAATAAAAGTGTACTTTACTACTTTTAGGGTAATATAAATTGTCGTTTTATTACTTTTACCTACCCCTACTCTCTTCATTTCACTCAGAAAAAAAGTTCGTAGATCTACGTATTTTCTATATAGAAAATGTACCATTTCTACATAATTTTCTAATCTGTCCTACGACTTTTTCAAAATCCGAGTTGGCAACACTGCTCAAGCTTCTACTACATCATAGATAATTACAGTTTTGGAGTTAACAATTCAATGAAGATGATTTCTTACTTAGATAATGGTATATTATATGATAACATAGACTGATTACCTAATTAATTATCAACTGCATTACAATCTTGTCCTGATTGAAATCAATAATCACTCAATCTTTGAAACATAACATGATTATTGTCTTGTCTTTTTACCTAACTATGAAAAAATGAAATACATATTTTAACTAGCTTTTGCTCGCGGCTTACCTGCGTGAAATTTAGTTTGTCACAGATCATCATAAATTATAGTCTAAATGTTATTCTGGGTTATAAACAATAATACTGTAAAGTTTCATCAAAATCCGTTCAGTAGTTTTTGTGTGAAAGAGTAACAAACATCCAGACATCCAAACTTTCACATTTATAATATAGTAGGATTATATCTAGAATGTTTTTCAGCTCCTAAAATACAGGGTGTTACTTTGCATTCTTGCCATATTTACAGAGGTAACTATATTACTGATACTGAACACAAATCCGTTAAAAAATAATGCCCGAAAATTTTGATTTTTAATTTTGAATATTTTATTTTATCGACAATCTGTTAAACACATCACTAACTATCGTAACGCATGCACATCACTTATGTTAGCGATGGCGATGGAGACTTTTTTACTTTTTATTGTATTTTTAAATATCTATTGCAATCTATTGTCTTTAAAATGTCTTTTTGACACTTTTGTAAAAAATTGAGAAATCCATCAATCACAAATCACGTTATAAATAATACAAAAATGACTGAAGTGTATTCAAACAACGAATAATTTAATCAAAATGGAGCTTGGAGTGTCTGCAAGACGTCTTAAATGAAATGCTTGATGACGTACCCTTAGCGTTACACCAAATGCTCTACTACCAGCAGGATGGTGCTCCCCCACAATAAGGACGTCAAGTGCGCGAATAATACGTTTGGTGAACAGTGGATTGGACGAGGGGGTCCAGTAGCTTGGCCACCACGATCCTCGGACCTAACACCAATGGACTATTATTTTTGGAGTGACTTGAAACGACCTGGTATGCGCAGAAGAGATAAAAAGTGTAAACGTGTTACGTGAAAGGATTGCTTCAGCGAAACTGTGAGACAAAACGTTTATGTGTTGCGAAAACTAAAGCGAAATACCTACGCTTCGCCGTGCTAGACTGTGCCTTCATCAGAACGGAGGACACTTTGAACACTTGCTTCGCAGTACGTAAACTTTGTAAGTAGGAACTCATAAATAAATAATTAATTGTGAATAAGGTGATTTCATTTCATACTTAATTTATTAATTTGTAAAAATAGGGAACAATGTTATAAATTAATTAAAAGCCTAATAATTATTACGTATTTTTGACGGTCCTAAGCCCGTAAAGTAGAAACTGAGATTAAAAAGGAAAATCTAAAATCAACTGAAAAGTATTTTAAAATAATTATTAAGACTGGATAAAAAGGCTGGTACCCAGAGCCATAAAACATCACAGATTAATAAGAACTAGACCACGCCCACTAGGTTTATTCCACTTGCACCTGTAGAAAATGCGAGACAAAATTGGTTTATTCCAATTTGTACTGCAAAACCAAATTTACTAAAAACTCAGTGTACTTACTTTATGGGAGTCTCTTGTTTATCTTAAATAATAGGTATTGGTCCCTACTTTTATCTCTGTGAATATGGCAAGAATGCAAAGTAACACGGTGTATAATTTATAACCTATTTTCATCTGGGATTTTGAAGGATTCTAATGGTGAAAACATTTTTCAAACTGGTCCAGTAGTTTTGGAGCGTTCCCTCCAAATAAACAAAAAATCAAATCATACCTCTTTTTAATATAATATTAGTGTAGATGACCATGATACTTCTAACGTGTCAATGTTAACCATACTTTTTTTTATTTTATTTTTTTTTTATTCTCTTTTTCACTACAATCTGTTGCCTTGCTGGAACATTGAGTAGTATGTTTGTTGGGATATGTCATGTCTTGCTCGGTATGTGGCCTGTGTCACATCCTACTTCACTTTATTGGGTTTTAAGTGTGTCCTGTGGAGTTTTTCGTTTCAGTCTACGATATGTCTGGGTTTCGTCCATCAGAGGTCTCGCCAAGGGGTTGGGGTGGTTTGTGATCCGTTTTTTGTACGATTTTGTATGATGTACAAGTTAACCATACTGATGTGCCAATGCTTCCTTGCAGGTGGATCCTCAGGGCACCGGTGCGATACAGGCCCTGGATGCGGCTCGGTTCCTCAAGAAGTCGTACCTCAGCGATGTGGTCCTTAGCAAGATCTGGGACCTGTCAGACCCCACGGGCAAGGGGTACCTTGATAAGGTACATTATTATTATAATAATAATAATATAAGCTTTATTAAGTCATTGAACGCCGAGACGCTAGACACAATGGAAATTGTATTGTTCGAGGCTCACCGGTGAGCCGCGTGGCGTCCAACGTGTTAAAAGTTATTTTACAACATTATTTAACTATTACATTACTTTTTATTTTAATCTATGAATTTCATGTGTTATGGTAATTCTTGTTAGTGTCTCTTCTCTGTCCTGTATTTTTTTTTGTAATGCTTCTCTGACCTTGAAAGGTTCCCTAAAGATCAGCATTCCAAAAAATATTAAACCTGAGTTCTCTGTCTCCTTTCCGTTATAATTTTTCTATTTCGTTTATTTTTCTGAAAGAATTTCTTAATGGATTTGTTTACTTAAATTATTTTAAACTTAGGTACTATTGTAGGTGCCCTTGACTCTATGAATAGAAGAATTACCTACCTATTTTTAAATGTTTTTTTAACTGTAAGTATTTTTTTTAATTTTAATATTGAATTATACTTAATTCCAAATAATATTTTTGCATAGCCATACAAGGTAGGTAATTTAATTAATTTATGACTGCAATAAATAAGTAAATTAATGAGACAACGAAAAAAATATAATAATCATAGTACATATTCAATCAAATAAATCAACCAGCAATAAAGGCCTACAAATAATAATAATTTGTCGACTTTTTGTTGCCCTTAGTCTAAGGTAAATATGTCTAGTCAGCCTGTCTAGCCTAGGTCAGTCAACCAGGCGCGTCTGACTCACTGCAGAATATTCCAGATCAGAGCCGACGACGTTATAACTCTTTTTACGTTGTTACATAACACAATAAACTCGAATGTGCCACTTTTTGACAGTTTTTATGTAGAGGCTGCGTGTTTGCGTTCTCTCATTGTTACGATTCTATTGAGATTCGGAAAATTTAATTACAGGGTTAGGGAAATCAGAGAGAATGCGGTGGAATGGAATAGAATGGAAATTGCCTTTTTATGATTGTAATGTATGGATGTGGAAAGATACTGCGACAATGTTTTGCACGTTTATCATTGATAGGTTGATAGGACAGAATTGAGATCGGTGATTCAGCGATCATTATTTATGGCTACCTAAGTAACAGACTGGATTGTTTGGTTGACTCATATAATTTTGTAACAGTTAAATTGTCGACAAGTTTGTTATAATTTTGTATCAATTTAAAAAGCAACGTTCGTTATAAAATTATCGCCATAAAACTACATGCCTTATCAGATATTTAATTAAGGAAAATGCCAACGTTTCATTTCTGAAAGGAACACAAGGCCGCGTGAAATCGGGTAGCTACGGAGGAGCACAAAATTCATTAACTAAATATTGACTGTTGCGGAGGATGCGTCTCGTAGTTCGTATTTGATTACGCTGTATGCGCTGATACGTTATCACGCGCGCTTGTGTGCGAATGCGCCATGAATGGCCGCTGCGTGTTGTGATTTGTGGAAACATAAGCGTTTGGTGACAGCTATAGAGGTTTCAAAGACTGCTCCGATGGTTGTTTATGGGTAAAAGAAATCAGCACAAGGTCTGTTGTCCATTGTACATTAGGCGACTGTAGAAATCGCAAATTGCGAAATAACACACCACACCAAATCGGCAATTTGCGATTTCTATGCAAAATAACGCATTTTAAAGTTAAAAATAAGGTTATTAATAACTCGGGCAAATAGTGACGTGAAAACAGTGCACCTTGTGAAGACTTCATAGTAATTAACAGTGCGTGGATACAGCTGACTACGTTGACATTGGTTGAAGGTAAAATCGAGACACCCCCTTTTGATTACATCTGCATCGATATCTCGCAAACAAACGTATAGTATTGCTGCCGATAAATGACAATTGAATACAATATGCTTTCGATTTAAATTATTTTGAACTTCTTCCAGTATATAATAGTAGTCTTTGACTTCTTCCTTCCACAATAATCATCATAGTATTTGTGTTTGTCAATGTAAGACAAATTCAATTCGCCGCACTTTCCTATGAGCATCGCCTGTCACTTCATCTCCCTGTCCGATCACCGAGGAGATTCGTTGTATGGAGACTTCCGAATAATTTATCTGCCTATGAAACTTGGCACATGATGAAAATAGGTTTAATGTCAACCTTACGAGGGTAGTAATAAGAACGTATCATGTTTTGGTAAAAATAACCAAACATCCCATAATGAAAGCTGTTGGATTATTGTAGATATATCTATAATCTGTATTACCTATTTCATCATGTGCCAAGTCATAAGGCAGATGAATTATTCGGGTTACTTACAAAAGCTTCGTTGATCCGACTACTAGTCTTCCGTCGACTTTTATAGTCAGGAAATGGACCGAATATTCACGCAATCTTCAGTATAGTGCTATTTGGTGACGAACATTAATTTTTGTGCTGTCTACTATACATAGTAACTAGTGTATGTTCACAATATTTCCCTTGAAGAAGTAATAGGACAGAGTGACAGTTCCTAGCTGATGGCAACAGGAAAGAGTTACCGAAATGCTTTATACGGGCGGGTGGAATGTTAATAGCAATGTTCACGGAATGCTAAATTGCGTATAGTTCCACTAATGAAAACTGGAAGGGGGCTGGTGGAATGAGATAATGTGTGAGCTGTGGGGTATAAATAAATCTCTGTTAAGTATAAATAATCTGGGTAAAGTGCAAACTTCTGACCTTTCTGTGTCGGCATTTAGGCGCCTTTATCTAGGCTCCCGAGGGATCTGTGAAAGACGTGCCACTAACTTCATCGTACTTTAGTAAGTTTTGTTCACGTCGCGTTAGGAATTTTGATGGAAATAATGGGGAGCCTAGACGAGAGTAACGAACTTTCTTGACAAATTGTAAATGGTTATGCGTGGCTGAGTTTTTAAATCTGCAAGTTGGGATGATATTTTCTGCCCATTTACTGTATGAACTCTTTGGTCGTGTATTTCTCAGAAACTACGGAATATTTGTATTATTACTGAAAACAGAAATTAATCACAGTTTCTAAGATATGATAAACACAGAAGTAAGACAATTATTTCTCTTAAAATGAAATTGCGAATTTCTTTGCGTCCGTTCCATGACCTAATTCGAGTTTGTCATTTCAAATAACGGATAGGCACTATAACATTTTACATTCATAAGAAGTAGAAATGTTTTAGCTCGTCAAAGTCGGAGAAAGAACTCGCTATAATTTCTGCCGTAATGCGAACCCTAATCCACTTTGACGACGTCCTCTTGAAATATTACGATCACCCCCAAGTAAGTTAAGAAACGTTTCCTTGTTTACGCATTTTTTATAAACTTTCGAGCGTTTTTATTTCGCAAGTGTCACTTCAACATTTTCTCAAACAATCCGATTACATTTGATGAAAGAAACTTTTTAAAAGGGTGCGTTTGATCGTGTTGGTAACAGAATTTTAGACGCAACTGTATGCTATGTTCATCTTTTAAGGACCTTTAGCTCTGATGGACATTACTAGACTGGATCTACAGTTTACATCAGTTTAACTAGTATTATGTTATCTGTGGTATTAATGTCAAGCAATATTGTTGATCATGAATCTGCGGGTATTTCGAGTTCATTGGTTGCGGTCGCCATTTTGGCTTCACGCTTTGAGTTGGAGCGTAGGCCTGCAGTTCATCAATTAACAATAAAGGGGTAAGCGCAACCATGTGGTTTGAACGCATTAATGTGCTATGATTAATGCTGCTAATTATAATGCTCGTACTGTGTCCCGGCAGCTGAGTGCTAATTTAATTTGCGCTCCTCTAAATGGTGTGACAGCTGATGGTGCCCTAAAAGCGCCCGCATAAATTACTACGGGATTTTTTTTTATAAATAAACGGGCTGTTTCCCAATTTGGATCTATTCCTTCTGCCAAGATTAGGTAATCAAGAAAACCTTGATTATGAATTTTCAAGATATTTATCGGGCATAGGTTGAAATATTTCGCTGCGAGTCGGTAGTTTGAAATACCTTCTTGACCCTAAAGTTTTTGGAACTAGTACCTACATTGTTCGAATTTGTTCGGCTGGTTTAAAAGTTTAGTCCTAACCATACATAACAGATATATGCCTAGATAAGGAAAAGGCCTTGGGAATTTCCACCGGGATTGGAACAAATTAGAATTGTAACATAGGTAGGGTTTTCTAATTTTATTTCCATTTTCCTGTGTGGGGAATTTTTCAGGATGTAGAAAATCCAACCTTACAATGCAGCAATGTAGAGATATTAATCTTCACAATGCAACAGGAAATTACAAAAATATGGCGACTTGTGTAGTCTTACATGGTTGTGACTTGTGACATTTATGTTTATGCACTGTACGTAAATTATGGAAGATCGTGAATTGTTCTTTGATGATGACTTGGAAAGATTACCTATGTGAGCTACTAGAGTCAAAATGCGACATAAATAAATTGGTGTAAATATGTTTATTTTTATCTACAGCTCATAATAATCATGTGTCTCGTGAGATATCATAGTTTACCCTTGGCGACCGAAGTGGAATTCGCCTCTCATCATCATTTCTGTGTCAGAATACCGCGATACCGTATAAAATATGATTACTTATAATGGCTCTTATTTTTCTATTCATAATCTTATCTAATGATGTTATTCACGCCTTGTTATGATAACTCACAATTTGTTTAACTAAAGTCGAGGGTAGATAGATATTTGGTAAGGCGTAGGCGAGGAATGGTGCGACAAGCAAACGTGTGAAACATTATCATCTGCCATTGATCTAACGTTGTAAACTTACTTGTGGTCTCATTTGCTGATTAATTATGAAACGCTGGGGCTGTATTACCATTAATGCAATTAATGGAGTGGAATGCAACTGGTGGATTTTTGTGCAATTTTGAACCAAGTGAAGTGGTCCGAACATCGTGTAAAATTTACGAAAGCTCCGCTTCGTTCTCCTAAATGAGATCAATGAAAACTCATACTTACTACAGACTTCCATTCCAAAGACGACTGAACCACCATCGGTCGACAATAGTATGTAGTCTGCGGGTAGTCTTAAATGCCCGCAACAAGCTCGTTTGTCGTTCGTTATGTTGGTACTCAACATTTTATTGCATCCATTATGTACGGACGACAGCACATCAACCTAAACACAGTGGCGTCTTATCTCGTTGTAATACAGGCTATTTTGCAACAAAATGTATAGGTTAATGTACTGTCGACTGTACATACTTAAAATTAGAACATAGGGTAAAAGCCCCTCTCTTTGTCCTCAGGCGGGCTTATTCGTGGCGCTGAAGCTGGTGGCGCTGGCGCAGGCCGGCCGCGACATCAACATGAGCAACATACACACCGACGCGCCGCCGCCCAAAGTTGTGAGTTTCATCATACTTACTCGACTGTTTGCTCTTAGGCTTCAACCACACCAACGCGTGCAGATCGCTGGTGACCAATGGCTGGTCGCGCGGACTGTCATGCGTCGCGCGACCTGTCATTTTCCTATGATCGCGGTGATGGCGATCTGCACGCGTTAGTGTGGTTGAAGCTTTAGATCTTGTACAGATACTGCGAGAATCGTGGGGATTACAGTTGAATCCTTTAGGCCTTATTGGGCCACCTGTCCAGGAGCGCAGTGAGGTGGGCGAGATAAAATTTCACCAATAGAATTGCATAAAATCTTTGCTCCTCTTTAGGGTATAGAGTGTCGAAATATAGGGAGTTGGGAAGCTGAGTAAGAAAGAGGAACGAGAAAACCAACTGGCTTGTCGTATGCTCGCGGCTTAGCTCCGTTTATGGAAAAACAAGTTGTGCTAGGAAAGGGTCGATATCTACATTAACATTATTCTTTTTCTTGACCACAGAGTCCAACTTCTACCCCCTTATTAATAAAAAGGTTACACCTAAGATGAACGCTGGATTAAAATGACATTTCCATACTAATGACAATTTAAGCCAGAGTTAAAAACTCATTGAAACTCATTTATTTCTGTAAATAGGCTTAAAAAACGCACTTTTACACGTCCCAGTATTAACCCTACCACTGCTTCAGGACAATAAATGGGCCAGTGCTGAGAAGAAGCAGCGCAAGAAACTCAGTCACTATTGTCAGCCTCTTTTTCAAAGGTTTACATGCTTTAAAATGTACAAAGTTATAAATATTTATTCGAGCTAGGCAGTAACGTATCCCAAACATTTTTATCTTTTAAATAATCATCGACTTTATAGTTCAACTAGGGTGTAACTTTTATTAATAAAGCGGCTAGATTTTAACTTTTATCATGCTTTATTTCAGGGGGAGGTACCCAAAGTGTCGCACGGGCCGCCCCCCGCGCGGCCCGCGGCGCCCTCGCCCGCGCCGCTGGGCGACTGGACCATGAAGCCGGCCGAGCGGGACAAGTACAGCCAGCTGTTCGACTCGCTGCAGCCTAGCAACGGCCTCATCGCCGGGAACAAGGTAGGAATCATAGAGATATAGAGAGATGCCAACGCGCCGCTGGGCGACTGGACCATGAAGCCGGGCGACTGGACCATGAAGCCGGCCGAGCGGGACAAGTACAGCCAGCTGTTCGACTCGCTGCATCCTAGCAACGGACTCATCGCTGGGAACAAGGTACGGGACGGGCAAGTGAATATTCTCCCCTTGCGGTTAGAGGCCGGGCCATGACATTGGCCAACAGAGCTAGCTATAGTCTGGTCTGCGAGCACGTATAATTTTGTCCAATGACCCCAAGCTACCCATCCTTATCGCTCGCGCGTAATTATATTGTTGTCGCGACTGTGCGACGGGCACCCACAGTGAGCGAGCGATAAGGGTGGGTAGCTTGGGGTCATTGGATAAAATTCTACGTGCTCGCAGACCAGGCTTTAGTTTATCTGCACTAGTGCAGCCCTTTGCTCAAGCTTTTTTAACTACTTATACATAGAGTGTTATGTAGAGTATGTGTATAGTAATGGTCCCTTCTAAAATCCAGAATTCATTACAAAATTGAAACACGTTATCATTTTTTTTTGGACCATAAGTCTCCGTCACTCCCACTTTGAGATGAAAAAAAGTACGAATGAAAAGGACAGTGTCCATTATATTGACACGACAACAATGAAACGAGATTGTTTCCGACATTTCAGTTCCATGTAACCTTTCTATGGTATCCGAATTGAAATATAGCAATCTTGAAAACGTGAAACTTTCGTGTTTGCAGGTCAAAGGTGTGCTGATGGAATCCAAGCTGCCTTTAGAGACCCTGGGCAAGATCTGGGACCTGGCCGACCAGGACAAGGACGGCATGCTGGACCGGCACGAGTTCATGGTGGTGAGTGGCATTTATTAGAGTAAAACCCTGTGATTATGGCTTAATTATTGTTGTTCTTTGTCAACTTGGACGACTTGTGGTGTAATTCCTAAAGTACACAAATTAATTTATTATACAACTAGCGGCCACCCGCGACTTCGTACGCGTGGATCCCGTTTTACTTCCTTAGGGGTAGAGTTTCGTAAAATCCTTTCTTAATGGATGTCCACGTCATAACATGTATCTGCATGCCAAATTTCAGCCCGATCCGTCCAGTGGTTTGGGCTGGGCATTGATAGATCACTATGTCAGTCAGTCAGTCACCTTTGATTTATATTTAGATAGTTAAGTTTTGTAATTTGTAGTTCATAAAGTGTGTGTGCCAAATAAATGTATTTTCTTTTTTGGCATACCAATGTTATGAATGTGTATTTCAGCTTAGGAATTAGTGAAAAGATGTTTTTTTTGGACTGTTATCGATTAATAAAGTCTGCCATAAATCACAGAAGTAATGCCGTATTGCCATGGATTATGTTGAAATTGATATTGCACTTCATATCATTATTGTTTTATAGTCATCATTCGCGTTGTTCAATTTAGTGGAATTATGTAGTACGTAAACGTATACGTCTCAAATATAGCTTGCCCTACCACCACTTCGGGACTACATATCGGCTCATAAGATACAAGTGTTTTTTATTTTTACTTGTATGAGGCTTCTCGCCCATGGCATGACATTTGGTAGCGATGTGCATTTGCATCGATACAGCGCGTTGGCATCACTTATGTAGCGCGTTACAAATGTGACCTTAGTTGCGATGCTGTCGCTCGTTTGCGAAACGCGCGACAGCATCACTACAAAAACACGTTGCCGTGGGCGAGGGCCCTAAAACCACTTAAAGGTAGCCTTTCGAACTAAGCGTCACAGACGCAGCGTCTTTAGCTTTGATCTTTAGTGCCACCAACGCCGCGACAGTGTCGCTGCGTTCGAATGACGTTCTCTAGAATTTCATACATTTGCATAGATAGAACATTTATTTGTCGCTCTGTCGCGGCGTCACAGTCGCGGCGCCATTGCGCTATAGACCAGTCTTTCCCAAAGTGGGCGATAACGCCCCCTTGTGGGCGCTGCAGGCTTAAAGGGGGGCCTTACCCAAAAAAAAAAAAATCGGGACGTTGTATAGAGGCTTGGGAGGCGTCATCTACTAGGAGGACTCTTAGACATCGACTGAGCTCGACTCTTGACTACAAAAATGGGGGGCGCTAAAAAATGATTTATTCTCAAAGTGGGCAGTAGCCTAATAAGTTTGGGAACCGCTGCTATAGACGCTCGCTTCGAAAGGCTACCTTTAAGGTAGCTTTAGGGTTGAAAATGACGTCGTCTTCTCCAGGCGATGCACCTAGTCTACAAGGCGCTTGAAAAGCACGCGGTGCCTACGACCCTACCGCCCGAGTTGCGTGGGCGGCCCGCGCGACCGCCCTCCCGTCCGCCCTCCCGCCCGCCGTCCCGCCCGCCCTCGCCGCAGCCACGCCCACCGCCGCCGCGACCCGCCCACCAACCGCCGCAGTCTAATGCTGCCTTGTTGGAGGGGCTGCTGGATCTCTCTAGTGTGAGTACAGTCGCTTGTGTACAGCACTCACTGCGGCCGCCCGTCGCACACTCGCGACAGCAATATAATTACGTGCGAGCGATAAGGGTGCTCTCTAGTGTGAGTACAGTCGCTTGTGTACAGCAGGACGCGCCCGGCGCACCACCCGCCGCAGTCTAATGCTGCCTTGTTGGAGGGGCTGCTGGACCTGTCCAGCGTGAGTACAGTCGCTTGTGTACAGCACTCACTGCGGCCGCCCGTCGCACACTCGCGACAGCAATATAATTACGTGCGAGCGATAAGGGTGCTCTCTAGTGTGAGTACAGTCGCTTGTGTACAGCAGGACGCGCCCGGCGCACCACCCGCCGCAGTCTAATGCTGCCTTGTTGGAGGGGCTGCTGGACCTGTCCAGCGTGAGTAGCACTTGTAGATTATAAAACTAGTGTTTTTGCGAAAATTATTCTTGGTAAAAGTCCGGTCGCCGAGCACGTAGAATTTCGTCCAATGACCCCAAGCTACCCATCCTTATCACTCGCGCGTAAATGCTGTCGCGCTCGCACACTCACTGCGGGCGCCCGTCGCACAGTCGCGACAGCAATATAATTACGTGCGAGCGATAAGGGGGTCATTGGACGAAATTCTACGTGCTCGGCGACCAGCCTTTAGTCTATAGCAGCACGCGCGTAGTTTAAAGAACTTTATAATGTGAGTTTGTGAAAATTATTCGTGGTAAGAAGCTTACTGCTTACGTCCTAGATCTTACTAGGCAGCCCGCGCACCACCCGCCGCAGTCTAATGCTGCCTTGTTGGAGGGGCTGCTGGATCTCTCTAGTGTGAGTAGCACTTGTAGTTTATAAAACTAATGTTTTTGCGAAAATTATTCTTAGTGAAAGTCCGGTCGCCGAGCACGTAGAATTTCGTCCAATGACCCCAAGCTACCCATCCTTATCACTCGCGCGTAATTATATTGCCTTCGCTATTGTGTGACGGGCGGCCGCAGTGAGTGTGCGAGCGCGACAGCAATATAATTACGCGCGAGTGATAAGGACGGGTAGCTCGAGGTCATTAAACGAAATTCTACGTGCTCGGCAACCCTACTTTAAGAAGATAACTGCTCACGTGCTAGATCTAAGGCATATTTTCTTGTGATTGTTTTATTACTGATCCAATGTCCAGTTCAATTTTTCTATTTGGAAACATTCGCGTTCTCGATTTTCACTTGTCGGGTTTTGAACGGTAATAAAATTCTGGATATACAGGAGTTGCAGCAGTGAGAACGAGGGGTGGAAATAAACCTCAAGTTGAGTTCTACTAATAGTAGAAGAGAATGAGAGATAGGAATATACCTTGTACTTTATTATTTGCTTCTTCTACAATGTGCGATTTCCTAATTTCGCTTATGTTTTCCTTTCAGCCGCCCACGCAAACAGCGCCGCCCCTAGTGGCGCCTGCAACCGGCGCGGCGCCGGCGTGGGTGGTGACGGCTGCCGAGCGCGCCGCCTACGACGCGCAGTTCGCCGCCGCCGACCAGGACCGCGACGGCTTCGTCTCCGGCGCCGAGATCAAGCACGCGTTCCTGGACTCCGGCCTGCCGCAGCAGACGCTCGCGCACATATGGTGAGCCTTGTGTCTCAGGCAATAAGGGCGAGAGTGCCGCGCCGACCGGGACCGCGACGGCTTCGTCTCCGGCGCCGAGATCAAGCACGCGTTCCTGGACTCCGGCCTGCCGCAGCAGACGCTCGCGCACATATGGTGAGCCTTGTGTCTCAGGCAATAAGGGCGAGAGTGCCGCGCCGACCGGGACCGCGACGGCTTCGTCTCCGGCGCCGAGATCAAGCACGCGTTCCTGGACTCCGGCCTGCCGCAGCAGACGCTCGCGCACATATGGTGAGCCTTGTGTCTCAGGCAATAAGGGCGAGAGTGCCGCGCCGACCGGGACCGCGACGGCTTCGTCTCCGGCGCCGAGATCAAGCACGCGTTCCTGGACTCCGGCCTGCCGCAGCAGACGCTCGCGCACATATGGTGAGCCTTGTGTCTCAGGCAATAAGGGCGAGAGTGCCGCGCCGACCGGGACCGCGACGGCTTCGTCTCCGGCGCCGAGATCAAGCACGCGTTCCTGGACTCCGGCCTGCCGCAGCAGACGCTCGCGCACATATGGTGAGCCTTGTGTCTCAGGCAATAAGGGCGAGAGTGCCGCGCCGACCGGGACCGCGACGGCTTCGTCTCCGGCGCCGAGATCAAGCACGCGTTCCTGGACTCCGGCCTGCCGCAGCAGACGCTCGCGCACATATGGTGAGCCTTGTGTCTCAGGCAATAAGGGCGAGAGTGCCGCGCCGACCGGGACCGCGACGGCTTCGTCTCCGGCGCCGAGATCAAGCACGCGTTCCTGGACTCCGGCCTGCCGTAGGCCCTGTGTCCTGGGCGGTAAGGCCGACAGTGCCGTAGCAAGAGGCAATCTACATGTCACGTGTATTTAACGCAACAAAGACAGACGCATGACTGATGCACTGTACAAACCAATACGTCTCTTTGCCAGCAACTGGAAAAGCATAAAATAGCTATGTACAAACATTAAATAACGCTTAATTTAGTTAGGTCCTGGTGACTTGTAAGAGTAACAAGACCTAACCATTGGTTTTTTATCGGTCGAGAGTGCCGCGCCGACCGGGAGTCTATTTAATCTCTTCGTAAGGGGCAATCTACGTGTCGCGTCTATTCAACGCCTTAAAGTCAGATGTATGACAGATGAATTGCACACCTACTACAATCTATACACTTGGTAAGCAATTTCGCTCACGATTTGGCAGTCGATGTGCTAATGAAATGTAGCCGTCTGTCTACAAGTCAGGCTCGGTTTCCGCCAAGGCTAAGCGGAGCGGAGAAGTGTTTTGAATAACCCATTTCTTGGTTTCCTGAATAACGAACTCGTGATTGGTTATTCAAAACGACTTCTCCGCTCCGCCTTTGTGAAAACTGGGCCTTAAGCTTGCAGAAAACTGACTCCTATTGCAACGAAATAGGGACTTAATCAAGCATCATTTCTCCTCACAGGGCACTATGCGACACGAGCAGCGTGGGCAAGTTATCGCGCGAACAATTCGCACTGGCCATGTGGTTGGTAGCGCGCGCTGTGCGAGGCACGCCGCCGCCGCCGACTCTCACCGCCGAAATGATCCCGCCGTCTTGCCGCCCGCCGACCGCCGGCGCCGCCGCCGCCGCCGCCGCCACCGCTACCGTCGACTTGCTGCAGGTCAGTGCCATACAGTACCCGGCAATAAATATTGCACATCGACCTTAGGAAAGAGAATCGGTTAATTTCGGCTCGTAGAGCGTTATCTCTGTCGCACGCTAAAAGTAAACGACGTTTATTTAAAAAAATACTTTTTGGTTTTTGTGAATTTTACTCAATATTTCTATTTTTTTTGTATGAAAATGCAAAAAGTTTGTTCTAGAAATGAATTTGCCATCCTTTAATTATCCGAAGATGATACCGCACTTGCCCTAATACCCATAGTTTTAAAGATATAGGCCTTAAAGTGAAGCGCGGGGAAGGAAACTTGCCCCCCCTCCCCCTGCTACCACAGGGGGGGCTCCCGATGTCTACCGACGGAAACCCAAAGAACCACTGTTGCAAAAATGAGCCTTCTATACCAAAGTGGAGGGGTCTCCATAAATCATTGCACTAAATTCCCTACTATGACAAAACATTATTCAATGAAAATATTGTCCGAAATCTTAGTATTTCTCTTCGACAAATACTTTAACACGTTCTAAACCACTTTTCTTTCACGACTATAAAAAGTTTTTGGCAATTTAATTCACAAAATCAATTGCACACATTTAAAATAAAGTTTGTTTACACTTTGACAAAACGTCATTGTCAGTCGTTGTTCAAGTGCGACAGTAATAACGCTCTACGAAATCGAAATTACCCGATTGTCTCTTTCTAAAGGTCGATGTGCAATATTTATCGCCGGGTATTGTACAATGCTTGAGGATAAAACGCAATAGGATATGACACTAGTAGCGCGGGCTAACGTCGTGCTAGCAGTAGTGCTGGCCCTAATCTGCTCACAGTCGGAGCAAATGAATCACTGGGGATAGAAAACAGTAGCATAATTCATAACGCAGTGTCTTAAATCTGCAACAAGCGTGACGCGGTAAGCGCGACGAGCACAATCAAAGCAATGACATCATTTTCTTGCGGCCTATGTGCCAGTGCCATGCGACACGATGGTGACCTTAGAACACTGCGTAAAAATTGAGTATAATACGAGTATAATATTTATTGTAATAAGGCCCTCAATGTCTACAGTCGGATGGATAACAATAAAACACTTTTTTTGGGGAAAATAGAAGTTTATTAACTGAACAACTGGTACAAGACAAAATACAGGAACGTCCGTTTTTTATATTAGCTTCGTTGCAAACAAACAGCGTAACCCTAACGCGTCCCACGCAGGCCGTCGCACGAAGTAGGTGTCCCGCCCGACGAATATTTGCCAAGCGATTATAGCCCGAATAAACTCCCTGCGGTTTTCAAATCTCACGCACCGAATTCGTTGCTTTGTCGACGAACTTCATCAAGACCAGTCTTTCCCAAAGTGGGCGATAGGGCGCTGCAGGCTTAAAGGGGGGCGGTAAGAGACCCAGAAAAAAAATCGGGACGTTGTGTAGAGGCTTGGGAGGCGTCATCTACTAGGAGGACTCTAAGACATCGACTGAGCTCGACTCTTGACTACAAAAATGGGGGGCGCTAAAAATAATTAACTCCCAAAGTGGGCAGTAGACTAAATAAGTTTGGGAACCACTGATCAAGACCGTCGATGTAGCGTCTTATGTCGCAACATAGAACGCACGCCTCGCAACACTAGTCCAGCCACCACAAGCGCCGTTACCAGTGGCCACCGGCGCCACCAGCCATACCCTTCCCATACGTATAGCTTCACTGTACCAACCAATACGTCTCTTTGCCAGCAACTGAAAAAGCAGAAAATAGCTATGTACAAACATTAAATAACGCTTCATTTAGTTGGGTCCTGGTGACGTGTAACAGAGCTATCAAAATCAAAAATATTTATTCAATTTAGACCACAAGTGGCACTTATGAACGTCAAAATATAGTAAATAAAAAAGGTAGCCCTTGTGGGACACTTTACACTTACTCCTTATCTTTTGGGTCCTACCGGCGCTTCGAGACATTTGAAGACTATTCAAAACTAGTCACACATTGCTCCATTACCGTAGGAACCTACTCAGTTGATAGTCAAAATGCTTTTGGCTTGGTTTCACTCATTGTTTAAATGAGCAAAAGAGATTTATTGTTAGACATGGCACTACAGATGTTTGCATTAAGCAGTTAACGCTAGGCCGTTTAGATAAGCCTGCACATTTCGCGGTGGCAGATTCTTGCTAATTTGGAAGGAATATAATAAATATCCTTGGACATTTTACACTGCGTCTATTCTAGTCCCAAACTAATCAAAGCTTGTAGTACTATGGGTACTAGACAACGGATATAAACATACTTAAATACTTTTTTTTTTGTAAATACATACATATTATACATAGAAAACACCCAGTCCAATACAAACAAATATGTTCATGCACACAAATGTTTGTACTGTGCGGGAATCGAACCCGCAACCTCCGGAATAGTAGTTCGTTTCGAACCACTACACCAAACGGCCGACATATGAAAGGAATTATTCGGTTTATTTACCTGTAAAGGTTCGCATCAGCATAGGTCAGCTCCGTGAAGACTATGTCGTCCCTGGCATTGATATGCACCCGCCCCCCGCTTGCTTTATCCACCGCCCTAGGTGCCAAATACTTGGTGCCCACTCGCCATGTGTACGGGATGTCGCGAAGAGATGCGCTGGAATATATTTTGTTCTTTTATTTGGAGCATATCGTTTGTGGGCGTTTATGTTCCAAAAGGGTGAGTCCTAGTCGGACAAAGATTTTAGACAGGATCCTCCGCTTACAAATTCCGGTTTAGGGTCTATTTTAACTCAAAGAACAGTTCAAAGCGCTTTTGCTTACTGTGTGGTGTGATTACTTATTTAGCAAAAAACTACTACTTATTTAGCAAAAATGTTTTCATTTACATCTTGAGATCGTTAACCTTGACGGCAGTAGCAAAGATCTTAATGTGTTGTAATTCTAAGTGACCGCTCTTGGACCGCATGGCTACTCCGAAACGTTGTTGACGTAGTTTCGAGTATATCCGTCACCATCGCTCATGCTTGCATCTCACATTGCGTGAGAGGGACGGCAACATCGAAATATCGGATAACTTTTTTCGGAATAAATCCAAAAGAACCATAGGGTCTAAACACTCACCCGGGACACACAAGTATAAGCTTCTCCCCCCACATCGCGAAGATAGTTTCAAAAACGGGCGCAGGCGGGTCTTGTGGCAAACGCTGGGATAGTGAGTACACCCCTGCCGTATTGTTCGCTCGCTCCAGCAACGCTCCCGTGTTCGACCGCACTTCGAATATGTTGTCGTTATCGCACGCCACCTAAATGAAAGTTATCGTTTAATTGTCGCTTAAAGTTAATGTTTCTTCTTTATCACAGAGTGTTGCTGCTCATTTCGCGCTAGTTCTTTGTTGCTCTATTCCGCTAGATATATTAACTTTATGATCTGTCGTCTTTCTGGATATCTGATGCCGCTTAAGGTGCTCCCTCACCGGGAGCATTCACGTGTAATGTAAAACGAACATTATACAGGGTGGCCAAAACAGTGAGGTCTTAAAGAAAAATTTAGATTCCTTACATCAAGGTGTACCTAAATCACCCCCATGTATGTAATACGATTATGCTTAGTTTAGGAGATAGAGTTAATTTTGTGATATTTTAAAATTTTGTGACCTAGTAGGCTTTAAACATTTTTATCTTTTTTTGGGGTGACTTTTCTCAGATTTCTTTTTTTCGACAGATTTGTTATTAATTGCAGATGTTTGAAAAAAATAATCACCTTCCTATCTTTGATTCAAGATACAAAAGTTTCGCTAGAAACATTAAAATTATGCTTTTATCAGAACACTATCAAATTTTCAACTTAAAAGTTTAAGTAAAAAAAAGAACTTCCATAGGTCCAAAACCATTTTAAAAACTGCGCCGTTTCCTGTACTTTCATAATAATACAAAAAAATATTGGGAATATTCTAAGTTTACATTACGTAGAACAAATTTAGAGCAGTAACTGGACAGAACATGTTTTTATTCTCAACGAGGAAGCTCTTGCCCTTCGTCACACCTGGTGGAAACTGATGATTAGGCTGAAGGTGGAAGGGAACTTCAACTACAGAGGAACTAATACTCGAATCTGTAACGTTACATTGCACGCGAATACCCAGTGAGGGAGCACTGAAAATCAATATTGACTGAGTCTCTTGTGCAGCTTGTGCTTCTTCTTCTCAGCACTGGCCCATTTATTGTCCCGAAGCAGTGGTAGGGTTAATACTGGGACATTTACACGTCCCTATTCAAAAGCCTACTTGCATAAATAAATGAGTTTTATGAGTTTTTTACTTTTTAAACTTAAATCCTGTTTTTGATGGGTAGTAAATTGGACTATAAAGACTTGCCTTACAAAGTCCAATCATGATTTCGTTGCGCCGCTGAGCCACTGCCTGTGCGTTCCGTATGCGCACAGGTAGATAGCGAGATCTACACGGAATTCCAGCTGGAAAATCTATAAATTAAGCGGTCTTTTGAGAGTAAATTAGAATTGTAAGGCAGGATTCACATGTCCGTTCGGCCAAAAATGCGGTGGAATGCGCGAGTCTGCGCGCGTACCTATCCACTGGAATACGCTCGGAGCCGACCGGATTGAAATATCAGTTAATCAGTTTTAAGCAATTACGACTCTTAAGAACTGTTAATAAAATACTATTTTCTTTACGGCCGTGTAAATGCGCGCCAGTCAATGGGTCCTCCTTAAGGATAATAACGCATGCAGGGGTAGCATTAAATTTACTGCAGCTAAAAAAGTAAAATGTTCACAGTCTCGTGACTAATTCACAAATTCATTTTACTGCACTTGTTATTTTTATCGTAAAATAAATTAGATTTATCAAAATTGTCAACCAACCTTGGAACACTTTCAGTTCATTTGCCTTTCTAAGCTTATCTCGCTCAGTCAATGTAGAGTTATTCTTATTTCTTACCTGGAAGAAAAAGCATTAATCATTCAAAATGTAAATATTTTAGTTCTATAGGTCTATAGGCTGAGGTGTAGGAGCGGGATGGGAGAGGTGAAATTGACATATTATTATGACGTGACATGACAGAGCATACAAATCTGAAGGAGATCTGAAGTTTCGCTAACTTATGACATCACAAAAACATCCTTCTGTACCGCTCCATACCTTACGCACTGACTAAGTTAAGGGTATATATCTGTAATTTCATTACAATCTATAGTTTTCTATCTGTACTCTATACTGTACCACGCTTCTATTACGAGATGCCTTCACAAAGCACATCCCATATCGCCTCCGTCTGCCGACGCGCCCGCAAACACTGCACTCGCTCCATGGCGCCCATGATGTGAAAGATAGCAGGGACAAGTCCGCGACTTGTATCCACTGTACTGATGCGGGGTACGGCCCGCGGGATGTGGGAGGTTTCACCTGTTAAAAAGTCAGACCAAAACCGAGGGCTGAGTGTGAGTTTTTTTCAAACGAGCTCACTAGTGAGCGCGTCAAAAAATGACATTAAATGTATGACGGATTGTACAGCGCCCCTAGCGGGAAACTTACAAAAACTAAAATTTTCATACATTTTTTAAACTCACACTCAGCCCACAGATGGCAGACGTTTGTTGCTCACAATGATTGCTGGGTTTTTCAAGTCATTGGGTGCGTTTGGTTGAATATACACTCGGCATCAAATAAATCGCACCTCCCGCGACAAGCACTTATCACACGTATGCATCCCCACTTCCCACCAACATTGGTACCATTTGAAAGCCTAGTTTTAAACTTCATTTCATTAAAGCAAAGGTTTTTACCCCAAAAATGTGTCTTTCGTTTTCTCAAAAAATAGGTAGTTACGCTATAGCCATTTTTTATGACTATAAAACTGTTAAGTTGGGATTAATCGCTATCCATCTGTTAAAGAGGACACGTGAGATCTTTATTTGGTTTTATAACCATAAAAATTGGTTTTATTGATTCCAGAGGTGAGCCCAGTGAGGTCTATTTTCAAGTCACATTTATGGTATATGTTAATCATTTATTTAGAAATTAAATGTATTTTTCTTTAAGGATATTTATTGGGCTTTCAAATAACACCAATATTGTTGGGGTACCATAATTGTGTCAGAAGAAAATCTTTAAAGTTCGCGTCGCGGAAGGTGCGGTTTATTTGATGTTGAGTGTAGAAATGGTAAGCGCTTTTATGCAAAATGGCGATCGTTAAAGCAGTTTTCGGCTGTTATCGGCGAGGACACGTTTGCTAACTTCAATAGTGACATGTTTCATAATTTTTTTCAGCGCTTACCGCTTAGTGATCGCCATTTTGCTAGCCAAACGCACCCATTGAGTGACTTTGAGAAATTTTGTTGATTTCATTTTGGGCTAACAAATATCGATTCCAAAGCTTATTCGGTACTTACCACTCTATACGGTTCCCTTCTATTTACTACGTCAAGTAACACCGTGCCTCCTGCGCTTTGGCCAATAGTGCACTTGTATGCGCCTGCGTCTTCCTTCCTCACTTTAAATATCGCTAAGTTTCCGTTGTCTTCAATGACCATGCGTTCGTCCGCGTCTAGTGGTAGAAATGTTGATTTTGGTTTCTGAAATCATCACCATTGAGTTAAAAACTGATCCTAGTAAAAATATCTACAGCATGAGTCAGAAAGACGTACAATTTTGTAGCCGCATAGCTTCAGAACGGCACGTGTCTGTACGCAAAATGCACGCTGTTCTCCAGTGAAACGCTCCGTCCGACTAAATTTCAATGAGCAGAGCTACCATAAGCCGCTAGCCTCGCCCCACGTGCCATTTTGAAGCTTTCAAATTCTGACGTCTTTCTAGCCCACCCTGTATAATTCTTGAAATAAAAGAGTGCTCAATGAATAAAAATGAAGTTACTTGGTAAAGCCATTTGACAGCGACAGTATCGGGCGCGACACACAGGCCGCACGGCAGCCGAGCGATCGCGTCTTCATACGCCGCCGCTGCTATTGACGGCAGCCGTGCCGCTGCGTTCACGCTGCGTGCCAGTCGCGTGGAACACTCGTAGTATTCCGACCATAGAGACGATATTTGCCTGAGTTTTTCTTTATCACCTCCTAAAATGTAAGAGGAGATTAATGATACGATAAAAGTTTTCAAAAGGGTTACTAAAGTCCGGTCGCTGAACAGATATAATTTCGTACAATGACTCCAAGCCACCCATCCTTATCGTAATTATATTGCTGTCGCGACTATGCGACGGGCGGCCGCAGTGAGTGTGCGAGCGAGTGGCTCGGGGACATGTACGAAATTCTATCTGCTCGGCGACCGGACTTTAAGCATTTGAAAATAAATGATTTTATTTATACTTACTTGGATATTCAACTCTTTCGTCCAGTTCAAATTCCCATTTTTGTATAACATTTTTGTTTTGCCTGTGTCTAACACGATGTTGTGGGGATGTCTGAAACTGTTCTGATATCTTCGCACTGCAATTTATTAGGTTTATTGCAAAAAGTGTTATAAATATTTGTAGGAAAGCCATTTTTATTGATGAATTGTCAAGTCTGACAGATTTTTGAATAAATTCTAGAATGTATTATGTATTAACAACCAGTAATTTTTTTTTGTGTAGACGAAATCCTCTTTTTAAGTGTATAAAAAACAAAATCTAAAAAGCGCCAGTCGTTCAGGAGCTATGATGTCATAGACAGACCTGCAAACTTATAACACACCTGTTTTTGCGTCGGGGGTTTAGGGCCCTCGCGACTTTTTGTAGCGATGCAGTAGCGCGTTGGCATCACATCTGTAGAGCGTTGCAAATGCGACTAATGCGCGTTAGTGGGCGAGGGCCCTTAAAAGGCTTCTCAAAATATTCGTTTGTATTTTTTTTTTTTTTTTATGCTAGACAAGCCAGGTATTTGACCGCAATCTCAAATTATCGTGTTAGTTGGTTTAATAAGCTTAATGTTTTACAGAAGAACGAGCCGGCACTGAACTTAGGCCCGCAGCCGACGCCTGAGATGGAGGCCATAGCGCGCGAGGTGGACGCGTTGGCGCGGGAGCGGCTCGCGCTTGACGCAGAGCTCGCGGCCAAGCAGCGCTCGCTCGCCGTCAAGAGCGGAGAGGCTTCCAGTCTGCAGGTGAGAGCGCTGGCTGGTGAGAGTGGACGCAGAGCTCGCGGCCAAGCAGCGCTCGCTCGCCGTCAAGAGCGGAGAGGCTTCCAGTCTGCAGGTGAGAGCGCTGGCTGGTGAGAGTGGACGCAGAGCTCGCGGCCAAGCAGCGCTCGCTCGCCGTCAAGAGCGGAGAGGCTTCCAGTCTGCAGGTGAGAGCGCTGGCTGGTGAGAGTGGACGCAGAGCTCGCGGCCAAGCAGCGCTCGCTCGCCGTCAAGAGCGGAGAGGCTTCCAGTCTGCAGGTGAGAGCGCTGGCTGGTGAGAGTGGACGCAGAGCTCGCGGCCAAGCAGCGCTCGCTCGCCGTCAAGAGCGGAGAGGCTTCCAGTCTGCAGGTGAGAGCGCTGGCTGGTGAGAGTGGACGCAGAGCTCGCGGCCAAGCAGCGCTCGCTCGCCGTCAAGAGCGGAGAGGCTTCCAGTCTGCAGGTGAGAGCGCTGGCTGGTGAGAGTGGACGCAGAGCTCGCGGCCAAGCAGCGCTCGCTCGCCGTCAAGAGCGGAGAGGCTTCCAGTCTGCAGGTGAGAGCGCTGGCTGGTGAGAGTGGACGCAGAGCTCGCGGCCAAGCAGCGCTCGCTCGCCGTCAAGAGCGGAGAGGCTTCCAGTCTGCAGGTGAGAGCGCTGGCTGGTGAGAGTGGACGCAGAGCTCGCGGCCAAGCAGCGCTCGCTCGCCGTCAAGAGCGGAGAGGCTTCCAGTCTGCAGGTGAGAGCGCTGGCTGGTGAGAGTGGACGCAGAGCTCGCGGCCAAGCAGCGCTCGCTCGCCGTCAAGAGCGGAGAGGCTTCCAGTCTGCAGGTGAGAGCGCTGGCTGCCACCAACCACCCATTGTCATACCTAGAGTCTAGGGTAGATTGCACTCTACCTCGCGACATCTTATTCTTCGTTCTTGTAACTGTTTTGCATTTTTCCCCCTTATGGTACAAGCGCGCCACACGATTCCTATTTGCTGTTGGAGCGTTAATCATGTCACTCTTCCATGAGACGTAGATGAGCGTTTAACTCACGTCGATTGTTTGTGTGGTCAAAAGACTTTTTGTCTGTGAAGTGTCTCTATAACTCAGATTTTTATTTACAGAGTGAGCTGGACACATTGACGGCAACGTTAAAACAGTTAGAAAACCAAAAAGGAGAAGCACAAAAGAGATTAAACGACCTCAAGTCACAGGTAAGATAATGTACTTTAAAACGCGATTTAAAGTTTTATGTTCAAGCATAAGGCCCGGTTTCCTGCAAGGTGGAGCGGAGCGGAGAAATGTTTTGAATAAACAATCAGACTTTATTCTGTTAATTTGAAATTGAATGAAATTGCCTTGATGGACACTGAGCCTTACCGGTGCGTGACCGACACCAAAATCGGATTTATTTTCGTCTGTATATTTTTTGCTTATCTGTGTTTGTCTCCTCAGGTGGACAAGCTCCGCGCGCAAGTGTCGGCGGCGGAGGCGGCGGCGGCGGAGACGGAAGCGGAGGTGGCGGCGAGGCGAGCGGCCGCACAGACGCTCAAGGAGAAGGAACGCGCGCTCCAGCAGGACGCTACTGCTGCGGAGGCAGAAGCGGACGCGATCACTGCTCGCCTGAGCCGCACCGTCATCGCGCTCAGCCAGGTGTGACGTCATCCTAGGTGGGCCGCCGCGCAGACGCTCAAGGAGGAGCGCGCGCTGCAGCAGGACGCTACTGCTGCGGAGGCAGAAGCGGACGCGATCACTGCTCGCCTGAGCCGCACCGTCATCGCGCTCAGCCAGGTGTGACGTCATCCTAGGTGGGCCGCCGCGCAGACGCTCAAGGAGGAGCGCGCGCTGCAGCAGGACGCTACTGCTGCGGAGGCGGAAGCGGACGCGATCACTGCTCGCCTGAGCCGCACCGTCATCGCGCTCAGCCAGGTGTGACGTCATCCTGGACAAGTTTTCTTGAGTCGGTCGCACCGCCATCTGACTCGGCTAAGTACCACTGAACTTACAGGCAGAAGGCGACCACTGGCGTGATCTCCCACTTTACACCCTAGCTCAAAGGCTGGTTGGCGATCTGATAGTGAATTTGTGACTAGCGGCACGTTTTGAGGCGGGGTACAATGTGGGGTAACGCAGCGTAGTTGTATAAGCACTGAATCGAACCAATTGATATTGAGTACTATAGTCTGGTCTGCGAGCACGTAGAATTTTGTCCAATGACCCCAATCTACCCATCCTTATCGCTCGCGTGTAATTATGTTGCTGTCGCGCTCGCACACTCACTGCGGGCGCCCGTCGCACAGTCGCGACAGCAATATAATTACGCGCGAGCGATAAGGATGGGTAGCTTGGGGTCATTGGACAAAATTGTACGTGCTCACAGACCGGGCTTTAATTCTTTTATTATCTCCCCAGGCGAACATCAAGATCGGTTACCTGGAGGAGCAGTTTCGTCTGATCACGGACGCGACGGCGGCGTTAGAGGCGGGCGGGCCGGCGGCGGCGGCGGCGGCGGCGCTGCAGCCGCAGTTTGGCGCCGAACACTTAGCGCGTGTTGTGCGCGGCGCCACGCCTAGTGACGCGCTGGTACGTACGAGCTGTGTGTCCGCAGGGACTGCAGTATAGTGACGCGCTGCAGCCGCAGTTCGGCGCCGAACACTTAGCGCGTGTTGTGCGCGGCGCCACGCCTAGTGACGCGCTGGTACGTACGAGCTGTGTGTCCGCAGGGACTGCAGTATAGTGACGCGCTGCAGCCGCAGTTCGGCGCCGAACACTTAGCGCGTGTCGTGCGCGGCGCCACGCCCAGTGACGCGCTGGTACGTACAGATTAGACCAGTGGCATTTGATGATCAACCTCTATAAGGAAGCTAAAGGTGTTGTATCCTGGCAGGGTCGCCATGTAATGTGGGGACCAAGGAGATGGAATCAAAGATGTTAATTGGTCGACGATCGGTTTAATACTGCCTTAAAATGACTTACAGCTAACTTATAAGTATAACTATGCCTTGCATTAAGTTGGTACTAAGGAGAGGTGTGTCATACACTACAGTGTAAATGTTTCCTTCCGAGCGCGTGTTGTGACCAAGATCCTATTATTTACCATCTCGGTTTTCTACTTATACTAGTCAGGGTAGACAACTCTGACACCGCGATGCAAGATTAAGGGGCTCGCCACGTATGGCAAGGCCTGTGGCGGGTCTATAGATGTCGCCAGTCTCGTTAATAAAATCCATGCTTATAAAACGTGTATGTAAGACCCTCGCCTATGCTGCGAGGAATTAAAATTTTAAAATAATAGGTGTCGTTTATTTAAAAATATCGTTCTTTAAGAAGGTTAAAGTTTTACATATTAATATATCGCTGTTACTTTCCAGGAGGATGAATCGTTCTCTGGCGAGAACGCGTTCGGCAACATGAACGGGTCGGCGGGATTCGGCGCCGACCCCTTCAAGGACGACGCCTTCCGCGCGCGCGACCCATTCGCGCCCAGTCAGCCCAACCACAACGCAAAGCAGGTAATATCACTTGGCGACTATTTAGACTAGGCGCACACCGTTGATTTTTCGTCGGCCGATAGTTTAGTCGGGCAGCTGATCAGTATGGGCATGTATGGGAGTGCGCACACTACGCCGATTCAATTTGGCCGATTCTTCATACAAATTAAAATCGGGCACAACTATCGAACAACTAAAAATCAACGGTGTGCGCCTACTCTTAGGCTGGTTTTAGTGTCACGCGGACCGTCCGGTGCGGACCCGCTCCGCACGGCCAATCTGTATGAACTTCTAGGGAGCGTTTTAAGGCCTATTCAAACCTAAGCGGTATTCGCTACCGTCTGCGGCAGAGAAAACCCAGTGGGTATGCGGTAATATTACTGTTTATACCTAAGCTCAGGTCGCTCTAACCGCGGTACTTGATACTAAATACCTGAGCGAAACCCGCGCGGTATGTACCTCTACCCACAGCGGCAGCGATTATCGCTCAGGTTTGAATAGGCCTTTAGAGTAATGCGGTCCGGAGGAAACGCTCCGCTCCCTAGTAGTTCATACAGATGGGCTGTGCGGAGCGATCCGCACTGACAGTCCGCGTGATACTAAAACCAGCCTTACGGTCACTATACTCGGCGCAGACTCGTAGCAGGCGGTGTAATAATATAAGACAGTGCATATCACGTTTTCTCTCGCACTCACACTGGTTATAGGTCACACGGAGGCAGGCATAGCGTTGTTTATAATACGTCATCTATATATATAAAAATGAAACCCGTTTCGCGTTGTCACGGCATCACGTGTGAACGGCTGAACCGATTTCGATAATTCTTTTTTTTAAATGTTTGTGGAAGTCCAAGGATGGTTCTTACGGAAAAAAATATTAAGAAAATCTCTACGCTAAGGCGGTACGAAGTTCGCCGGGTCAGCTAGTAATTAATAAAATATTGGCGAGTGTGCATCTCTGTTGCAAAAATTACTTATGGCCCCGCGTGTCACGAGTCTTTGCGTCGAGTATAGTTGGCGCTACTGACCAGGAACTACAAGACCTTCATCGCCAGTAGCGCTGACGAGTGTTAATGCTATAGTGAAGCGGTTGGCGTCATTTTCTTTGACGCTGTCAGTGCCAATACAGTTTTAATTGGTATGTTTTATTACTTGTATGTCGCAGACAGATAAGGCGGGTCCAGACATGATAATTTGCCCAATCCGATCACCGTATCCGTATCGTCGACGCGTATCATGATCGCATTATGTGGACGGGTAATGATGTACGTATCATGATACGGGATCTCGATACGCCATTATGAAACGGCCCGTCCCATGTCGTGTCAGTTTTTGTCCGATCATCAAAGGTGATACGTTAATTGTATTGTATTGTGAAGATACGGATACGGAGCAAGTCGGAGGCGTCCACAACTTGATACGGGGCTTGATACAATACGCAGATACGGATACGGTGATCGGATACGGTGATAGGATCGGTCAAATGATCATGTCTGGACCCGGCTTCAGATACCAGGTTGATTCGCCGTATTTATAGTCGTCCTTTCCACGGTATCACTTTATAGAACTCGACACCATGGATTAATGACGTCATTCATTCCGTAACCAACTCTGATAATTTGAAGGCTAAAAAAATTGTAATTTTGCAGTGAACTGTACATGAATCGTTTGTGTGTCGCAGGACGGCTTCGGCCACGACCCGTTCGCGCCCAGCGCAGACCCTTTCGCTGGCGATGCCTTCGCGCCCGCCGACAACAAGCCCAAGGCGAACGATGACGTAAGATTATTTCGTTCTTTGTTATAATTTATACATTCATATACCTAGTATCGTTGACTTTCTATTCATAACTGTGATCGATGACGTAGTTTTTACCATATATATTTAAAATTATTTTCTCACTAGGCGATATGGAAATCATTGGGGAAGGCTTATAACCAGCTGTGGCTGAAATGTTGATGATGATGATGATTTATTTAGAAAAAGTGGCATAAATGATCCACGGTTTTGACTATCGTCACCCGCGCGTACAATGTACGTGGAAGGTTTTTAATTATTTACCAACTCTTATTATAAGTGCCATTGCCATATTTTGACGTGACTAACATACACATCTGGAGGAGAATCAGAAGTCTCGTTGACATTTGACGTCACAAATCACCCTCCCGTGCTGCTCCCATACTTCAGGCACTGACTGAGTTGATCGCTAGTCGAGCCGCGGCTGTCTTCTCATGCTCTAATTCGACCGCCTCCCTCTTTAAAGCGTTAAGTTCTTTTTGGGCCTGTGCCAGCCCAACATAGTGGCCAGTAGTAAGTTTGCGCCCACCCTTGCCTGCTCCGGCCTTTTGGGATGAGGTCCTTACAGACTTTGTCGAAGGAGTATCTCAGCTAGACCCCACTTTATTATCTATTTTGCGTTTCCGCAAGTATTTCGCATGCTCTCGCTCTTGCCCTGTGTCACTAGTTTCAGGAGTCGACGAATCCGAGTCGAATCCGTCACCTGCGACAAAGAACCGACTGCCAGAGAGGCAGCGGTGATTGTTTTCCTACGGGATAGCATTCTCCCAGGACGCTGGAAGTACCGCCTCTTGTTTCGATAAAAAACAGTCGCTTCATAATCTGCAGGGCGCGTGGGAGTCCGACCCGTTCGCCGTGCTTCACGCTCCCACGCGCTCCAGCCTGGCAGGCTCGGGCTCCGGCGCGGAGTCACCCACGCCGGTGCTGCCGCCCAATAACTTATTCCTATAACAAGTATAGAAGCTATACTTGTTATAGGAATAACTTATTCCTATAACCATGAATAGTTCTCAATTAGCGTTTCCGTGTAGCCATGCTCACCTCAGATTAGGTGTGTCATGCTAATATGGCGGCCATAGTAATACAACAGCGCGGGCCCGCGCTCGCGCCGCTTCTGTCCCGCGCCCGCGCCGCCTCGTTTGTCGTTCGGCAGTTGCAGTGCGGCGCGGTTGGAGCGCGGGCCCGCGTTCTTTGGTGTAGGCGATGTAGGTCGATGGGTGAACGATGATATGAATAAATGAAATGAAAGTCCAGTTTGTAAGTGAAAATAACCGAAAGGCGCGTTCGGGGGTGCGTACGTGCGTTCGCGGAAGTTGTTGGATCACGACTGGCGGCTCTCGGCCGCGTGTGCGGCGCGGTGGGCCGCGAGTGGCTTCTGACCATAAAAGGACAGAGGCCTCCGGCCAATCAGCGGGCCGCATCGCTAACGGCTAGCTCTAGCATGTCATGTTCTAGGCGCGACAATATTATTACATACGCGCACCCGGAGTTGCGTATTATTTATTGATCCCAAAATCAAACAAACATTGTAGGTAAACAACCGTATTAAACATTTGGATATAGGTAACATTTTAGTTTTGTAAGAATAGATAATCGCACATACATATAGCATTCTAAGGACATATTTCAGTTACTCAAAGAGGCAAATCTAGTAACAGATAAGTTTCATAAACAAAACACAAAGATAATTAATAATTATTTTAGTTACATATTTCTCAAGGCACATAAATACGTAGATCTAGCTACCTAGTATCTACTCTTGATGGCCATCGTCAACATTTGGTGTGACACACTTCAAAGAATCCCAACATTTACTACTGCAGGGCGCGTGGGAATCCGACCCGTTCGCCGTGCTTCACGCTCCCACGCGCTCCAGCCTGGCAGGCGGTGGCTCCGGCGCGGAGTCGCCGACGCCCGTGCTGCCGCCCAAGGCGCACAAGACGCCGCCGCCGCGCCCCGCCCCGCCGCGACCCAACCCGCCGCACAAGGTACCACACTAACACGCTTATTGTCTTAGTAATAAGAGTTATATTTGGACGCTTATCTGTGTAATTGGAAAGAAAGAAAGATACATTTATTATAGCCTGACCAGGAACATAAAAACCCTCGCCATGTTGCGGAAAACTAATGGTACTAATTTCTTTTAATGGCAACAGTAACTGAAAACTTCATTGACATGTCACCTTGCATGTCAATCTATTGCTGTCAAAGTGTAAACAAACTTTGTTTTAAATGTGCGCAATTGGTTTTATGAATTAAATTGCTAAAATATTTTTATAGTCATGAAAGAAAAGTGGCTCACAATGTGTTAAAGTAGGGTAAACCACCCAATCATTGGCACTCTACCAATTTATTGGCATGCTCCAGTTTTTTAAGAAAATTAAGGTTTTTTGTAGCCAAACCTTATATTTTTTAGTAGAAATTGTACAGTAATATCATTTATTACTCAACTGGCTACACACGTTTTTTATTTTATCAAACATCGCGGCGCATCAACCATTTGTTTGACAAACCGTACATTAGTATTTTATTTTTAACGTAGTTTTCTGAATAAAGAAAAATAAAATAAAGTAAAAAGTTCATTAATCTCCATTATAAGCTCCATTGGCGTTAGCGGGGATTAATGAATAAAAAGTTCACTAATCCCCGGGATTATTGGAATAAGGCTTTGAAAGTGGTACCACGGTCTACTATACAATTCAGATTGAAACATCCTGATCATCGCTCTAAGCCCGGTCCGTTCACAATTTTAACTGACGAGGAAGAACAGCTTTTTGTTGACTGGATAAAATAAAAATCAGTAGCAAAAAAGTATTTCCGAAGAGAAAAGAAGATTTTATAAAAGTGTTTATGGAAAGTTTAAAACCATATTTAAATATAAGCGTTTGAACTGAAATATGGTATGTTCCTATACAAATAAATGTTACTTTTCTTATAACAAAGGATTTTATTTTGTTTATTTTTATCATGAATCTCTTTAAAACCTCTACATAAGACCTAGCAGCTATTTTTCAGTCTTGCGGGAACAGTGCCAATAATAGGTAATTATCACTGCCAATAAAAGGTTTGGCTATGCCAACAACTGGTATTTTGAGGTATTTTTTTAAAAGGTACACTATATTGAATAAATGATTTAATTTATTAATGATAAGTACTTTATAATATTCTGCAAAGATTAAAAGACCAATATAAATGTTTATTTCTTTGATAAAACATATTTTTACATGCAAATTTTACCGGTTTTGTGAAGTAGCTGCTTAAAGTGCCAATAATTGGGTGGTTTACCCTATTTGTCGAAGAGAAATACTAAGGGTTCGGACAATATTTTCATTTAATAATGTTTCCGACAAAGGTTGTCAAATTGACTGACATGTTTATCGTATAGTACAGTCCACTATGAAAATTAGCTGTGGTTTGTTTCAACTACCTATTTTAAAATTTATTGTCACTTTCTAATTGTTGAATTTTATGGGATTGGGAAAGAAGTACCGAGTTTGAAGCGTTCATGAGCAGACATTGCAGTTGAATATTCAAGTTCTGAATTTGATCATTGATGAATAATAAAATAAATTCTACTAGCTCGATTGATGGTTTCATTTAATTTATTTAAATCAGGTTACCTATAAATATATTTTTTCGTTAATTTATGAAAATATCAAATTAGCCCGAAATCCTGAATCCTGATACATAAAGTTAGCCTATTAATTTAACACAGGTACGACTGTACTCAGTGTTGCACTATCAAATGCAATTGACGCGCCTCTATGCCAGGGTTTTTATGTTCCTGGTCAGGCTATACAACGGACATCACACAAATACAGGCAATTACATAGACATGACAGTGGCACATAATAATAAAAGAAGAAAAAATAAAAACAAGAGCAAACTGAGCAGTGCCACCCATCCACCAACAAGATGCCCACTGCAACGCGACCCCACTCAGCATATGCCGTGGCCCACGGTGACGAAGGCCACGTCGCTGGTTTTCAGTGTGCCCCATGCCGAGTGAGGGTCACGGACTATTGATAAAATAAATAAAATAGTGAGCTGCATAAAATTGTCTAGATAAACATACATAAATAGCGAAGATATCTCACTACAGGGTGTTAGGTAAATGGATATATGAGCCGACACTAGACCATGTTAACATGGTCATATAAATGGTATGGTGAAGTCAGAAATTTGATATCATCATTTTGATTTTTTTAATTTTCATACGAAATAAATTTTATAAAATCCGATTTGTATGAAAATTAAAATAATTAAAATGAAGATATCAATTTTCTGACTTCACCATACCATTTATATGACCACGTTAACATGGGCTAGTGTCGGCTCATATACCCATTTACCTAACACCCTGTATACTCGACGCAAAGACTCGTGGTCATAAGTAATTTTTGAAACAGAGATGCACACTCGCCAATATTTTATTAATTACTTCTAATCTTTTATAATTACGGCCGCCCGCGACTTTGTACGCGTGGACCCCGAAGCCCCTTAGGGGTGAAGTTTCAAGTTTTTTTAGGATTTTCCCGGAAATTATACAATCTTTTCTCGCAGTAAAAACCATCCTTGGACTTTAACGAACATTTAAAAAAATAATTGGTAAGATTGCCTTGGTCCAGGCGTTGTTGAGTTATGCGCTTATCAACTCATTTTGCGATTCATTTTTATATTATAGATTATTAAGTAATATAAACAACGCTATGCCTGCCTCAGTGTGACGTCACCCATAACCAGTGTGAGTGCGAGAGAAAATTTGATTATGGACTGTTTTATTATTACACCGCCTGCCACGAGTGTTTGCGCTGAGTATAATATAAGGACGACAGCACAACAAACTAAACATAGAGGCGTCTTATATCGTTGTAGTAGAAGCTATTTTACAAAAAATATAGTCTGATGTGCTATCGATTTCACTATAATTCAGTAGCTATTTCAGTCATTTCACTTTGTACAGTTAGCGTCAATAGTTCATGACACCCAAAGTACCCAATAAATTAACAACACGTTTTTGTTGCAATTAAAATAAGGTTGTGTTATCTTTTGGCCATTTGGGTGTCACGAACTGTTTCATACTGACTGTACTAAAAATATTTCCTTCTGAGTATTTCTGTACAGATCGACAATTACATAGATAAGTGTGATAAGTTTAAAACAACGCTGCTCGGTCACAAATTCATTTTTAAATATTTAGCCATTCAGATGAATCATACTTGACTGTAATACAACAATGTGCCTCTCCCTAATGTATAATTTAATGACAGAAATGTTCGAATGCTGATGTGATTCGATTGTTCATGCTAAACTTTGCCTTACAGTAACTAGTTTGTGACCGAAGAGTAAATAAATAGCATTACTATATTGCACACCAGAAGTGATGACATGATACTTATTTTATGTCTACGACAATAATTTATTGATAAATATCATTGCTTCTTTCTGACCAAACTGTTTTAAATACGAATTTATGAAATGTTAATTGGACACTCTTAAATTGTGATTTTTTAATATCACTAGTAAACTAATTGGATGGTAAGCATAAAGCATCAATTTATATAAAATTAGTTAAAATCGTTGTTTCAGGTGTAATACAACCTGATTTATAAATTATAGAGTAGAAATTCGATAAATTAATTGTTGTTTGTGTCCTAGATTCGTCTCTTTGGAGAAAGCCATAAATGCATAATATTTTAGTTATTAGTTTGCTGATAATTTTGCATTGGCTATGCATTTTTCATGCATTTCATGCTATGCTATGACTGCAACAAATATTAGATTTGAAATGTTTTTATGGCTTTCAACGAAATAGTATGTTATTTTTAAGTTAACATTTGATTTTCAGATTGATTTGGTTTTGTTTCGGTTATTCGTGTTTATTTGCCCCGCCCTCCCCGCGCCGCGCTTGCGAGTCCGAGTGACGTGATTAGTATCGCTATTTTATTTATTCCTTGTTTGCTAAAGAGAAAGTAAAATGTATAAAGCCTTCAAGTACAGGCAGCGTCAATCGTTCATGACACCTAAAGTAGCCAATATGTTCGCAACACGTCTTTGTTACAATTGGAATAAAGTTGTGTTGTCAACCTTTTGGCAACTTTGGGTGTCACGAACTATGTGACTGACTGTACCAGAAATGTTCTTATGTAAATTGAAATATTAATTTATTCTTAAATACCGTCATGTAAGGTATGAGACAGCTGCGAGGTCCAGGCGTTTCATACAAACGTCATAAGCCCCGCCCACTTCTTAATATATTTGACTTAAAAGGTCTCATATACATTCTGTTTAAAAAACACTTTATTAAACAGTTTGTTATGGTATATTTTACTTTCTCTGTTCCGTCATGCCATTTAGATGTAGTTCACTGCTTTTATATTGCACTTACAAGCATGCCCTTTCAGTTTGAAGAGTATAACCAATTGGGAAAAGGGAACTACAGTAAAATTACATAATAGTAAGGAATGTAGTAGTCACAGATTTTGGAAGTTTAGTCACTATTATTTTTTTATATCAAGGTGCTTTTTATTACTGAATGGTTGATAGGAAAATGCATAACTAGTCATGCTTATTTTCATTAAAAACGTTCAATATATTCTTATTAATATTATGTATTTTGAGTGTGTAAGATAAAAACACTGTGTGTTTCCGTCATTACAATAATTTTTAAATTAATTAAATATTTCCTTACCTCGTAATTATTGCCGCACACTCGAAACATTCAACCAGTATTCCGAGTATTCGTATGACGGGGCACAAGTCGCCGGTAGTGGTTGCTACTTTTCAGACGCTTTCACCCTATATGCATTACCTATTATAATCGAATATTTTATTTATGTTCTTATGTGGGTAATAATAAATCATAGAGCTTAGCATCATGTATTAGAATCTCTGGTTATATTATGTATCATAGTCGTATGTAATTTCATCTTTAATAAGGCATGCAATTTGTATTATGTATTCGACATTAGTTTCTGCAATAATTTTATATTTATGGCTGTGGGCTAACGTATGCTTTCTTGTAATCGTCCACCCCTTTGATTTCAGTTACTTATTTCCATTTATTTTATACATTTCATTTATGTTTCGTTCTCTAACTACAATAACTACCTGTATAATACAACTTACATATTTATATTTGCGTACATGCACACTGTGACTTTATTATTTAGCTTCTGAGCACACAGCTCAGCGCGTGAATCATTTTGACCAGTCTTACCGCTTTTCTGTGTCCCGTAAGGTGAGAGAAGTATGTAGACTAGGTAGATACTATATCGTTCGGATCTCGCCTTCTCGAGTCATCCAAGCGATAGACTAACAGATTTTTTTCCCGTGATGGAAACGAAAGTCCCAGTGTGCACCGCGCGTCATGTGTCACTCGTCACTAACATGCTAACACGGCTCGTGTGCTTGTCCCCACGTTGCAGCGCTAAGGACGCGGAGCGGAGCGGAGGCCACGCCCTAAGCCCTTCTCACCCCCCCTTTGTTGCTAGCCCCGCGCCATGGACTTCACCGAGGACCCCTTCAAGGACTACCGCTACGAGGACCCCTTCAACATCGAGGACCCCTTCGCCGACGCCGACGCCCGCCGACCCACCTCCGTCGCCGGCTTCGAGACCGACCTGTTCGCAAACGCCCCCGCCCCGCCCCGCGGCGGCCGCGTCTCCGCCCCGCCGGTACAAACTGCCCCGTCCGACGCCTGGGCCGCCTGGCCCAACGACAACTGGGCCGCCGACGACGCCTGGGCCAAGCCCGCCCGCCCCGCGCCCGCTACCAAGCCCCTCAACAACGCCAACTCCAACGCCGACGTCTGGGCCGGAAACTCCAGCGACAACGCCGGCGACTGGAAGACCGACAACTGGGCGAGCAAGGCCGACGGCTGGGCCGCCGACTGGGGCGCCGACCACAACCGGAACCTCAACGAGACCTGGCCTTCGAGCACGCTGCCCGGCAAGAAGGAGCGCAGCCCGAAGCCGGTGAAGTACGCCAAGTCGCTCGTGCACACCATCGGCGGCATCGGCCGCGCCAAGCACAAGGAGAAGAAGGCCAAAGCGCTGGAGGCGCTGCCGTCTGAAGAGCAGCAGTGGGCGTGGGCCGCGGCCGAGTCGGCGCGCCTGCAGGCCGAGGCCGACGCGCGCCGCCGACAGGAGGACGCCGAGTTACAGCTCGCGCTGGCCATCTCGCGCCAGGAGAAGTGAGCCGGCTTTGGAGGGCTCCTCCCGAATGCTTCGTTTTGAATGTTTCCGTCTCTTTTACGCGAACGCGAGCGACCGGGACGGGTAGACCAGAAACTGCGCGAGACGCGTTCCGGGATGGCACGCTGCGCGATCAAGACTCCGAACCGATGCATTTGACGTTTCGTTCATCGTTTGTTTTGAGAGCGACCGTACGTCGGGGGGCTCTCGCTCTGTTATGATACTGTTGTATCGGAAAGTCTGGGAGTGGAACGAAGTCGCGAGGAGGCTGATACGTGTGAAGCCAGCTCATACGTCCCAGTCGGTGTCCCAATGTAAATCAAAGTATTAGAACTGTTTGCGAAGCGATCGGAGCTGGATCGGTTGACTTAATTTCGACTTCGCTTCCTGGCGCGCTTTCCGAGATTATTTACGTTTCGCCAGCCAGCATTCCATAATCGAAACTCCCGTTTGGTTCGACGTGAACCGATGTAAGCGTCCACGTGTAGTGTGGTTATTTTACTTTATAGTTTTATACAGGTACCCAAAAAGTAGTATTACAGATAACGTAAAAGACAATATATTTTCTAAGAAAGAAGTATCTTCGCTTGATTCCTGTGCGGACCAAACTGAGTGTTGAAAATTGTATTGTTACGTTGCATCATCGATATTCGGCATATCTTTACTTGTAATAACTAATTAAAGTTATGACACTATGTGCGGTCACTAGTCAATTTCAATATTGAGAATGGGGGGTTCTCGAACAAAAGGCGGCGTTCTAGTTAACGTATTTCACGTCACCGTCGTTCAGAGAAATCTGACATTCCAGGTGGCCTAGCGTTCCGTAAGCATACAATATAATATGAATACAGTAGATTATAACGTGTACATTATTATTATAATATATTATACTGGACTTAGTGAAGACGATAGATTTTTGAACGTAATGTTATATACCACAGCCTAGTCATTACATGTGGTGTCAGATTTTTGTGAGCGGCGGCGGAGTTATTATAGAAGTGTAATATATTGTTGTCTGCAACCGAGGCCTAATAGCTTCACTGTGTATAGTCTCCTAGTTTAATGTTTACTATTATGTTATTAATGTTATTATGCATGGAACTTATTGCAATATTCGCTCTTATGAACCTCGATACTTACATGATATGTTACTACTTAACTGTATATTCCATTGGTCGTTATAAAGAAAACGAATGCAAATTGTGGGCGTGGTGGGAATCGTTTCACTGGCAACTTTTGTTTTCGCCTTCGTCATAAGTCAGGTCAAAATACGCTTACTACATAACCCATACGTGTACTTGCCATTGAACAAAATTATTCCACTATAAATAATGCATCCTATTATTCTAAATAACCCGTGTCGTTTGTATCTGAAATTATTTTAACCTGTGATTAAGTGTTATTACAGTTTACGGTAAGATTATAATCTCTTCAATGCTCTATTGTGTAAAATATATTATTTATAAATTATTTTATTATGTTTTTGACATAAATATTGATATATGTCTGGATATTATAGCTGTATTTTTTTTGAGGCGCATCTTATCGTTAGATAATATAATGTATAAATTGATGTTTGTTTTGTATAGAGCTGCAGGATGTCTGTCGAAGTACAACTTGTGCATTTCACTGTATGATTGTTTTGTTGTTGTTATCGTTGCGTCGCGACGGCCCGACCACCGAATGCTCAATGAGAAGTGTATAATAAATCTGTGTAATATATTATGTATTTTGTTTGTTTTTGTTTCAAAGGGTTCTGTGTGCAGTTCATCGCAGCGCGATCTGTCTTCTGTAGTGCCTTTCGAATCGCTATTCTATGTCGTCTTCTTTCTTGCGTATATTCGAGTGTGTGAATCGTTGCAACAAAAATTGGGATATCGATGAGAATTGTTCACTTCGAAATATAAGCGGTTAGTAGTTACTTTGAACTATTTATGAAAAATCGAAAAAAAAGTTCAAATATATCGTAAAAAATGTTGCAATAAAAACAAATTTCCTACCGAATAGGTAGTTTTTTACTTAGCATTGGAGTTAGATGTTAGAGTCGCAACACTCGCTTGCGCGCACGACCCTAGCGCCGCCGGTACAATAATTACGATAAGTAGTCCTCTTGCGGAGACATACAACCGCCCGTGTCTGCGCATGTCTCTTCAAGCAGCCCTTAGTCTTAGGCGATAAGTGATTATGTAATTGTAAACTATACGTGTAACTATGACTTAATACCAGTGTGTTTATGGGTAAATATTATCCTAAAGTTGTTATCTCTTTCTTAGGCTGTTGTATGAGGCTCGTCGGACCGCGCGAGGCGCTTGCACGCTATCGCTGTTCATTTAACTATACTCTCGATGTAGGTCTAATTGTTAATACTGTAATGTTCGTTTATGCTTTGTGTTGGAATTTATGGTAAATTCTATTTTTTCTTACAGCTACACTTGGTCAATTGTAACTCGTTTCGCGTTGACTCGATGTATATTTTGTAATGTTTAGGTCGGCCTCGCGGTCCGACCGACCCGTGACTGTTATCAAATATACAGAATATTGTATGTACTTTCAGTGATAGCAGAGTAACCTTTAATTCTTGACGTTGACGTGTATATGTGTATTTAAAGCTAATTAATGGAAACAAGTAATTTGATATACATACAGGTTAAGGTAGGCGGTAGTGACGGTGCGTGGCGGCGGACGACCGCTGGAGGTTCGATGAGGTACTTTTCCAGTGATTAGTGTATGATCAGCGGTGGAATTGTGTAAAGCAATCGTTATCATTTGACAGTTCATAACGTACGATTATTCTGTCAAACGCTTTGTTTAACTGACTTTATCATACGTTATGAACTGTCAAATGATTACGATTGCTTTACACAATTCCACCTCTGATCAAAATGTGTACTTCACATAACAGTGAAAATGTTTCTTGACTTTAATATAACTGGTAGGTAGTGTTATTTTTTTAGTTATGGTTACACTTTTTTGCAGTGTCAAAGTGTCAACTGTCACTTATACCTTCAGGCACCAAAGTAATAAAGTATTAAGAGAAGGAAATGCCACATCGAACTCTAAGGTCTTGCTATGAGCTACCAAGCTTATTGAATGATACGCCGCTGCCCGACTTAGCTTGCCCCTTGCGTACAGACATGGTCTTTGTGGCCCCGAGGCCTTTTATGCCTTGCTATTGCCCAGATTTACTCCGATCTTTAAAGACATTCATTCACATAAAGAGAAATTGGGATGAACTTACGAACTATGTCTATACGTGAGAGGATAAACAGTATTACTAGTGGCTACGAACCATTCCCATTTTATAACAATGTATAACTACAATATTGAAATATTTCGTCTGCGGATTTTATAATTTCGGGATGATAATGAGGCTTACAATAATATAACTAGGAATGGAATTGATTACTTTCACTGGTTCGAAAATGTAGAAAATCCAATTGACAGCATTCGTTTTTATTTGGTAAAACATGAATTATGTATTATTATTTCAAAGGGAAATGTTGTCAAATCTTATTGTAACCTCTCCATATCCGTACTTTACCTTAGTAATGGAACTATGAAAGTTATAACGTAGTATATTGAAGTTGACGGTTCTTGAGACCACAAGCCGAGCGTTGGAGTGTTACGAATTATCAATGTTCGCGTCTAGGATAGCTAGAGTAGTAGGGTGGGAGGCGTGGAGTAGGCTACCCCAAGCAATTTAGCCTTAAATATTGGCACTGGTGGCACAACTGACGAATCCAATGTAGCCAATACGAGTCATTTACAACAACTAAGATATTTTTATAATAACCACAAGTTTGCAAAGATGAATAGAACCAACAGGTTTTATCCATTACTCAAGATAGAAGTCTTCATTCTATAAATAAATAGAATATCATCATCATCATTTCAGCCATAGACACACTTCGCCACTGTCATTTATTGTGCATACAGCGCCATCTATGAGTGGCAGATAGTTGTTGTGCCACCGAGTGACCAAAGATGTTATTCGCATGTTGTTGTAACGTATCAACGTTATATTTAAAACATAATATACTTTACAGTCGATGTTCATTGTCGTGTTGTATTTTAGCGGTTTTTATTCACTGCTTTTTTATATGCAACGAAGTATGTAAGTGATTTCAAGTCTTCGTATTGTTCCTGTGTGTACTTTTCCTTATGATTGTGCTAATGGTCAACCAACACTTAAAACGATCATAAAAACGATTAACGTCATTTTGTATTTACAATGGCTGATGTTGCGACATTAGCACAGTCAGAGTCAACCACCGGCTTATTATTTGCTAGGCGAGAAAGTTCTCGAGATGTTATGGGGTTGTTACAAATTGATAGGAAAGTTATTCGATTATGTACACCCAGAGACATGTCTGTAGCAGCGACCTACAGCTGTCCAACTCTTCCCGCTCACTCGTACTGTGAGAAGAAGGGACGAAACATTTGTCGCGATTTAAAATCTTGTATGCGCAGGATGTATGTTTGACTCTAGTGCTAAGAGGTATTATGATAGGTCTTGTTTAGACAAACTTTAGAGGAACAGAAAGTTATTTAGGAAATGTCGAGAAAATATCCCCACAAATATAGTAAAGTTTATAGTTGAATTTTATCTTGAATCCGTTATTTGACATTTCAACTGTAAAGACTTCAATATCGATTATTTTCGAAAAGTCATCTAAATAATATGAATCGTAAGAAATACCAGTGTCAAATAACATCGAATATGTTATTAAAACCATAATATTTAGTGATAGAACAATTTTTCGTCAACTGTGAGTCGTTGCTTCACCAAAGGCGAAGATGCACTATGTACTCAATGGTAGGCGTTATGGAAGTTAAAAGTAGAACAGAAACATAGATGGTACATATTTATTTAGTAACTCGTGTGTAATGTTTCCTCGCTTTGGTGGAAGGTCGGCTCGATGAGTTTGTCTATGTTCAAAAATAATGTCATTCGTTACAATCGAAAATAACTGTTCTGTTTTAGAGGATCGATAATTGAATTGTGCTTAGGAGCTCTGACTGACTTAGAGAAGCTTCAAATAACTGATATTACATTTATTGACTGATTTATTTATTAATCTATCATAATTAATTATGTTATTAGGCAACGTTAACGTGTTGAAATGATTTATTGCAGAGTTTTATATGAATTTAACAGGGCTCCGGATAAAATAAAAAGTACAATGTTTCATATCACGCGTTCATTTGCGACGGGGACGGAATGGATGTTCTAAATACAATAACTATTTATAAATTAAACGTTCTTGTGATTTAGGTTCGTATGTAGACACTATCTGTATTCTAATATAGATGAATCTTCTGGGCTTTTTCGTAAAGATATTAATAATATTCATTTTTAACCGACTCAAAAAAGGAGGAGGTTATATGTTCGACTGTATGTATGTTTTTTTTTTTTTCTATGTATGTTCACCGATTACTCCGTCAATTGTGGACCGATTTTCAAAATTCTTTTTTTGTTCGATAGGGTACAGTTCTGAGGTGGTCCCATTGTCACCAAGTCAGGATCTGATGATGGGATCCTAGGGAAATCGAGGGCAACCCTCAAATTTTATAGGCACGTATATCGTTTTTCAAACGTTTTCTTAAGTTATTCAAGTATTTGCTTCTGAAAATCATCATCTCATATTGATGAGCTGATGTTAGAAGTAAAACTCCTTAATGCTTAGGAGTTGGAGGATGATTCTTTTAATTTTATACATAAGTATAGTTTCTAAAGTTATTCAAGTGTTTGCATCAGATAGTCATCATCTCATCATGATGAACTGGTCATGGTACGTACAACTCCTTAACGCTTAGGAGTTGGAGGATAATTCTTTAAATAATATAGGTACAAATAGACCCACAGTTGTATTCTTTTATGTTTTTAAGGTGGGTTGACGGTTTAAGGTCTTTTTAGGTTGCCGATATGGTAACCTGTATTTTGTAGGGATTATTATTTTACACTTGACATGAAGAATATAGTCTCAATGTACGGCCTACATTCAGTGGTAACATCAAGGTAATAATAAGTAACTAAAAAGCAAAAAATAAGTTAATTTTTATAAAAAAAAATAAAACCGACTCCAAAAAACATACACTAAAAAGTAGAAAAATAATTACTAATCTTATTTATTAGGATTTAGGACGAATTAATATTTATGTATACCATGATTGATACTTTTGGAGTCGGTGCAGGCAAACTTCACATGTTTCATAATCTTGGCACCGACTCCAAAAGTATCAATCATGGTATACATAAATATTAATTCGTCCTAAATCCTAATAAATAAGATTAGTAATTATTTTTCTACTTTTTAGTGTATGTTTTTTGGAGTCGGTTTTATTTTTTTTTATAAAAATTAATGTAGCTGACATGTATCTAGATAAATAAAACTGATAGTTGGGATTTGCGCAAAAAGCCCTTTGGATTGCCTTCGCCGCAACACGTATAGCTAGCTTATGATGTTACTGTCTACCACATATCGCTGTTACGTATGTATAAATTTAGCCGCGACTTCGCTTTATTTCGCTATAAATATAAGCCGACGACTGTATTTTCTACAGAACTTATAATTTTATACTTTGTTGATATAAGAATAATGCTTAATTTACAACAAATTAAATATTGTTTGTTTACTGCACGTCGTTTCTAGTTGAATGCAAGAATAGGAAATTCTACTAGGTATTGTAATAAAAATAAATGTTTATATAAAAAGTTGTGTACGTTTGTAATATTATACATAGCGTGTACGACCAAATAATTTATTGTATTATAGAATGTCGGTACTCCGAGGTTGCGATCGGTTTGTAGGGAGTAGATGCTCTAATGACGACCTAATTTAAATAATGTTACGTATCAATTTTGTTTGATGGCTGTGTTTATGTTGCGACGTTCCTGTGAGGTCGCTGTATTGTTTTTAATTTGGAACACTTCACACTGGCTGCTTGTAACGGAAGTGGCTTAAAGTGTATCTCCCAAAGCTATGTCTGGCTTGAAAGGCCTTGTCCCAATGATTCAATAATGGTAGAAAAGGGCTGGCCACACGACCCCGCGGTTGTCCCGTGGGCACGTGTCGCTAGCCCTTAAGAAAGCAGTTTACTTGTATATTTTCTATTGAAATAGTGGTTTATTTGAAACCAGTCGGGTACCAGCGTTCGTGCATTCGTCATTACCTGCTGACATGTATCCACTGTAATGATACTATGATATTATATTAATATGGAAACAAACAATTCCTGAGATAATAAAAGGAAAATACGAAAACAAGTGTTTTATTTCAATTTTATTTTGGTTTTGTTTGTTTTACTGGAAGTAAGATTATTTCTTTTTTTATCCAATATGAGAGAAAGTTACGTAGAAAGTTAAAGACGAATCAACTTTTGATTTTAATGTTTTGTTGTGTTCTAAGGACGTGATGCGCTTACCAATGCGAATGACGTAATATCAAAGCCCAATGGTTACTTTNACTGGATCCTTTTGCCATCGCATGTTTTGTTAGGCAACTGCCATTTGTTTCCCCATGAGTTTTTAGATATTACTACTGCAGAGATTTACATAAAAGCAGAAACAATAATGATTTTGCTTTTTTATTTTGTTTTTCTTACTGTACGAGTATACTACATTTTCCTTTACAATAAAATACACGTAATTTGTACATAACTATTTTATAAAACTTAGTAGGTAGATACGTCTGTCATTGTACGAATACACACTTGGTCCAAAATGCCCCCTAATTGATGGCAATTATCTTCCAGGATATAATTAGTTAAATGGCCCCTTTTGTATCCACAATTTGAAATAGTCTAAGTCGCTTTTGATCACATTAATTGAAATGCCAGCATCCTAAGCCATACAGTATTATCAAGCAAAGTTACTTGGCACTTTGCATAGAGGGGTTAACAGTAATAAAAATTGGTGCCCAACGTGGGGTACCGGTCAATTAAAAAATATTATCACTGACTCATGACATTCATTAGCACTACGATCTTACAATCGGTTTGTTTGTATTTGTACACAGCGTGTGCGTTCATTCACAGTTATGTCATTCCCATTGTAAGTCCCGCGATAGTAAAGTGAATAATGCGCGATGACCGCGAGGCGAGGCCGCGTTCATTGCGCCCGCGCCTCGGAAACGAATCCGTCCGTTAGGTCTAATTCTAATCGCTCGTTAATCGTGGGCTCGCTCGGATTACCCAATCCTAGGCCTGTGAACGCCCCTGCACACAATGCGCCTTTAGAGTTCGGGATGTTAAAAAAATTGCGATACTCAGATTCATAGCTTACCTTCATTCAGGGACAGTTGTTGCAAAACTCTAAAGGCATTAGGTCAACAAAAATTAGAAACCGTCTGTTCAAGGTACCTATACTTAGAGACTGCGTCAGTACAAAAGACCCGAAGTGGGAATTGGGTTCAACGTTTGCAAGTCCCATTGTCAATATTGAAATGGAACCGCTCCGTGTCAAAGGGTTTGTTTGGCTGATCCCATTACTGAGCAACGGCCCCACATCCGTCCACAAACGCCAAATCGGACCCCAATTTTAGTACTTTTCAGACCTTGAGTTTCTATTGTGCGTGAATCGTTTTCGCGAGGGCTCAACGACTATAGTGACGTCATATTTGTGCTCTAGTTGATATCACAAAACATGACAAACAGGGTTTAATCTTGTTTAGATGGGCATGTTCCCATTACGCCCTGATAACAGAGAGTACATAATAACATGAGATAGTTTGTTGGCATTCAATGAGCTAATCAATTAGGCCTACTCTTAAAATATTCTAACTGCCTACACAATCTGCACTGAACATTTTGATTGTGGTTGCGACACGAGCGGTCCAAACTTGCGTCACCTGATATCGCGGCAGTGACTCGCGCGCCGGCCAGCATGGCGGACGCTGAGACCAGCCTGCGCGCGCTCCTGCGCCGCGTCGCCCGCGACCAGCGCTACGAAGACGACGATGCGCACGTCGCCCTCAAGCCCATCACCAGCGGCGGCGCCAACTACACCTCCAACCTCTTCCTCGCCACCCTCTCCACCCCCGGACTCCCCGATCTGAACCTCTTCGCGAAAGTTGCCTCCATCAGCGTCAAAATCCGCTCGCGCGTCAACGCCGACAACCTGTACAGAACCGAACAGATCTTCTACAACAAACTCGTCAACATCTGGAACGGCTTCCAGGAGAAGTACCAGGTGCCGGAGCAGCACAGATTTGTCTTTCCCAAATATTATGGCGGGAGCGAGGAGATCGGAAACGAGACGATTATTTTGGAGAATCTGGTGGCGGGCGGGTACATGAGCTTTAGCAGGTTCAAGTCGGTGGACTGGGACCAGGCGTCGAAGGCGGTGGAGGTGCTGGCGAAATACCACGCTTTATCGTTTGTCCTCCAAAAGGAGGATCCGGCGGAGTATGAGATTTTGCTTAAGGACCTGAAGTTCGTGATGTCCGATGAGGACCCGGAGATGAAGGGCATCTGGGAGCGCATGGTGGGCGGCGCCATGGCCGTCATCGACCAGCAGCACCACGAGAGGATCAAGAAATTCTTCGAGGCCCATGATGGTCGCGATTTATTCACAAAATATCATATGCCGACGCACACGCCGATTCTCGCGCACGGGGACTTCAGACCTAGTAATTTGCTGCACAAAAAGCAGGTAATTTAATGCATATTTTTGATTGATTGAGTAGATAAGGTAGTATTATTTATTTACCTATGTGTATGGTAACCTAATACAATTAAATTCAATGACAAAGGCCTTGCGTGAGCGTAATTAATAAGTAAGTACTTAGTACACTATCATACATCTAATTAAACGGGATGACATATTGTGCTTCACATAATAATTCAAACTTCAAGGTCTTGCACTAATTATTAACAGTTAGGAGCACGATTAAAGCTTATTGAGACATCGTAATATCATTAGGAGGCTGTCTCTGGAACAAGACGCTGATCATTAATAAAATAACTCTATTTATTTGGAATCTTAGGCACTAGACTACTTATTAGCCAACTGGGTTTGGGATTGAAAACCGAAACTGCACAAAAAGAACCATCAACTTAACTCTACCTGCCAAGTAACTTAGATTTAAGCGCACTTGACTTTAAGGAAATGTATGTACAACAATGCAATGTAAGCAATGTAAAAAAATGTTAAAGTTGTTAAATAAACTTTTATTATTATTATTATTGTTTTTTCAAAAGAATTTTGATCTCGACCGTAGTCGGCAGTAATGAAACAGGTACGGGCTTATGCCAAGTATCCTGGTTATTATTATTATTATTATTATTATGTTCTAAGCATTATGTACAAAGCAAACTAAGTAAGATAACCCGAAACATTAAAAACCGACCTAGTAAAGCACAAAGTCTGACACAGGTCGTGACCTACGTCGTTATAAATAACTCGCCATGTGAAGAAGAGTGCGAATTACGTGTAGAGTTCCGTATCAGCACACCGCCTTATGTACAGAATAAGTATTAGGTAGTAAAAAAAATAAGGTAAAAGCTTTTCATCACAGTAAACATTCGTGAATTCTAAATCAATATCGAGTTCAAAATTAGGTAAGTTAAAATCTGAAACTGAAAATTAAGTAGTAGGTAAAAGACTTTTTCATAAGTTGCACGGAGCTTTAAAAACAAGACAAATAGCTTCCGGGTAACAAAGACAACAAAAATATCTCTATCTAACAAAACATGGCTTCTGATATCAAAAACTCGTACTAGGCAACTTGAAGATTGTTATTAAAAACAATGATAATAAGTAATCAATCTTTATCAATGAACATAGCAAACAATTTGTCATACTTTAGTTAGTTAACCCAGATACCCCGAACAATAACTACAATATCTTAAAAATAGAGGATGAATTTAATTAATCCATTTGTGTTTGTCCATTGAAATAACTCTATGCGTGACGTTCTGTAGGGCCGCGGGACTACGTGACGGTAAACACGTTCCCTTCATGGAAAATTTTCGGCTACGGTATTCGGGGCCCTTAGATGTGCCATTGTGCAGATAGCTTTGTATGGCGCGTAACGTAGATTATGAATAAGTAAGTAGGAATTCAATTAAATTTTATTAAGAAGTCATGTAGCAGCGTCTTAACTTGGTTTAATGTTGAAGTTGCTTTGAATGTCGATAGTAACTGAACAAAAAATATGTTTTTTGAATTCGTTATTTCTCAACAATTTTACCGCGTCCATCTGAGAACTGTGTTTTGTCGCGCGTTGCCAATTCTAACAGAGATTGTGAAACATTTATTGTAGTTGTAAAAATTGGACAAACCAGCTTGTAAGATTTCCTCACAAAGTTGGTTTAAGTAGGTATAGCTTCAAGGTCGAAAATATTTACATTTTGCTATGCAATTATTGCAACTTTGTGGTTAGACTCCAATAGCGCAGATGATTAGGCAATTTATCTGATATTAACGGGCAGTTTACAAATTGACCAGATTTACCCTTATAAGGGCAGGCATCCGCCGACATTTGTGCGAGTACATACCTACCTACGTATATACATATTTAGAGATTTGGAATTTTAAATAATCTTGGATTCGATTTCCGATTCGATTAACCTACCTATAGGCATTGAGTTATAATGTACCCTATAGGCAGCGATTTTATAAGAGTTCTTTTTTAGTTCATATTTCATTTTATGAAATACAAAAATAACTCTCTGAATTATAAATAACTAAAACGATATCCATTGTTGTGCCACAAAAGGACCTTGAACTAGGGAAATTGTCGCGACCAGCGATGTAGAACTGGTGCCAAGGTTCAGAGATACAATACACCAAGGTTCATGAATCGACAACATCATTTGATGTCAATGTTTCAACATTCAACAAAATGTTTAAAGTTAGGTACTAAGTACTTAGGTAATTATTGGGATGCCCCCTGCCGAATCATCTTTTGGATTAGGTAGGTAACCTACGTACAGTCCATTTATAATTTTAAACAATGTTCGCAACCGCACCGGTTGGCCTATTGTTTTTAAAAGTAAGCAATTAAGTAAGTAGGTAGGTACTTAGTGCATCATTATTATGCCAATGTGTGCGAGTATAATAAGTCTGTTGCTTGATTTGTATAACTCTTGATCTCCTGAACCTGGAAATTTGCTTGTTGTCTATTAATAACTGGAAAACATATACCTACTTAGTCTTAATTTAAGTAGGGGAAAGTAGTAGATACGAGTTGATCCCTTGGGGTAAGATGATCCTTTGCGATTGTGCTGAAACCACTAACGTCATTTAGTTTCTTTAACTGGTAAAACATAGCTCTGGACACCTCCCCGCCTCAGTCAAATCGTAATGGTGGCGTGAGCGATACAACGAATTTGACGAGAAAAAAGAAAAAATGTGTACTCCTGATCTTTAATAGGCATGACTTTGAGCTTATGTTACTTTTATTCAAACAATGTTAAATGTAATTACTGTTGTGGTTAGGCTTTCTATTATGTTTAATTTTAATATTTTGGCCATAAAAACGTAGCCGCGTACTTGTAGATTGTTTTAGCAAATAATTTTACAAAAAGTGGGACTTGGGTCAAGATGATCCCTTCCTATGTGTACGAGATGATCCCTGGGAATTAAAACAAAAAAGGCAATGGAGTAGGTAAAGGGAAGTCAAATAAAAGAAAAAGAACTTCATATAACTCACCTGAGTCTGAAGAAGATGATACTGAGTGGCTGTAGGTACTGAACAAAAAAAAATTTTAAGCGATAGGTACCAAGGGTAGGGATGAACATAATGTTGTGATTGTGGAAAATGGGGCCAAAAAGCATGTGCTGGGGTAGAGGGTGATGAAGCAGGTGCATTTATTTGTGATATATGCAACACAGCTCAAGCCAAAAAGCGCTTAAATTATTTAAACGCTTTTTGGCAGGTGCTAAGGAAGAATAAGATATTTTCGTTATTTAGTTCGTAAATGTTTTTCTTTTATAACTTTTGAACGATTTGTTCGCATAATTAGTTACTCAGAAAGGAATACAACCAGAAAAGAATAGATCATAGAATATAATCATAGGGATCATCTTAACCCTACCTGGGGGATCATCTTACCCACAGGGGTGTACAAGATGATTACTTTGTAAGGTTTTGCAAAAAATTAAATATTTTAATGAAACCTCAATTAATTTCTGGTTTTGAGTATTAGGAAAGTTGGATAGATAAATATACTAGTAGTAATCGTCTTTATTTTTGGTTTACCTTGAAAAATATGTATTTTACAGCGATTCCCGCTTAAGGGGATCATCTCGTACTACTTTCCCCTACCTAGGTAGATGTTATTAAATGATAAGTTAGTTTTATTTCTTCAACAATAAGTAGATATTTTCCGGTTGAACAAGACTTAGGTTTTGAATGTGATTGCAGACACAAAATTTGGGTTATCTAGGGGTCAACTTAATACCAATAAAATTATAGACGAACTGATAACTTTTTACGCATAACTCGAAAGTGATAAACTAATAGAAGAATTCAACATTTTCAGGCTGACGGCAGCGTCCAGGTCATCGTCCTGGACTACCAGACAGTACACACTGGTTGCCCGGTGGAAGACCTCGTCTACTTCATCTTCATGGGCACAGACGAGGAGTTCCGCAAGCAGCACTACGACGAGCTCATCGAGCTTTACTACGCGCAGCTCGGGCTGGCGCTTGGAAGGTATCAGATGGACGTGGAAGAGGTGTACGCTAGGAAGCTCTACGACGATGATTTGAAGATGGTACGTAGAATTAAATAATCTGCAAGTGTAGATTTTTCAGGCGAACCTTAAAACTAGCTAAAACCAATCCAAGATTGGATATAACTCTGGTGAAGGTTTCAAGTGTTTTGCTAAATTAGTCTATCAAAAACTTTAGCTCTTTCACGAACTTAGTACTTAGCTCAACCATTTTATCGGTTGAATTTGCGATAAGCATTCACGCACGCAGTCTACAGCACATTACACTATAGGTACAAATATAAACAGCTCTATTGCAACTGTATAAGAAAGTTGCAAACGTGTTTCGCGGGTGTCGTAAGAGGCGACTTAGGGACTACACATCAAACAGAGAACGGGCAGCGGCGCTCTCTGAAAATTATCAATCTTTTAAACTGTGATCTCCAACCCGCCTGCCAAGCGTAGGGATTATGGCAAAAAACTCCACTACAGTGAAGGAGGCTCATAGTCCAGTAGTGGACTGTAAAGGGCTGTTGATGATGATGATCGTGTTTCAACTTAATCAAGCTAAACACAAATTCCCGTCCCGTTAAAGATCTTTCCACTAATTCCAGATGCTTCCATACGCTCTGCTGCTGGGCATAGTGGTGCTGCCCGTGGTGACGGTGGAAGCCGAGAGTGCTCCGAAGGTGGACAACGAGGCCGATCTGGATGCCTTCGTGGTGGCACCTAACGAGCTCTTCGCCAGCCGGTTCAAGGGGGTCGTCAACGACCTGTTGCGCTGGGAGGTCATATAGACAAGTTGCAGAAAGATTAGGTACAGAAAAAGTACAGTATTTCCATTTTCGAGATTTGCAACTTTACTTAGTTGAAGTTGAAGTTATGTATTCGTGTTGTTCTTTCGCGGGTGATATCGTAATTTTTCAATAAGTTGATGACAGTACAATATCTAGTATTATTAATAAAATTAAGAAACTATAATCGTTTTACTTTCATTAACTATAGGTCGAAATTTACATCTACTCGGTCATACCTACCTACCTTATGTTTCGTTCTTGTCTAAGTGCCTAAAAAATACAATCTTTGCTGGCACCCTTTTGTTCCCAACTCGCATATCGGTTAGATTGCCATTTAATTTTAGACTCAGCGATTGTGTTTTTCGATAAAGTGCGGTAGTTTGGCGCCCACCGAGTTGCCAACTTGCCATTGCTGATGTTACGTTTCTCTAAACTTCTTCAATTTCTTGGGTAAAGGTTTGAAATGTATTGTTACATAGTTTACTGATAATCCGATATGCAAACATGTGATGTCATTGCAGTTGTTCATATTTAGTTAGATTATTAAGTTTAAATAGGTTAATAAGCATAGTATACTAGTAGTATTATAAAATGATAACGCTCTGTTTGTAATTATTTTAATATTATTTTGTCTCGTAAAAAAACCTTTCAATTTTGTTATTTTAATGTAAAAAATTAAATAAGTACTGATGTTGTCCAGAAAGTACCTGACTTACATTTTATTGTTTGGTTGATGTCACAATTTTAAATCAAAATGTTAAATACTAATAAAACCATGTTACCTACACTTCATATGCTATACATGCGTCTGCTTTATTTTAACTTACGAGTAAGTAATTTATTAAAGCTCTACATTCTTATCACATTTGGCCACGCTACAATAAGGGCTAATTTTGAAGATAATTAATAATAATAATTTATTCTAAAGCCCGGTCTGTGAGCACGTATAATTTTGTCCAATGACCCTCGCGTGTAATTATATTGCTGTCGCGACTGTGCGACGGGCGCCCGCAGTGAGTGTGCGATCGCGACAGCAACATAATTACGCGCGAGCGATAAGGATGGGTAGCTTGGGGTGATTGGGCAAAATTCTACGTGCTTGCAGACTATACATATAAATAAAAATTAATCTATCCCATGTCAGTTTATTCCCCGCCGTTTTCCCTCAACGAGCGGGCCCTAGGAGCGAGCGAGAGTCCCCGGCCGTTGGCCTGTCCCTGCCACTTGTCTGTGTTGTGTGTCGCGAGGTAGTCTCGTGTCCTGTCCCTGGTCTCTTTTGTCTTTTGCCTGTCAACATTTTTGAAGTGAGAAACGTTTTGATGGTTTACTTATAACGAGTGAGAAGCCAAAAGCAAGCAGGTCGGTTACTAGGTATATTTTTTTAGCGTGAACACCATTCTGGAAATCTCTTAATTCGTAAGGGTCAATGTAAGCGTGTCAAGCCACTGCATGCCTATGGATGGAGCCAGGGCGTTAAAGCTAGCTAGAAACAGAGGGACAAGGCGATTCTTCTCGCTCAAGAAACGTGAAGTCAAAAGCGCGAGTGTGACGCGCAATCTCCTGCAGTACCTGAAAGCTGGTCTTTTGTGGAGAGTCCTCATCGGCAGTGTACAATTAATGACAAGATTTCATTGTACGTTTCTTAAAGCGAGAAATCAGATGATAGTCGTTTCCTCGTCATGGGGAAAGTAGGAGTCAGCGTCAAATAATTCGTGACACCCAAAGTAGCCAAAAAGATAGCAACGCGTCTTTGTTACAATTGGAATAAGGTTGTGCTATAAACTTTTTGGTCACTTTGGGTGTTACGAACTATTTGACGCTGACTCTTACTTGCCCATTGGGTACCCATTGGGTCCTTTTTCAGGGGGGGCTGATCCCTGACATGCCATGTCACGAGGGAGGGAGGTGCGATTAGTATAGCTCATGAGTTAGTATTATCAACTATCGGTAGCTTAACATCCTGGCTGTACCACGCCCAAGCCGAGTGTGGGAGTGTAAAACGGATCGCGAGGGAGTGAGTGTTTAAGAGTGTTTATCTGTTAAGTTCAAAACGCCACCAACAGATGGCGCTGTACGTTACTAACACGCGCAAGCGAAGGAATTAATGAGTGAGTGAGTAAGAAAGACGTGATTTTGGAAGAAGACAGAACAGAAGTATTACGACGGAGCGAGGACTCCTTTTTTTGAGGTTTATCCCGGAAAATACAAATAAAGCTAAAGATATACCACCGACTTTAAATTCCTACAGCTTGACTTACTTGCTATCGTTCCCTGCCGGCGCGAGCGCAGTTTTCACGAGCCCAGCGGCCGGCGCCTCCACCGTCAGCCACAGCGCCGCAGCGGCCGCGTAGGATAGGAAGATCGTCGCGCACAGGATCGTCATCTGAAAGTGGGTGGTACTTAGTTGGTAGAAGGTTCGAGGAGAGCGGGACATAGATACCTACTTTGGGAGAGAATTCCATTGTCTTGTAATGGAGTTCCGTATTGAACGTAGCAAATCGTTTAATTCATCATTTAAAGTGTAGATGTCTGGGGGGCAACGTAACTTTTTTGGTTTCGATATCAACCATTATAAGGGACAACATTTCTTCTCAGTTTCCATCAGTGGGGTCAATGGGGAGATTTCAGTAGCGTTGTGGGACCACTTGCAGATATCGCAAAATTTTTTCTCAATGTCCAACAACTGCATACTCAAATTATTTATTAGTATGTAGGCGCTTAGAGCACTTATACACGTCCCAAATATAGCTTTCCTTCTAAACTTCGGGACTAAGCTGGTGCTGAGAAGAATTTGACGGAAGAAACGTTGTAGGTTAGAAGGTATTATCGATAGCAGCTCACCACATAGTAGTCGGACATGTGCGTGGGCCGCGGCTGGCTGCCGACGAGCCCGCGCTGGAACATGGTGTGCAGCAGGAAGGCGCCGTACGACGCGCGGCCCAGCCACGTCCAGCCGCGCCACTCCACCACGCTTCGGTACGCGGCTGTCAACACGATAGCAACGTCACCAACCGTGGGAATAACCGTTTTATTCCTACTATACAGTTTTACTAATAAATTATTAGTAACTAGCTGACCCGGCGAACTGTGTTCCGCCTTAAAGGCAATAAATAAGCCATCGCAATTTTTCCTTATTTGCTCACCGTTTAGACCTACCCTGGACTACGACAAACATTTTAAAACCAAAATCAGCTCAATCGGTCCAGCCGTTCTCGAGTTATAATCAGACTAACGAACAGCAATTCATTTTTATTTATATAGATAGATAATAAATGACGTGAGAAAATCACATCACGTTACACGCCTGTCAACACACAATAGCAATCTCAATGAACGATGAAACATGGCGGGAAAAACATATTCCGTTATGCACGCCTGCAGTATTACAATAGCAATGTGGTGGTGAAATATGGAAGAACAATCACGCTCCACGGTAGGTAGGTACACGCCTGCTAACACATAATAGCAAAGTCACCAACCGGGGAAATATGCCGGGAGTTGCATACGGGACCGTAGACGCCTGTCGCATAAAAATAGCAGTGTCGCTGATCAGTGAAACACCATGCCGTGGTACAACGCCTGCCGCTTTACAATAGCAATCTCAACGACTAGTGAAGCTATGAATAAACACATCAGGATTATTCCATTATGTACTGACGTTTTGTATGATCTACATCTACACTAATTATTATAAAGAGGAAAACTTTGTTTGTTTGTTTATAATGAATAGGCTCAAAAACTACTAGACCGTTTTTAAAAATTCTTTCACCATTCGAATGCTATAATATCCACTAAATTTTATTTTGGAAAAAAATAGGGTTCCGTAAAATATGTAGATAATGTAGTCCACGCGCGCGAATCCGCGGGCGGAAAGCTGTAGAGTTATAAATCTCTTCAGCATTATGGGGAGAACACGATTGAAATCTTGACGATTTACATTTATCCTCTGGGGAAAGAACCCGCAACCTCAGCTTGCGTCAGCTAACCACTTATATACCACTGTATGACTTACTGTCAATCTTGAAGATGCACCCCAGGATGAGGGTGACGACGAGCAGCTGGAAGACAGGCTTGTAGACCGTGGCGTATGCGACTCGCAGCGCGGCGGACGCGCGCGCCTCGTCCGAGTAGAACAGCCCGCCGGACAGGATCACCAGGACTCCCAGTGGGAACGCCAGCCAAAATACCAGGCGGTACCACTGGAATACGGGAAAGTGGATTTTACAGGGGCTTCGGAAAAGTATCATTTTTTAAAAAGGATGTAATTTAATCCCTCGTGGTAAGCTAAATTATGCTCGTGTTTACGAGTGGGTTAAACACAATAGTCCAGCGGTGGTAGGGGTTCGAACTCGTGTTTCAGGTCTCGTTTAGTCTAGGCCCAGACCACCAATTTTTTGTCGGCCGATAGTTTAGTCGGGCAGTTAATCATACATACCGTATGGAAGTGCTCACATTTAGTGTCCGACCGAATATNTTAAAATTTATTAATAAGGAAGGGATGTAGTGTTTGTATCTACGTACTAGATAGATACAATACGCTGTCTCACGTACACAAGTGATAGGCAGTCACGTGACGTCGTTACGAGTGGGACGAGTCAGTCGTACGGCAGACGCCGGCGAGTACGGACGTGCCGCAGTGAGACGCTTGGTGTGACGGTGAGCCAGTGTGCACATTTACAATTATAATCGTTTATTAAGAAATTAAATGTATTTTTCTTTGGATATTTATTGGGCTTTTAAATAACATCAATATTGTTGGGGCACCATGACGGTGTCAGAAGAAAATCTTTAACGCGTCACGGAAGGTGCGGTTTATTTGATGTTGAGTGTATATAAAACTCAAAGGTACAGACTGACTGACTGACTAACATAGTGATCTATCAACGCACAGCCCAAACCACTGGACGAATCGGACTGAAATTTGGCATGCAGGTAGATGTTATGACGTAGGCATCCGCTAAGAAAGGATTTTACGAAACTCCACCCCTAAGGTGGTAAAACGGGATCCACGCGTACGAAGCTGCGGGCGGAAAGCTAGTATAAATATGAATGAGGTACAATTTACCTCTGTAGCTCCCTCTCCTCGTGTGTCAGCAGTTCGGGCCGCGGCGGAGCGGGCGACGCCGGCCGCGCGCCTCGCAGCGCTTCCCACACGTCCACCTGTGGGACAACCATAGTAGGTATACAGGGTGTCTCGGTAGAAGGCTATAAGGACATTGGGGGGATTAGGGAGGTCTACTGCCTACAACCATAAGAATAGGCGCAGACCACCGATTTTTTATTGGCCGATAGTTTAGTCGGGCAGTTAAAAATCAAATGTATCTTTATTTGTTTAGACTAAATTAGTACTTAGTTTACAAATCGTCAAATGCTCTTAAGGAACATAATACATGTCTCATTATTTTTTTGCCCTACCAGCGCTTCGAGACAAACATTTGGCAAGTGCTGAGAAGAAGCGCCGCAACAAACTCAGTCACCACTGTCTGCCGGTTTAAAAAGTTAATCCGTATGGGCATGTATGGATGTGCGCACATTACACCGATTAATTATTCATACAAATTAGAATCGGGCCCAACTATGAGCCGACTAAAAATTGGTGGTCTGCGCCTAGGCTTACTGGTATACCAGGAGTCTCGGTATTACGCTACAGGGATACTGGGGGGACTACGGGAGATCTACGTTTTTTTCTGACATACCAAGGACAGACTACTCTAGGAGTCTCTAGATTACGCTGGCAGGGGCACAAGGACTAAAGGAGGTACTACAACGACTGTCTCTCTGACTAACGTGGAATAACAAACGGATATCTACTATATTTCTGGTACAACAGGGAAGAACTAAGGGAATTATACTGTGTAATGAATGGAGTAAAAGTTATACGGAACATAAATAACTACAACAGACACATCATACAGAACATCTCGATATTAAGCAACAATATACATCCAGACATTCAGAGAATCTCTGGACTATAGGATGACTAAGAACTACTACTGTCTTTCTAGCATACTCAATACGTAATACAACTACGACAGACATACCGGGTGTCTCTGGATTACTCTGGGGCACTGGGAGGAACTAAGGGACATCTATAGGGAGTCTCTCCTCTAGCATACGAAATACGGAGGTAATAAAAACTAAGGGAAGAAGAATACAGGGTGTATAACAATGCATCAAGCCGGAAACCATGCATCCGGCGAAATTATAATACGAAAAATTATAAAATAGGAAATCACTATTACTTTTGGACCAACGTTTAACTAAAAAGCGCAGACGACTATGCAAGCATGTGTGTAGTGTAGTGGAAATCAATTGATCCCAAGTTTCTGTTTAGAAACTTTTGATATAAAACCTATTAAAAGTTTTTATTAAAAAATATCATTTAAATTACCACCCTAGTGTGCACCACGTTATTTTAGTCGTTCTGTATCTCTGGTGATACCCTCTGGTTATTGAAGTCGCTTATCATTATATTAGTGACTTAAATGCTTTTAATTACCTCTTCCTATATGTACATACTCTGACCATTTTCTTCATTTACAGTGTGTAGTAATAGTAGACAACTCTGCTGTCAAACTTTGGCTGAAGGCGTCCGACTTGACCCAAGTTCTCCCTTTCCGTTTCAACAAGCGTTTGACATCGAATGGCATGCTATTTTTTTAGATGAAAAGGTCTGCAAAAGGGCTCTGAGGATTTAATTGCCTAAATCCCGGTTTCCACCAATGCGGAGCGAAGAAGTGTCATTATTCAGGAAGTTTTAACAAGCGTCTGACATCGAATGAAATGCTCCAATAAGATTGAAGTTATGACGTCGAAGTTGCTTACACGTTGCATGCCCAAATGGCCAATGTTATCGTGACATGCACCAGTCAGCGTCACGTGCAATTTAGCCCCTCTAAGGCCCAGTTTTTTGATTCATAGTTAAAATAACAAATTGTTAAATTTTGCTACTAATGGTTAAATATTAACAAAATGTTAACTAATAGTTAAAAAATGTACGAAAACTCAAGTTAACCATCGTTTGAAAATCATTTTTTTCTGATATTTAACCACTTGTCATTTGACATCTGTCAAATTTGACTATTGGTTATTTTAACTATTAATCAAAAAACTGGGCCTAACTCGAGGGTTGTGCCAACTGGTGAATTATACGATAGGACTATCGCGTCTCTGATGAGTTAGCGCCACTAGCGAGTAAGGTAAGGACTTGACTTGAGTGACGAAACAGTCACGGTGACAAAAGTCACCCGTGTGCACGCTCCCTAAGCTCATGTCACTGGACAGGTGGAAAAGGCTCGTTACTGTGTCACTCTAGGCCGCCACCAATCGATCAACATGGAAAGCATTGGGGGAGGCCTATGTTCAGCAGTGGACGTCCTATGGCTGAAATGATGATGATGACTGTGTCACTCACTAGTTGACGTCATCGGCGAGTGAGGTCGACCGTGGCGCCAACTCGTGAGCGCAAATAAACTCGACATCAAATAAATCGCACCTCCCGCGACAAGTACTTTCAAAGGTATGCATCCCCACTTCCCACCAATATTGGCACCATTTAAAAGCCTAGTTCTAACCTTCATTTCAATAAAGGAAAGGTTTTATCCCCAAAAATGTGTCTTTAGAAGGATTCAGAGTCACTTCTTTAAAAAAATAGGTAGTTACGCTTGAGCCAACTTTTATGCGCAACCAACTCGCCACAGCTATAAAACTGTTAAGTTGCAATGAGGGTTTTCGCGATTAAAAAATCCGCCAGACGGCAATACGTAGGCGGGAGGTCCAAATGCTGCATGATTGGTTATTTTTGACATGACATTGACAGATATGTCAAAATCCACCACAAAATCAATCATGCAGCATTTCGACCTCCCGTCTACGTATTGCCATCTGGCGGATTTTTCAATCGCGAAAACCCTCATTAATCGCTATCCATCTGTTAAAGAGGACACGTGAGATCATTATTTGGTTTTATAACTATAAAAATTGGTCTCATTGATCCCAGAGGTGGGCCCAAAGCGAGGTATTTTTTCAAGTCACATTTATGGTATATGTTAATCATTTATTAAGAAATTAAATGTGTTTTTCTTTAAGGATATTTATTGGGCTTTCAAATAACACCAATATTGTTGGGGCACCATGATTGTGTCAGAAGAAAATCTTTAAAGTTCGCGTCGCGGAAGGTGCGATTTATTTTATGTTGAGTAAATAATTGCTACACTACTGTATCAGTATCGCGCAGCCAGTCTACCAGCACACCTAGAAGCCGGTACCTCTCTCACGGTTGGGCCGCGGCGAATGGTGTCCCCTGATGAGCCACGGCAGTTCAGGCACGGCGCACACGCTGCTTAGCCACTGGTCAGCCACCTGCAAGCACATACCTGGTCATCGCTCGTGCCAGCCTCCATGAGACTCTGCTGGATGGCATACTGCAGTAAACTCTCCTCGTCGTCGGCGAGGCGCGCTCCTTCGGCGGCGGTGTAGGCGGTGCCTGCTGCGAAGCACGCGTCGTCGAGCACGCAGGCTAAACGGTCGCCCTCGCGGATGCATTCCACGTGGGTCACGGGAGATTCGGTGGCGAAGATGTTGCCGAACGTTATGCGAGCGTTGAGGACGTGGAATAGCGGGATTTCTGGAAAGAGATGGGTGGTTTTTAATTCGTTGGCGGCTGCAAAATTCGCAACAAATCAGTTCCTAATACAATTCAGAAGGAGATACAAAACCAAAGTCACAGTGCAATTAACGTTACAGTAAATAAAACTGTCGATCTGGTAAATCTGACGATCTGGTAAAGGTCGCGGGAAAAGCCTGGATGCGGGCAGCGCAGGACCGTGCATTGTGGAAAACCTTGGGGGAGACCTTTGTCCAGCAGTGGACGTCATTTGGCTGAAACGAACGAACGAACGAAGATGAAACTGATGATAAACCGTTGTTCGCGCAGTGCGCATTCGCAACAGTTATCACCCCTCGCTGGACGTCACTAATGCTTCCATAAGGAAGCGAAGAACAGCACTAGCGGCGTCGCCGGCCATCTTGCATCCAACTCTCGAGCGTGTAGCTCATATTTTCTATTTTTCTCCATTTACCATGTAAAAGCTTCAACCTAAGAAGAATAGACGGTTGTTAATAAATCCTTAACAACCGTCACTATCAAAAGAGCGCGTAATCCCCGACATGCGTGGAACCCGCAGAAAACCAGCTTCGTGATTTAGGGTGGATTCGACCATACAAGACTAAATATTAATCTCAGAATAAACTTGTCATTTTGACATATTTCCCATACTGAAACTGTCAATGTACCAGTTATACCAGGAGTTATTCTAGGATAAATTGGTCAAACCGGACGATTTGTGTTATGTCACGATTTTTGCTGAACGGGCGCCTTTTCAGCTTGAACATGAGACCTTAATTCAAGTAAAGCTAAATCAAAGTATGTAACGCACCAATTTTTACAGGGAATCCAGACGGTAGCTGCATCTGGATGAAGTCTTTTAGCTTGGCGAAGTGCGGGGACGATATCGCCGCCATCAAATCCAGGATCGGCATGATTTGCTCTTGCAACTGGAACAGAATAATAGACAATACATATTTCATGAAGCATATTGTCACTTCTTAAATAGATTAAACAAAGAAAGAAAAAGAAAAGAGATAAGGAAAACAAAAAAAGAAAAAGGAAAAAGAAAAAGGAAAAAGAAAAAGAAAAAGAAAAAGGAAAAAGGAAAAAGGAAAAAGGAAAAAGGAAAAAGGAAAAAGGAAAAAGGAAAAAGGAAAAAGGAAAAAGGAAAAAGAAAAAGAAAAAGAAAAAGAAAAAGAAAAATTATATCTTGTGGTGGCGTTAAATGTCGAGCTTCACCTACCTCTAGCGGGTAGTCCTCGCACAGCCACAGCGTGGCGCGGAACTTCTGCACCTTGGTGTCGAGCACCTGCGCGCGGCCCACGTCGCTTGACGGCGCCTCCTCGCCGAAGTACTCCGCCCAGGAGACCGCGGGCGGCGTGGGCGTGGAGCGACGGCTCTCGATCAGCCTCTCCTCCTGGAAATAAGTGTTCGCTGTTGTAAAACACTAAGTGAAACTATGATTGTAAAGCGGGGTGTTTCCCGCACTAGTATACTTTATCTTAAGTAAAGGTACACAGCTTGACAGGGATACGCAGCTATGCCCAGGCGCTTTAGGATCTGGGTCTCTGGCCCAGATACCAGTAGACTGCTGCTCCGGCCGTAAGCCAATGTCAGCAATCTCAATAACAGGGCCCTGTGGTAGTATTCCGGCCATCTAATCTTAAAGCATCATTTTGGGACCAACCACGTTCGATTTGCTGCTTCACTTAGGCAAGCATCGTTTGTGAATACGGGCGTAAAACGGTGACCGAGTTTCTTCCGCCACTTCTCATCACCAGCCCATATGTTGTCGCGAAGTGGTGGTACGGCAAGCTACTTCAAGGACGTATACAAGCGCACTGGAAAGGGCCTAAACACTGAATGATTGATGAAATGGTTTGATTTGATTTGAAAAGGCCCTAAACGTGAGATTGCAAATTATAGACCAATATCCAAACTCTGTGTTTTAGCTAAAGTACTGGAAAAAATAATTCACGAACAAGTGTATGTTGCCCTCAAGCATGCTTTCATACCCCAGCAACATGGTTTCTTAAGAGGAAGATCTACAGCTAGCAATCTCGTGGCATTTCTGGATGACGTATCTCATGGTATGCAGTCCGGAGGCCAGATTGACACAATATATACAGATTATACCAAAGCATTTGACCGAATTGATCACGCGATCCTGCTCACTAAGCTACAGTCCGCTGGAATTCACGGGGATCTCTTTAGATGGTTTCGATCCTACATCGCGGATAGATGTCAGACTGTAGTTCTTAATGGTTTCTCTTCTAATTCACGTTTCTCCGCCATTCCATCAGGCGTTCCACAGGGTTCGATCCTTGGTCCACTGTTATTTATACTTTTTATAAATGACATTCATAAATGTTTCATTCATTCTCGGTGTCTATTATTTGCTGATGACATGAAGGTATACAAAAAAGTTAGCACTTTGAGTGACTGTATTCACTTGCAGCAGGATCTGGATAGACTGCACCGTTATTGTATCTTAAATAAACTTGATCTTAACATTTCCAAATGTAGCTGTATGACATTCACTAGATCCCGAAATGCAATATTCTACAAGTACACATTAAACGGGCAAGCGCTTCAGAGAACCGAATATATACGAGATCTTGGCGTCATTCTGGACCCTAAGCTTCTTCTTGACAGGCATATTGACTCAATAACTTCTAAAGCCACAAAAACCCTTGGATTCGTAATTAGACTCACGAAAAACTTTAAAATGGCTAAGTCACTTAAAATATTATATTGTTCACTGGTTAGAAGCCAGCTTGAATATGCATGTCAAGCATGGAATCCCCAATATGATTATTACATACAAAAAATTGAAAAAATTCAGAAAAAGTTTCTTAGATTTTTAAACTTCAAACATCGGATAATGGGCACGACTTACGAGGCTGACTGTAAGCATCATCATCTACTTCCATTAAAACTGCGAAGAGAAGTCGCTGATCTTACCTTCCTCCATAACCTAATTAATGGTAAAATAGACTGCAGTGAGCTTCTTTCGCGAATCAAGTTACAGGTGCCTACTCGTGCCAATATAATAATATATAATAATAATAAATCATTCTTTATTCAAGTTACTAGGACTCAGTTTGTTAATAACAATTGCACTTAAAAACTTGCCAATGTCAGGAGAAATTATCTTAGACTTCACGTTGATGCATGTACCACTAATTATGGACGCAATTCCTTCTTTAACAGAGTTTTCAAAACTTTTAACAGCAATTATTCTGAAAATGTTGACCTTTTTCATATTGTGAGACCAAACTACTTCAAAAATCAAAGTAATAAGGAATTCTTTGGCGACACTACTTAGCACTCTCCCGGTAAAAAGTTGAAGTATCTGTTTACTGCTTAATATTCTGCTATTTTGGTATGGCTTTAGTAGGTATTTTCTGTATTGTTTTAACTTTTTTTCATATATTGTAATTATACTGCATGCTAAATGGTTTTGTTTTGGATTGTATCTTGATATGCTATTTGTGAAAACTATGTAAGGCATTTTTGATCTTAACCGCCTCATCTATTAATAATGCATATATGCTGTTTGTTTTCCATAAAATAAATAAATAAATAGATTTGACTAACCTCCTCGGGCTCAGCAGCCGTCGGCGACTGCTGCTCCGGCTCGGCCTCGCCATCAGCCAAGGCCAATAGCCCCGCCAGCGGAGCCCTACTAGGGCGCGCTTGGCGGCGCTGCGCGGGCAGGTGCTCGCTGCGCGTCTTAAGACCAGCTCGTTGTCTGTGCACTCACTCAGCTATACTAAAACAGTGGCTGAATTTCTTCCGCCACTTCTTCTCATCACCAGTCCATAATATGTTGTCCCGAAGTGGTGGTAAGGCAAAAGCTACTTCAGGGACGTATACAAGCGCCCTGTAAAGGGCCTAGACACTGAATGATTGATGAAATGATTTGATTTGACTGACCTCCTCGGGCTCAGCAGCTGTCGGCGACTGCTGCTCCGGCTCGGCCTCGCCATCGGCCAGCGCCAGCAGTCCCGCCAGCGGAGCCCTGCTGGGCCGCGCTGGGCGGGCAGGTGCTCGCTGCGCGTCTTAGAAACAGTGTGACTGAGTTTCTTCCGCCACTTCTTCTCAGCACCAGCCCATAATATGTTGTCCCAAAGTGGTGGTAAGGCAAGCAGTTTTTGGGACGTGTACCAGCGCCTTGGAAAGGGGCTTATTACTGGGCTGTCGCGCTCGCACACTCACTGCGGCCGCCCGTCGCACAGTCGCGACAGCAATATAATTACGCGCGAGCGATAAGGATGGGTAGCTTGGGGTCATTGGATAAAATTCTACGTGCTCACGGACCAGGCTTTAGCGCACTTACCTCCACGGGCTCGGCAGTCGTCGGCGACTGCTGCTCCGGCTCGGCCTCGCCATCAGCCAAGGCCAGTAGTCCCGCCAGCGGAGCCCTACTAGGGCGCGCTTGGCGGCGCTGCGCGGGCAGGTGCTCGCTGCGCGTCTTGGAGACCAAGCTTGTTGTCTGTGCACTCACTCAGCTATACTAAAACGGTGACTGACACCCTTATTCACAAACGATGCTTGCTTAAGAGAAGCAGCAAATCGAACGCACAGCGTTAAATAGAGTTCTGTGATTGGTTCGTGTGTGACCCTGGGCGCACGACACGCACTGTGAGACCTCATAGTAATGTTTGTGAATACGGGCGTTAGTATAGCTGAGTGAGTGCACAGACAACGAGCTGGTCTCCAAGACGCGCAGCGATTGATTTGCTGCTTCACTTAGGCAAGCATCGTTTGTGAATACGGGCGTAAAACGGTGACCGAGTTTCTTCCGCCGCTTCTTCCCACCACCAGCTCATAATGTTGTCCCGAAGTGGTGGTAAGGCAAGCTATTTTTGGGACGTGTCCAAGCGCCTTGAAAAGGGGCTTATTACTAAAGCCTGGTCCGTGAGCACGTAGAATTTTGTCCAATGACCCCAAGCTACCCATCCTTATCGCTCGCGCGTAATCATATTGCTGTCGCGACTGTGCGACGGGCAACCGCAGTGAGTGTGCGAGCGCAACAGCAACATAATTACGCGCGAGCGATAAGGATGGGTAGCTTGGGGTCATTGGACAAAATTCTACGTGCTCACGGACCAGGCTTTGGCGCACTTACCTCTTCAGGCTCAGCAGCAGTCGGCGACTGCTGCTCCGGCTCGGCCTCGCCATCAGCCAAGGCCAGTAGTCCCGCCAGCGGAGCCCTATTAGGCCGGGCTTGGCGGCGCTGGGCGGGCAAGTGCTCGCTGCGCGTCTTGGAGACCAGCTCGACGTTGTTGGCGCTGAACACCTTGCACTCGTAGCCGTTTACATTCTCGGTCTTGTCTTGGCGCCAGCCCCAGATGCCGGTTTTGCTCCTGGAGGAGAAATATAATCTTTAAACAATGTCCGATATACATATTCAGGATCTTGATAATGAATGATCTATAGTCCGGTCGTCGAGTACGTAGAATTTCGTCCAATGATCCCAAGCTACCCACCACAGCGAGTGTTCGAGCGCGATAGCAATATAATTACGCGCGAGCGATAAGGATGGGTAGCTTGAGGTCATTGGACGAAATTCTACGTGCTCGGCGAACAGACTTTATCTATCTGAAATGGCGTAAGCTAATTTAATAAAGTCATCAGTCATGCAATAACCAAATTGCCATCGACACGACTTTGGCGTTAAGGGTTACTGGCATGTGACGATGTCATGTGACATAATGAAAGATACAGTTTTGGCTCGGATATCAAAGTCCACTCGGAGTACTGTACCTCTAGCATGAACAACTTTCGTCTTAGAATCGTTTGCGTATTCGACAAAATTCGATACTTTACGACACGTTCTTGTGAACGTGTCGTAAAGTATCGAATTTTGTTGTGAAAATGGGCGTTGTAGTAGTTTTCGTGCTAGCCGTACTGGTAGTCTTGACTTCAATATCAGTTCCCTGAAACGAGCTGGATAGTTCTGCAACGGTGCAGCCTGTATACTGTACTGTGGCCTTGTGGCGCCGGTAACACGGCCTACCTCCAGGCCTGTTCATCTCCGCGAGTTTACATAGAAAACAAAACACGCACGATGGCCCACCTACAGGATACTATTCGACAAGGCCTCACATACGAGCGAACATTGACTCACGCACGCGTATTCTTGTGTATGATAGAAGAAAATAAAGAAAATGGTGTACTAAATACTGTGCAGTATTTAACTGCCTAAATAATAATAAAAACACAGAATGTACTTTTTTAAGTTGCCTCAAGACACTGAGATGTAAATACATAAGTAGTTAATATTATTCATGATAATTCATGCTAAATCATGTATTTCCTCCGCCATTTTACCTCACGTCACATCATTTTACCGAAGTCAGCCCTATAGCTTCAGCGCAGTGCCGATCACTGACGTTTGTCAACAAAATGGTGCTTGACTCTTGAGACAGGCTAAATTACACCATATTGTTAATGGCATTGAGCATACATTTTTTTAAATACCTTCCCGAAGTAAAACTTCTGTACGTAGTACCACAGAATAATAATAAGTACTACGTACAGAAGTTTTACTTCGTTCGTTCTTAATTCATGATGAATTATCATGAATAATATTAACTACTTATTTACCTCTCAGTGTCTTGAGGCAACTTAAAAAAGTACATTCTGTGTTTTTATTATTATTTAGGCAGTTAAATACTGCACAGTATTTAGTACATCATTTTATTTATTTTCTTCCATCATACACAAGAATACGCGTGCGTGAGTCAATGTTCGCTCGTATGTGAGGCCTTGTCGAATAGTATCCTGTAGGTGGGCCATCGTGCGTGTTTTGTTTTCGATGTAAACTCGCGGAGATGAACAGGCCTGGTAGTACTTATTATTATTCTGTGGTACCTCTCGAAGCATATCTTGTCGGTGTCCAGGTAGTTGATGGCAACGGGCGCGGCGAGGCGTTGCTGCAGTAGACGCGGGTTAGGCGGAGGATAGTCCTGCGAGTCTATAGGTTCCACGTATTCCCGCCATGATGTGCCTGCTTCGTGGTCTAACTCTATCAGGCTGGCGCTGCGACCTAGAAAAGTAATGGATGGTCAATATTAATAAATGAAAACGCAGGACTATTGCCAAGCTGCAACTCCTGTGTAGCCAATATTTACAGCTTGACCGTCAATAACCCAACCAGTGAAGGTCAAGTTTGTCTCAGGGATAAGTTTAACTGTCATCTATACTAATATTATAAAGCTGAAGAGTTTGTTTGTTTGTTTGTTTGTTTGTTTGTTTGTTTGTTTGGTTGAACGCGCTAATCTCAGGAACTACTGGACCGATTTGAAAAATTCTTTTTGTGTTGGATAGCCCGTTAGTTCCTGAAGGCTTTAGGCTATATATCATCACGCTACGACCAATAGGAGCGGAGCACCAATGAAGAATGTTTCAAATCAGTGATTTTTTTCCTTTTGAGAGCTTACGCTGCGTAAACGGTTAAAGTTTCGCAAAAGTCATGTATGACAGGATTGTTCCCCTTTAAAAGTTCTAANGCACAGCCTAAACCGCTGATCGTAGAGACCTGAAACTTTGACGGTGTGTTCTTTGTATGACGTAAGCATCTGATAAGAAAGGATTTTCCAAAATTCTACCCCTAAGGAGGTAAAAAGGGGGGGCGAAGTTTGTATGGGATAACGAGATTCCTTCGTCCAATCTACTTCAAATTTCGCATAAGCATTCTATAACAGAATTAATGGAAGATGTGTTTCGTATTTTAGTGAAATGCACCCCCTAACTATGTTAAAAAGGGGTAGAAAGTTATTTTAGAGGTGATTTGCTTCAAAGTTGATATTATTAATTACTCATTAGTGCATTTTTTTACAATCATGTCATGTTAAAGACTATCATACTCTAGGGGCCTCCACTTAACCTCGGAGTGGGTGCCCGCTGCGTGCGCTCGCCTAACAATTATTCATAGTAATGCATGACGGTCATGCCGCGGGCACCTGCTTGCGCTGTAGGGCCTGTAGGTAGGTATACATAAACTCATTTTCGCGCGAGAGTTTTGGCGGAGGCCCTTGAGGTAGTGGGAATAGTCTTGAGGAAAAGCTTCTTCTCCCACGGCCAGTGGCATGCTAGGCTAGAAGCTTGATTCTAGATTGATTCTAGCTCCCGTAGGAAAATAAAATAAAAAGTTTACCAATAATACTGCGGTAGGTGTAGTTTTCGATTTCGTTGTAAAAAGATAATACCACCGAGTAACTTTCACCGGATAAACTTTTAAAATTATTAAAAGTGCCTACCCAAAGTCATTATTCCACGCGGACGAAGTCGCGGGCACAGCTAGTTGAATAATAAAACTAAATAATCTATAAGTAAATACTAAATAATCTTTATGTGGTAAAATGGAAAGCAGTTTTGTCAACACAAAATCATACAATGTTTAATTTTTTTATCAAGACCACAACATTAAGGGCCTGGGCTGAATCATGCGCGGGCGCACACACACGTATCTACCGCGAAAGCTTTAGCTTTATCCCTAACTAGCTGACCCGGCGAACTTTGTTCCGCCTTAATGGCAATAAATAAGCAGACTTTTTTTTAATTTCGAACGGGATAAAAAGTATCCTATGTCCTTCTCCTGGCTCTAAACTACCTCCCTGACAATTTTCAGCTAAATCGGTTCAGCCGTTCTTGAGTTATAAGCGAAGTAACTAACACGACTTTCTTTTATATATATAGATATTTCTTCCAACATTTCTGACAATTTTTACAGGAGTTTACCCTTGGCATCAATTTAAGGGCCATTGTCTGAGCTATTGTCGTACCCAGAAATGAGGAGATCCATAAACAAAATAAAGTCGCTGACATAGCCCGACGGATTAGCAAGCTGAAGTGGCAATGGGCAGGGCACATAGTACGCAGAACTGACGGCCGATGGGGCAGCAAGGTTCTGGAGTGGAGGTCACGTACCGGAAAGTGCAGCGTAGGACGGGCCTCATAAAGGTAGCAAGGAAGCCGCTGAATGCAAGCCGCTAACCGATCATTATGGAAATCATTGGGGGAGGCTTATGTACAGCAGTGGACGTACAGTACCCGGCAATAAATATTGCACATCGACCTTTGGAAAGAGACAATCGGTTAATTTCGGCTTGTAGAGCGTTATCTCTGTCGCACACTACCTATACGATTGACAAAACGTCATTGGCAAAACATTATGTAACGGCTCGTTAAATTACTCAACTTAAAACTATTACAACTTAACTTAAAACTCAAAACTACTTAAAAACTAAACAAATATAATACAAATATAACTTTTTAACTATATTTACATTGAATTTAACAACTAAAACTGTACATATTGTAAGCTTAGTCCGGCGCGAGCGCAAAGATGTTATTTAAATTATTTGGATTGCGCGCTCAGTGAACGTCAGATTATGACCTTGTGAGTGAACGCTTCCTATGCATTCAATGCACGGGAGCAACTTACGACCGGCTCGGCTCGGCGCTTTTGTCACTCGCAGTCCCTGCGAAGCTTCTAAACGCACGGACGTACACCTCGCTTAGAAAAATATTACTCGCGATCCACGAGGTCGAACTTTCTAATACTTATCGATTTATTTAAATTACTTGTTGTGCTTCCCCAGTCTCGGGTGAGTGTTGTAATTAATTTTAATACCTATCCCACCTAGTTTTAGTGCTTAACTAGTTGCCTAGTAGGTAAGTGCTTACGTAGATATAAGATTTTAGTGCTCGCATGAGTAGTGCGTATTTAATTATTTTTATTACTCCTATCAATTGGTAAACGTATGTATTGAAACGTTCTATGCAGAATCCTCTTTTATTTTACGCACATAGGCATAAGTCAAAATGGTTCCTGACATGACCTTTGACCTTCGATGGTCATCGAATTGTGCATGTCACCTTAGAAACTTTAATTAATTGTAAATTATATTGTTAACTATTACCATAGATTACTTTAATTAGTTAAGCTGATTATTAAATAACTTTAGTACTTAAAAATAGGAATATTACACAAACAAATGTGAAATATTTACTCAGTAGTTCAGTACCTACTTAGTAAATTCTTATAGTCTCAGTATTAGTGGATAAAATGAATTATTTATTTTTAAAGTTGATTTTGTTTGGCTGCCGCATCATTAATTACTATTTCTTGCACAAATCTTTCCCCTGCTTCGCTTTAAAGCTGATGTCGCAGCTAAACTATAAAATCGGACATTCAATAAAACGACCGATGACGTGGATTACAGGGCTCCTTCCTCCGTCAAGAGGTCCATTGCTGTGCGGCCATAGTCTGTCGCCTGCCCGCGACGCCGAACCTGACGTGGCAAGCGTTGCTTGTCGCTGCTGCCACTACGAGCGAACCAAGGACAGTGCGGTTGGATTTTCAGAGACTTTAGTAGTGCGTCGGTTGAGACTAATTAGGAACTCACTCCCTGAGACTTATATTAATTATTAATAAACAAATTTGGCTATTCTTTTGTTTCTCTTTTTCTTCCTCTTAAATAGATTTTGTTACCGTCATATCTAGAAGGCTGGTACAATTATTCAATGAAAATATTGTCCGAACCCTTAGTATTTCTCTTCGACAAATTCTTTAACATATTGTGAACCACTTTTCTCTCACGACTATAAAAAGTTTTTAGCAATTTAATTCACAAAATCAATTGCACACATCCCAACTAATCCCAACTAATCCCAACTAATATTATAAATGCGAAAGTAACTCTGTCTGTCTGTCTGTCTGTTACGCTTTCCCGCTTAAACCTCGCAACCGATTTTGATGAAATTTGGCATAGAGATAGTTTGAGTCCCGGGAAAGAACATAGGATAGTTTTTATCCCGGTTTTTGAAACAGGGACGCGCGCGATAAAGTTTTTCTGTGACAGACAAAATTCCACGCGGGCGAAGCCGCGGGCGGAAAGCTAGTTTAAAATAAAGTTTGTTTACACTTTGACAAAACGTCATTATGTCAGTCGTTGTTCAAGTGCGACAGAGATAACGCTCTACGAAACCGAAATTAACCGATTTCTCTTTCTTAAGGTCGATGTGCAATATTTATCGCCGGGTATTGCACAGTCGCAGAATGAAAAGGTTCGTCACCTTAGTGTCGGTTTTCGCTTGCACTAGGTACTGTAAGAGTCAAACCTGCCAACATAACAGTGCAAGAAACAGGGCTGCTAACATTTAAATAAATATGACGTTTGCTAACGAATAAGGTTTTGCTTGTTTATTTTTCTATCCCATCAGTGCAATGCAATGATGACATTGACCAATTGACAATAGTTTTTTTTTATTTAATAGAAATAATAATGGCAGGTTGAACCAACAAGAAGGTTTTAGTTTATCAATCATAATAATCTTCTTGACAAGATAAATCGTCAAACAACTTTGATCAATAATTTTGAACTTTACTGACGAACAGTTAAAGGTTATTTTCTCTAACTCGAGATTATTCTGTAACATAGTTTCAAAAGGTAATAAGTGTTCGCGATTTGTTGAAGGAATCAATTTGAAAACTGACGAACCTTTTCATTCCGTGACTGTACATGATGATGATGATGATGACGTACCTTGTCCGCGGAATATGTAAGTCCTGTCCCCGCGCTGCCAGCGGTTGTTCTCGAAGCCGACGAGTGTGGTGTCGACGCGCACGTTGCCGCCGCGTTTGTACACTTTATACGTGTCGAACGGACACATGCGCGACACTAGTGGCACTGGAAAACAATAAAATATATTATTCATTGGTGTTAAATAAATATCAATTTATAAGAAAGATCATTTATATCTTCGTAAACATTTTGTTGAAGAGTGTCTTCGTAAATGTATGCGTTTTGCTTCGTTTTCTGACATCGGTGGCGCTGTAGTCACATTACATTTTGCAAAACCAGAAGAAGGAAAGTTCCTTCTTCTGGTTTTGCAAAATGTAATGTCGTTTGTACTAAACATTAAAATAGCGTTTATTAGAAATCTAACGAGTTTTATTGAAATACTGCCTAGTTCCAATAATTGGTTGGTTTACAAAAACAAAACTTAATGTGCCTTCAAATTGGAGAGAACGCAATGGCGCTACTGCAAACGTTACTAAAAAGTCTATATGTACAGTCGACGGCACGCCAAAGTCACTAAATGAGAGAAGTGGACTGTATTACAAAGGTTTAATGTATCGTCGGTGACGTGAGGTGAAGTGGCGCGCCGCGCCTCTGTGATCCGCGCCCGAAAAGAAGGTAATATTTAAATTGATCTTCAGGACAAAGAAAACAAGAGAGAACGAGGCACACTCTGGTATTCGCGACGCAACAGCAGCTCGTCGCCTGTTGCTGTAGTTTCTAGCAGCGCTGCTGATTAAGGACATCATACCCCAGCTAGTGAACTCCCACTTCATCTCGACGTAGAAGTCGGGCACCAGGCTGAGCCGGTGCAGCAAGTCGGGGATACCGCTGGAAGTGACAGCAGCTGTTGCTGTTGCTTCTAGCATCGCTGCTAAATGACATCATACCCCAGCTAGTGAACTCCCACTTCATCTCGACGTAGAAGTCGGGCGCCAGGCTGAGTCGGTGCAGCAAGTCTGGTATGCCACTCGCGCGCACCTCGTGTCGCTGGAAGTGACAGCAGCTGTTGCTGTTGCTTTTGGCATTGCTGCTGATGAAGGACATCATACCCCAGCTGGTGAACTCCCACTTCATCTCGAAGTAGAAGTCGGGCGCCAAGCTGAGCCGGTGCAGCAAGTTCGGAATGCCGCTGGAGGTGACAGCAGCTGTTGCTGTTGCTTCTAGCACTACTGGGAACACTAATCATACCCCAGCTCGTGAACTCCCACTTCATCTCGACGTAGAAGTCGGGCGCCAGGCTGAGTCGGTGCAGCAAGTCTGGTATGCCACTCGCGCGCACCTCGTGCCGCTAGAAGTGACAGCAACAGTTGCTATTGTTTCTAGCACTACTAGGAACACTAATCATACCCCAGCTGGTGAACTCCCACTTCATCTCGACGTAGAAGTCGGGCGCAAGACTGAGCCGGTGCAGCAAGTCTGGGATGCCACTCGCGCGCACCACGTGCCTTTGGAAGTCGCGACGCGATAGCACCAGCGATAGAAGCTCGGCGTCGCCCGTCGCTGTTGCTTCTTGCACCGCTGCGAATAAAGGGCATTATTGCTAAGCAATAGGTCACCCAAAGGGCAATGGAGCATGCAATGCTCAGTTTCTCAACGTGATCGAAACAGAAATGAGGAAATTCGTAGTTGAACCAAAGTAACTGAGTATAGATCATTTCATCCACGAAGACGCGCCCTACCAATTTTTGGTCGAGGAAAGCGCGGGGTGCGGGGAGTTTGATCCGAGCAATCCGAGCGTCATTACTGTAGTGTGCGTGTGCACTCATAGATAATTTAGCGTGTACACTCAAACATTAGCGGAAGAATGGTGGGGCGAGTCTTCGTGGATAATACGATCTGTGAGCGGGACACATAGCTCGTAGAAATGATGGCCGTCGGGACAAAAAAGATCATGAGTGGCGATCGCGGAGCGTTAAGACGTAGTGAAGCCAGGCCTCCCACTCGATGGACCATCGATCTAGTGAGAGTCGCGGGAAACACGTGGACTAAAGCATTGGGCAAATTACTGCTTCTTCCTCTCGATTGGTCTGCAAACTCAAGTCTTAGGCAGCAGCCTACACTAAGCATTACAATATGGAACTTGCCTGTCCATCCATCTTTCTCGCAGTTGACATCGGCTCCCGCGTCTAGCAAAGCGCGCACCGCCTCGATGTGGTTGAGCGTCACCGCTAGAAGTAACGGAGTGCGCCCGCGAGGATCTTTCTTCTCTAGGTCCTCAGATGTGAACTGAATGGAAATGTGATAGTAAAATATGATTAACTATTTAATTGATATTGTCATACCCCACTTGAGGGTATATCTAGAAAAACCAGGCTGGTACATGTCAGGTGAGTAAGCACGCGTGATCTCCCGAAATTCCCGGATACCGACGTTACATATTATAATATTGGCGACGAGTATGGGACAGATAATGTTTAACTCTGACTGACATGAAATGATGTCCTTGACAATTTGCAATATCTTTATCTTTAGCTTTTGCCCATGGCAAAACCAGGCTATCTGACACGTCTTCATCATGCAGTTCCTCCACCTAAAGGTTGCACCCTCATTTTACTATTTATTCAAACTCAAAAACAAGTAAATGAACTTGAAAATAATATAGACTTTTTCAAGATATTTTTCAAATAACTACATAAGATTATCATACAATGGTACCTGCAGGATATTTTCTAAAATATGGTAATCTCCAAATATTTACACAACAAATCCATTTCAACACAAAAAATCTGTGCTTTTCATGGAAATCCAAGGTCACAAGATAACACTATCAGTTAGCGATTGTAACAATGTTTACATGGCGAATCAATCACTCACACGGTAAGTATTTATTATTTATTGATACTCCTAATCAGTATGCAAGGACATGTGGCATTTGTGAACAAAATTAGCACACACTTGCCTCCCATGACGTGACTCATAATATGATTAAGAATGTGAATCAGAGCTGAGCATTAAATTCAATCATGAAGAGCTATTTTTAAATATTAATAAACTGGTGTCTGTCTAAAGAATGACATAATACTAGCTTTCAGCACGCGGCTTCTCCCGCATAAAATTTTTCGGTTTTTTAATGGTGAAAGAATTTTTAAATCGGTTCAGTAGATCCCGAGATTACCCCTTACGATTTAACAAATATACAAACACACAAACTTTACCTCTTTATAATATTAGTAGACATGGTAATATGCCATCTTTTTTAATGTCTAAGTATTAAATAAAAGTTATATTATATTATGCAAATGTTTGAATAATAAATAAAGAAAAAAAATTTTGAAAAGAAATGATTCTGACTTTACATGGGAATAGTAAATGAAATTGTTTAAATAGTAAATCACCCATACTCAAGTTTGAATGGGTATCCTTCCTAATGTACTTTATTTAAATCCTACCATTGCTTTAGTCAGCAAAATTCAACAATGTGGAATAGACCATTGACCTTTTGACCCACTAGCTGGCAATGAAAAGAGATTTCTTTTATACATTTTTATTAACATGATAATGGCCAGACAGACAGAAGTTCATTGAACTGTCTACAGACATTAATATCTGTAGGGGAAATCTTCCAAAGCAAAAGTACACAAAACATTAGTCCCAGACAGAATAGGCATTACATGAGTATTATTCCAAGTCATTAGCCAGATATTTGGCAATGATACACAAACCTTATAAACACCCACTTACATAGTAAGGCTTCACACAATAATGGGATTATTTTTACTAGAATAAGTGTACTTTTACATTGATTGTTTGGCTTCATTGATTGTACAATGAGCACACAATGTTGTATAAAATAAATAAGATGTTCAAATTAGCAAGTCAAAAAATATATCTAGGTTGCCTAGCAAAGAGCGAAAACCATTAAAGAAGTAAAAATTAAAGAAAACTGAAATTAGCGTCTTATTTGGGATTTTAAGGATATTTCCAGTTCTCCACATGTAAAAAGCAGTAGGTCATAGGCCATAGTTACTCAGTTTCAAAGATTGGTATGGTGTTGAAAAAAAAAACTAAGCCATTTCTGTACTCCGTTGTCAAAATTTATATTGAAGAGAAAAACTGGTCTGTAGCCTAGGGTATAACAGTCTGCATAAAAAATGTTGTATATAAACCACACACACTACAAGAGCAAATCAAAAACTAAGACCAAAAGAACAGCAACAAAAAGTTGATTGAAACTATAATATTTTATTCCGTTTTCCCATATCATATTCATTTTATTCAGACTGAGCAATGGTTAAAACTTATATTGATGTTTTTTACTGATTACTAACAAGTTAAGCCCCTGTAATTTGTCTTCTAAATTTACATGAAACCAACTGCACAAAACTAAGCAAAACCAAGTGTCTCTGACAAGACTTAAAATGTAATTCCTATACTAGCACAGAGCTAAATTGGATTTCTTGGATTCATAAAGCCCTGAGAATATTCATACCTTCTTGGACTCCAAAGCTTCTTTCAGTTCTTCATGCTGGTTGTTCCAAACGAGCCAGTGAATAGGAAAGCGCTCAGCCACCTCGTCTGCGGTTATCGCCATCGCATCAAATTATCATCAGTTAGCACAACAAGAAGTAGATATTATTTAATTATTCGAAACTCCTATCACACTTTTCATTAGAACTAAAAGTATTAACTTAATTTAATGCAATTTATTTTAAAAAATATCGTAAAATTCTACTCAATTTTCCGCTCTCTTCCGAAAACTCGAAAACTGACAGTTTCTTTTTTTTAATCTAGTTGGTTGATAGAGACATCCATTAGTTCAATTGTTAAACACTTGTTGGATTTATTGGAATTGATATGTTGACTATCGATTGCTGAGTACAGTGAATGATACAATGACATGAATGTGGGCCTTGCTTGCATGAAGAAGAAAAAAAATATCACTGTCAATTTTCTTTGTTGACATTTATTTTGACATTTGGCGTATTCAACAAAAACATTTGGAATTTCAGGAAAAACACCAGTTTTTACGTAATGGATCACTCAATTTATTAATTACCAAAAAGAAAATGAAACCGTGTATTAATCAATTTGTTTATTTGCAATGTAGAAACCCAGTTAAATTATATTACAACTTAATAACAGTAAGAACATTGATCGCCAAATCAAACGAGAAGAAACTCCAAGTAAGTTTACAGAAAGCTAATCTTTAAAGATCTTAGCTGAATTAACAGTTGACATGATGTCTTGAGTTGTTCGTATAGGTACATCCCACATTTCTGTACAATTGATATAACATACAACTTTAAACTTCGAACATTACAGGAATGCTATCAACTATTGAACATACCGGTGGATTCCAAGCAAGATGCAGTCCGCGAAGCTTTTCTGCAGCTGGCAAAGAAGTACCACCCGGATTCCGGATCACCAGAGGCAGATATGGACAAATTTGTTGCAGTAGAAAATGCCTTCCGAGTTCTAACCAAACACAACACTGGAGCATCAAATAACAAAGAAATCGAAAAGATTGTGTATGATATCCGGGTATGTAATTTTTGGCTCCTCACAAGAAGGATGAGGCTACATGTTTCGTATTTTTTGTAGAAAAAGATATAAAGAAATTAAGTGTTCCTATAAAGTTTCGACTTATGGTTATGTACAGTTTCGGAGAAAAAAAGTCGCAAAAGTTATGAATTTTACACATTACAAGGTTAGTCATTATGTTGATAAAGTAAAAAAAATAAGAGTTGGGTAGTTTTTACAAACTAGCAAGGACTTTTAGCTTTGAAGTAACCCATATAATAATGTAAATAAATTGGTTACAGCATACAGCTCCTCAACATCGACAATATTTGAGCTATGAAGGTATTGGCCACGGCACTCCATCCCAGCGGCAGAAACAGTGGGCCCAAGCGAAAGCCCAGAGAGCCGCAAACAATGTAATGGAACACCGCATAGCAAAAGCTGTTGCTTCTGACAACACACTCATGAAAAAAGGACAGCAAAACTATGGAAAGAAACATGACATCAAAACTAAGTATGGGTTTGACAGACTTGTTGAAGATCTCATACAAGAATCTATGTCAAAAGGTGAATTTGAAAACTTGAGTGGAAAAGGGAAGCCATTGAAGGACCAAAACAGAAATCCCTATGTAGACTTTACTACACATAAGTTAAATGAGGTTTGTATTATAATGTACCTACCTAAGTAAATAAAGTGTCTTGATTCATACCATTAATCAATCCTAACCATTTCCAGTCAATCTGGGTACCTCTGAAAGCCAAAGTAAGCCAGATTGATAATTTAAAATTGAATAAATATATTATTAAATGAAATATAATTAAATAACATAATTAATAATTGTTACTACTGATCTAAAATTGTAACTTCTTTTTTATTTTGTAAAATGTATACTTAATGCTTGCTATGCCCTTGCAGGGTGCATGTGATGCGCTGCCCTACCATTCACCAACTATCAAACCACATGTAATGCAATGCAATAAATGATTTGATTTGATTTGATTTGATTTGACTAAAAATTGTTAATGATTAAAAATATGTTTTAATATTTTAAAATTAAACTTTCAGGTGCTTATAAACAATGGCTTCACACCTGAATGGATAACAATGAGCAAAGAAATTGATCAAGATATTGAATTCTTAAAGAGAGACATCAAGAATGACAGAATGGTATTAGGGCCATTCCCCCTCAGTGAGGTAGATGAGCCAAAGTGGCACAGGATTTGTGATGACTACAGAGAATTTGTCAAGACATTAAATAGCAAAATTAATAAGTACAACTTAATAGTACCTTTAATAAACAGGCAGAAGTTTTATGTAGAAATAGACAAAATACTTGATGATATTTTGAAGAATGGACCACATTCAATGAAACCAGTAGAAGCAGAGAATAAAGTGGAATACAAGACAGTAATAGTGGAAAGTGAGGATTTGTTTGGCATACTCCTGAAAGCCTTTGAAGATGTATTCACTATAGGGAAAGATAAGAAAAGCAGCCAAGATAAGGAAAAGTTAAGAAAAGAGCAGTCTTGAAATATGAAAGTTTTTTTGTAATAAGTACTGATTGTACAATCAGGTGGAAATATATTTTCTTGAAAATGGCACCTGATATTTTAAAACGAAAGTGTTAATAGGTAGTAAGCTATAGCTAGACAATTTTACAGTGATCCTATTTTCTGTGATAATCTATAGATTGATGGAGATTTTCGATATTTACAACAAAAATAAAACACCAAAGAACATATAAAACTTTTATTTTTCCTTATATAAAATGATTAACAATAGTAATTTTAGTAAAATTTATGACTATATCTGATGACAACTAAAATATCTAACAAACAACAATCATGATTTTAAAATAAAACTTATTTTATTTGTTACATAGATTTGCACATAAAATGTTATCAATTACACTGATTTTTATCAGCTATCAACTAAATATTCCATAACATTTAAATCATAGCTGTAAACAAAATACTTAAAGTAATATTACATGATAAATATGTACAAATAATTTCATTCGAGACTTCTTACAAAAATGGTGATGTAGGAACAAGATCTATATTTTATTCGAGACTTGGTTACATGAAAACACATTTATTTTTGAGTATGTGTTTTATGGCACGATCAAACTGGAATGATTCTGGTTAGGATTGGATGTTGAATTGTAGGAATGTACAGTCGCAGAATGAAAAGGTTCGTCACCTTAGTGTCGGTTTTCGCTTGCACTAGATACTGTAAGAGTCAAACCTACCAACATTACAGTGCAAGAAACAGTGCTGCTAACATTTAAATAAATATGACGTTTGCTAACGAATAAGGTTTTGCTTGTTTATTTTTCTATCCCATCAGTGCAATGTTACAAAATGTAGTTTTTTTTATAGAAATAATAATGGCAGGTTGAACCAACAAGAAGGTTTTAGTTTATCAATCATAATAATCTTCTTGACAAGATAAATCGTCAAACAACTTCGATCTGAATAATTTTGAACTTTACTGAGCAACAGTTAAAGATTATTTTCTCTAACTCGAGATTATTTTGTAACATAGTTTCAAAAGGTAATATGTGCTTGCGATTCGTTGAAGGAATCAATTTGAAAACTGACGAACCTTTTCATTCCGTGACTGTACATAATAACTGTACCTACTTTTGTAAATGCACTTTGCCTGTACTATACACGTGATACGTGGTATAACGAGTGTAGTGACGTCACAGGAGGCGTCTAGGAGTGACATGGCAAATAAAGGGTGGCGCCTGTAAGTGATGTGGTGGATAGCGAAAGGTATTAGCGTGGCGCACAGAAGTATGGCAGGTATTTCGGCCCCTAGGATTATCGCCACTGTATTTACGAGTGCCAAGCGACAGTCCCGCGCTACGTCAACCGCACGCGGCCTGTAGCCAGGAGACACAACACTCGAGGGAAAGCGCGATGTTCGGCGAGGCGTGACGTCACAGTTAGTAGTGTAGTTTCTAGGCGTGACAGCAGTTGGGGATGGAGTTTAGAGAATGAAGTTACAGTTAGGGGATGGTGTTTGTGAGACGTGTCGCCTATAAGGAATGTCGTGGCAGCTAAAGCCTGGTCCGTGAGCAGTGCCGTAACTAGCCTTTTATGCGCCCGGTGCGAGAAATATAAAAAAAAGTAACCTTCTACGGGGGGGGGTGCAGAGCGTGCATGAAACAAAACTAGATACTGGTCTGGTCATTTCTACGCCCCTCCAGGGTCTGCGCCCTGTGCCTGGGCACCGCTGGCACCGCCCTAGTTACGGCACTGTCCGTGAGCACGTAGAATTTTGTCCAATGATCCCAAGCTACCCATCCTTATCGCTCGCGCGTAATTATATTGCTGTCGCGACTGTGCGACGCGCGCCCGTGGTGAGTGTGCGAGCGCGACAGCAACATAATTACGCGCGAGCGATAAGGATGGGTAGCTAGGGGTCATTGGACAAAATTCTACGTGCTCACGGACCAGGCTTTAGTGGCTGGTGTTTAGGGATGTCGCGATGTCGTGGCTAGTTTGGGTGTTTACGAGTGCCAAGCGACAGTCCCGCGTTGCGTCAACCGCACGCGGCCTGTAGCCAGCAGACGCAATGCTCGAGGGAAAGCGCGATGCTCGGCGAGGTGGATACGAGCAGCGAGAGTGTCAGCATCATCGTCGCGAAGAACCGGCACGCGTTCTTGTGTTATGATTGGGCCTGTGTCCATGCCCTCCTGGGGATACAAACTTGATTAGTTCATCCGTAGGAGCTGCGATACCATAAGATTTTTAAATCTAAGAGAGATTCCACACGGGCGCTGACGTCACCGTAGCGGCGTGACAAAACAAGAAAAACATGTTTGCCTCTGGTGGGAATTGAATCCGCAATCTTTTCTTTGATGACTACTCTGACCAGAGATCAAAGGAAGCGCAGGAAGAAGAATTCTTCCCCTCCTGTAAATACAAGTTTCTAAGCGCGAGAGACCCTGCCAAAAACACAGTTCTGCCCCCTTCCCCTCTAAAGTTGGCATAGACTACCCACGTCCCTTTTTAAGTTGAACACGCCCATAAAGACTACTCACACCCCTTTTAAAGTTGGATACGCCCATGACAGTGGGCAGGGCACATAGCTCGTAGAGCTGACGGCCGCTGGAGCAGGAAAGTTCTTGAGTGGCGACCACGAGCCGGAAGACGTACGTAGCGTGGGCAGGTCTCCCATTAGGTGGACCGACGATCTGGTGAAGGTCGCGGGAGGCGCCTGGATGCGAGCGGCGCAGGACCGGTCTTTGTGGAAATCCTTGGGGGAGGCCTTCGTCCAGCAGTGGACGTCTTTCGGCTGAAACGAACGAACGGACATCCATGGGCATAGACTACTTACGTCCACAAAGTGCACAGTGCAACCAGTCTCGCGGTCGCCGGCGTCCAGACACTGTTGTTGAGCGTGCAGCCCTGGATGGCGCGGCAGCAGCGATGGATGGATGTTGATGAGGCGTCCCTTCCATCTGGAAACATATATTTACATACACAGGGTGGTCAGACACATGAAGGTAAGACCAGAGGCGGAATTGTGTAAAGTAATCGTAATCATTTGACAGTTCATAACGTACGATTATTCTGTCACATGCTTTATTTAACTGACTTTATCGTACGTTATGAACTGTCAAATGATTACGATTGCTTTACACAATTCCACCTCAGGTCTGTTCATCTCCGCGAGGTTACATCGAAAACAAAACACGCACGATGGCCCACCTACAGGATACTATTCGACAAGGCCTCACATACGAGCGAACATTGACACACGCACGCGTATTCTTGTGTATGATGGAAGAAAATAAAGAAAATGGTGTATTTAACTGTGCAGTATTTAACTGCCTAAATAATAATAAAAACACAGAATGTACTTTTTAAAGTTGCCTCAAGATACTGAGAGGTAAATAAGTAGTTAATAGGTATTATTCATGATAACTCATGCTAAATCATGTATTTCCTCCGCCATTTTCCGCAGTTTGGCACCTCAAGTCACATCATTTTACCGAAGTCAGCCCTATAGCTTCGGCGCAGTGCCGATCACTGACGTTTGTCAACAAAATGGTGCTTGACTCTTGAGACAGGCTAAATTACACCATATTGTTAATGACATTGAGCATACATTTTTTTAAATACCTTCGCGAAGTTAAACTTCTGTACATATTATTATTCTGTGGTAAGACATTATATGCAGATGTAATATGCCATGTAATATGTGCCATTTCGCTCCAAAAAGACACTGATTTGCTGTCGACTGTACAAGAAAGCAAACTTGACCTTCATTGGTTGGGTTTTTAAAGCGGTCAAGCTGTAGATCCTGGCTACACAGGAGTTGCAATGGTGGGAACGACAGGTGGGAATAGTTCCGTTTTGTATAAGAAAGCACCGATAAAATTTTAGAGCATCTATCATACAAAGAATATAGCATCAAAGAATGTAAAGATAATAAGATGTCGTAAGTGACGACTGAGAGGAAAATATCAGCCTTCTCCAAGAAATCTCCCGGACTAAAATGTGCGTCGTGATTAGAGATGTGCCGCTGAGAAAGTTCTCGTTCCCGGCAATATTCCCAGTGAGAATATTCTCGAGAACCGAGAACGCTCCCGGGAATATTCTCAGTGTTCTCGATAGAATACATTTAGTTTAAGTTTTAATTTTATTGTTTATGTGATATTATTTGTAATGTTTCGAAACTGGGCGTTAAGGCTAGTCGTTATAAACAAGGCATGACACGTGTGAGTGAGATATTGCTGTCTTGCTCACTCTTTTCGTGGCGAACGCGTACCGCGGCTTTAGGACTCGCCTACGGTATTTGAACATCAGTGTGCCTCTGAGTTTTAAGGCCCTTGCCACCCTAGCGGATTGCAAGCGGATTCAAAGCGGATTTAAAGCGGAGCGGCAACGCGACGGAGACGCCGCGTGAAAATATCGTGAAGCTTCCCGAAGGCTGCCCAGCCGAGCTGGGCCGAGATGATTGACCTTTTTTCGAAGTTGAACCTACCTAACTGGACTGTTTGTCCCAGGTATGCATTATTGTCAACAACTTCGAGTGTAGAGTCTCCAGCTTTTAGAGGAGTGGGTGCAACACGGTCGTAAGACATGATTTTTAAATCTTGTCCATGTTCATTTTGAGACCCACTCGTTGCTCTCAATGGCCTCGATAGAGTCTCTACTCTATTGAGGCCATCGAACATTGTGCCTAGATCGTCCACGATCTCGGCCATGACTACGATATCGTCTGTTGTCTGAGTGATGTGCTCGCCGTTGATATTTATGCTGAATCCGCTCTAGCCCAGAAGCTTAAAAACATCTTCCAGGGCGATGGTGATGACGTCTCCCTGTCTCACCCCTCGCTGCAACTGGATAGGTTTCGGGTCCTGGTCTTGAAACCGACTGTCACTGTGGACAAATACGCCACAGTGACAGTCCAAGCCTTTCAACACTTTAATGTATCGATAGTCAATTTGACACAGTTGGAGAGACTGCAGCACTGCCCATGTCTCAATCGAATCGAAGGCTTTTTCATAATTATACTCCTTGCTTGCAAAGCGGCTGATTATACTCCTTGATCTTCCATAATAATCTGCCGTAGCGTATATTATTATGGTCTATCTATGGTACTAAAGCCTTTTCGGAAACCGGCTTGTTCGGGGGGCTGAAAGTCGTCGAGCCTGCTAACGTGACAATTCGTAATGACTATAGAAAACAGCTTGTAGACATGGCTCAGAAGCGAAATGGGTCTATAATTCTTCAACAAGTTCTTGTCGCCTTTTTTGAAGATGAGTATCATTATACTTCTTTGCCATGCCGTAGGCGTTATTCCCTCGAAGATGACGAAATCGAGCAGCTTCTGAAAAGCCTTTAGTGCCGGCATTCCGCCTGCTTTCAGAAGCTCAGCCGTGATTACGGTGCCTTGCTGTTTTTCAGCTGTTTGAAAACCATTCTAATCTCGTACAGACTAATGTCCGGGATATATTCGGTAAGTGTCGGATCAATCAAGCTAGCACGTATATTCTATAAAAATGTGTCAAATGATCCGTCAGATAAGCTATCCACAACTTATCCAGAAGTGGCGAAACAGGCCCTTACTAAGAGATTGTGAAATATGGTCCTTAATTTCAAATAACAATAGTTTAAAAAACTAAAAACACGCTTTTAATTACTAACAGCACTAAAAGGCCAAAAATCATCAGGACCCTGGACATCATCTAGCATTAAAGTGCTCAAAAAGACAAATCCAACGAACCCAACTCGATGAGTTTCCACCGTTTCGTTTAGGAGTTCCTATGGCCACCTCCTGACTCCATCATTAGGACCCTGGACATTATCTAGCACTTAAAGATCTCGAAAAGACAAATCCAATGATCCCAAACTCGATGTGATTCCGCCGTTTCGTTTAGAAATTCCTTTGGCCACCTTCCAGTCCCATCATCAGACCAGCTGGTACCACAATATTGTATTGTCATTTAATCTACATTATAATTGCCAAGTTTCATGATGATACAAGACTTAGAAGTATGTGTAATTCAGATTCTAAAATTCCATTACATAGTTAGTTACATACACGACGACCTAATAAAAGCGTGTTAAAAAGGAAAAAATGGACAGTTACATTATTTAATTACGTGTAAAAAGAAATTGCTGTCATCTTACATATCATTAAAACGACATTTCACGACGAAAAAATTAAAATATAATAAAGGTGCAGTTGCCGATAATATTGCCGGGAAAGTTCCCGAGAATATTCTCGGGAACACTGGGAATATAGCCTTTCACTGCAAATAGAGTGTATTGTTTAATATACACTTATCTGTCGACTGCATTTAATACTAATTTACTTAAGAAAGTTTGTTTATTTCCATTTGATAAACATGATTCTCAACCTTTCTCACTTAGGAGAACGCTCCCGGGAGCGCTCCCGAGAATATTCTCAGTTGGGAGAGCGTTCTCGGGAACGGCACATCAATAGTCGTGATCTTATCGATGCTTTTAGACGACAAATGTATGGGCTTATAACGTAAAGTCGATAAAAGTTTATCATGGTGCGCATCCTAGACCCGGGTCGGTTTAGGGAGTGTATTGCAAATCCTCCATTTGCCTTATGTAAATGAAACTATTTTCAACACTACTGTGTAGGCAGTAAGACTCACTTCTGCACGACTCACGTCCGCGGAAAGGATCCTCATTGTCAATCTTGTGACTCCAGCGCAGCCGACACGGTGCGGTCGCACTCCTGGCAATATCGACCCTATGTGAAGGCAGTAAGACTCACTTCTGCACGAACTCCGCGGACAGGATCCTCATGTAGCCGGCCAGGCACACGATGTCGGTCTTATGGCTGTCCAGCGCGGCCTCCTGGCAATATCGACCCTATGTGAAGGCAGTAAGACTCACTTCTGCACGAACTCGGCGGACAGGATCCTCATGTAGCCGGCCAGGCACACGATGTCGGTCTTATGGCTGTCCAGCGCGGCCTCCTGGCAATATCGACCCTATGTGAAGGCAGTAAGACTCACTTCTGCACGAACTCGGCGGACAGGATCCTCATGTAGCCGGCCAGGCACACGATGTCGGTCTTATGGCTGTCCAGCGCGGCCTCCTGGCAATATCGACCCTATGTGAAGGCAGTAAGACTCACTTCTGCACGAACTCGGCGGACAGGATCCTCATGTAGCCGGCCAGGCACACGATGTCGGTCTTATGGCTGTCCAGCGCGGCCTCCTGGCAATATCGACCCTATGTGAAGGCAGTAAGACTCACTTCTGCACGAACTCGGCGGACAGGATCCTCATGTAGCCGGCCAGGCACACGATGTCGGTCTTATGGCTGTCCAGCGCGGCCTCCTGGCAATATCGACCCTATGTGAAGGCAGTAAGACTCACTTCTGCACGAACTCGGCGGACAGGATCCTCATGTAGCCGGCCAGGCACACGATGTCGGTCTTATGGCTGTCCAGCGCGGCCTCCTGGCAATATCGACCCTATGTGAAGGCAGTAAGACTCACTTCTGCACGAACTCGGCGGACAGGATCCTCATGTAGCCGGCCAGGCACACGATGTCGGTCTTATGGCTGTCCAGCGCGGCCTCCTGGCAATATCGACCCTATGTGAAGGCAGTAAGACTCACTTCTGCACGAACTCGGCGGACAGGATCCTCATATAACCGGCCAGGCACACGATGTCGATCTTGTGGCTCTCCAGTGCTGCCGACACGGCGCGGTCGAATTCCTCGCGAGATGCGTATTCTTTGTGGTTGAACACCTGAAAAAATAAAGATAGTTTATATTATGCTGTTCGTGACGTTTGACGTAGTGGCAGTTCCTGAGCACTGCGCCGCACTTAAAGCCTTTTATTGGCAATTCATAGTGCTAACTCAATGTCGAGTATCGTTCGCTCACTACGCCACTTACCGTATTGCACAGAATGAGTTCTTCTTTGCCTGGCCCATTCTTATTTTATTTGGGGTCGGCCCTCCTTATCATGCACATTGAAATTCCGCAATCTGCGTACATTATGCGCTATATGGGGTATATGAGTCCAATGTGTCCTATTCCTCATCTCTTTATAAGGAAAGACTTATATTATGCACTGGCTGGGGTTGTGCTGCACTGTCTCGCCGCTCGCCACCGTCCCAGTGACGTCACTCACCAGCACGGAAGTCCAATGTGTTCTGTTCCTCATCTCTTTATGTGGAAAGACTAAGAGTGCTTTCACATTAGGGCGTTAAAAACGCGACAGCAGCGCGGCATCAGCGCTTTTATAATGTGAAGGCATGCATCCGCTGTCACATAGTATGAAATTTTCGGCAGCGCGTCTGTCGCGCGTTTGTCGCGCTGCTAAATCGCCTAAAGGTAGCATTCGGATCAAGACGACAGCGACGCGAGACCGCGACCGGCGACCGCGACCCACTGCTTTATATGAATTAATAGGAAGTGCTGACGGATGCAAGCAACCGAGTCGCGCGACTCGGTCGCTCACAAGGCAGAGCCGTGACGCGACAGATGCAAAATATGGCCGTGTTTTCTTCGCACGAAATGAGTCGCACTGAGTTTCGTATGGGTCGCACGACTCGTGTCGCGAAGATTCGTAAGTAGCTGTCGCCCTGCGACCGGTTGCCTGTCGCGGTCTCGGGTCGTGGTCTCTCGTCGCGGTCGTCTTGATCCGAATGCTATCTTAATGTGAAAGCGCTCTTATTTTATGTGCTGGCCGGGGTCGCCTGTGTCTCGCCGTCGCGTGACGTCACTCACCAGCGCGGGTATCCCGGCGGCCTCGGCCCGCTCGAGCGCGCGCACGCCGGGCCGGTTGCTGACCACCAGCGTGACGTCACTCACATGCACTGGCCGGGGTCGCCTGTGTCTCGCCGTCGCGTGACGCCACTCACCAGCGCGGGTATCCCGGCGGCCTCGGCCCGCTCGAGCGCGCGCACGCCGGGCCGGTTGCTGACCACCAGCGTGACGTCAGCGCACATGCACTGGCTCGGGTCGCGGGTCGTCTCGATTAGTGCTTGGAGGTTGCTGCCGTTGCCTGATACTAGCACCGCCACCTGGAGGGAAAGAAAGAATGAAACTTTTAGTCATTGATAAGTTATTTCGGCAGAGTAATTAGGACCGTTCTCACTCTTCTTCTATATGTCGTACAAGCTTTTGCCCGCGGCTTCACCCGCGTGAAATTTAGTGTCACAGATCGGCATAAATTATAGCCTATAGGTATGTTAATCTGGGTTACAAACAATAATACTGTAAAGTTTTAACAAAATCCGTTCAGTAGTTTTTGCGTGAAAGAGTAACAAACATCCAGACATCATAACATCCAAACTTTCGCATTTATAATATTAGTAGGAAGAAACAGCTAAGGGAGAACATCAATCAGGCCCTCTGACTCATCTGGCTAGTGCGTTTTGGAGAAGTCAAATCCATAATCAATTATAAATTACAAATAAAACTTATGGCTATAGAGGTAGGAAGGCAGACAACTTATCAATCCCACCTCAAAGATTGACACTGTATTCCAAAAACTGTTATTGTATGGCTATACGAATATTTAATAAATTACCAAACAATGTAAAAATGTTAACCTTTACCAAATTTAAAAGTGCAGTTTTTGACTTTTTGTTAATTAAAATGTAATATACAGTGAATGACTTTTTAAATGATAGAATGATGTGACATCGGTAATGTAACTTAATTTGACATCTTACAATTAATTTAAATTTCTTTGACATTTGCAATTCAAATTTTGTTCCCTGACATGTATTTATTGTATTATTACTTGTTACTATCATGGTAATGAAAAACAACTATGAGTAAAATAAGTATTTTGAGTTGTAAAAATATGTAAAATCTAAGACCAAATGTAGCAATAACAATTAACATAACTTTAAGAACAAAAACTTTTGCACGTCGCATGCGACAGAATATGCTGGAATTAACTAAATTAACACCAATCTAACCATGTTCTTGCAAATAAATGATTGATTTTATTATTATACTAGCTTTCCGCCCGCGGCTTCGCCCGCGTGGAATTTTGTCTGTCACAGAAAAACTTTATCGCGCGCGTCCCTGTTTCAAAAACCGGGATAAAAACTATCCTATGTTCTTTCCCGGGACTCAAACTATCTCTATGCCAAATTTCATCAAAATCGGTTGCGAGGTTTAAGCGGGAAAGCGTAACAGACAGACAGACAGACAGACAGACAGACAGAGTTACTTTCGCATTTATAATATTAGTTGGGATAAAAAAGGTCGTGGTCCTGCAGTAGTGACCTGATGATGATTGCATAATGTGAAGGGAAGGGCAGCGCCCCTGAACATTTTTATCTCCAACATGTTTCGTTCATAAGTGGCTAAGGTAGGGAACCCTGTTTGAATATAAATTAGTTTTGTCTTCTCGCTGGATAGACGCCATCACAAAGGCCACTGAAGCCACCATGTTCCAGTGTACTCGCGACGCCTCTAACCGTCAGAAATGGAAGCACATCGCCGGGAGAGCTACCCTCGGAGATGACATCACCCCACCATGTACCTTGTCAGCGCAACCACGACCACTCTGACAAGAATGCCCGACTAAGAAGAGAGTTTTCCCCCGCCTGGAACAGACTACCCCCGATCCCTGAGGGGCCGTTCAAGTATTACGTAAGCAGATTTCTTACCATTTTTTACCCCCCCGCCCCCCTGATCATCAAAAGTAAGCAAAGCACTTACCCCCTCCCCCTATGCTTACGTAAACATTTTGTTATAAATGTTTTTTATATTGTCATTTTTAAAATAGGAAAATTCATGAAAATATTTGGTTTAACTGATACACATAGAGTAAGGGACAAAAAAATATAATCAGAAAAAAAGAACATAACAAACATAACTGCATTACGGGAATCCCCGAAAAAACGTAAATAACTAACGATGACGTAATCATCATCTAGACCCCCCTACCCCCCCATGTCATCAAAATAAGCAAAACAGAGAATTGGTGCTTACGTAATACTTGAACGGCCCCTGAAACAAATGCTGGGTGCACCTATGTATGTGTGGACTTACCTTCTTGCTAGGCAGCAGCGGCATGCGGCGCGTGAAGTCCAATAACGAAGCGAAGTTGTCGATGATGTTCCCTCTAATCGATTAGCGATCGTTCTACTAGAGTGGGGACTAATGACGTCATGATGACTTATGACCTATAATAGATGTCTTACCTTCCTGCTAGGCAGCAGCGGCATGCGGCGCGTGAAGTCCAAAGACGAGGCGAAGTTGTCGATGACGTTGCTTCTAATCGATTAGCGATCGTTCTCCTACAGTGGGGACTAATGACGTCATGATGACCTATGACCTACAATAGATGTCTCACCTTCCTGCTAGGCAGCAGCGGCATGCGGCGCGTGAAGTCGAGCGAGGACGCAAAGTTGTCGATGACGACGCGAGCGCCGCCTGGTGGCCGAGCCTGGATACTGCCGATCACCATCGCGCCGTACGAACNACCCCCTCCCCCTATGCTTACGTAAACATTTTGTTATAAATGTTTTTTATATTGTCATTTTTAAAATAGGAAAATTCATGAAAATATTTGGTTTAACTGATACACATAGAGTAAGGGACAAAAAAATATAATCAGAAAAAAAGAACATAACAAACATAACTGCATTACGGGAATCCCCGAAAAAACGTAAATAACTAACGATGACGTAATCATCATCTAGACCCCCCTACCCCCCCATGTCATCAAAATAAGCAAAACAGAGAATTGGTGCTTACGTAATACTTGAACGGCCCCTGAAACAAATGCTGGGTGCACCTATGTATGTGTGGACTTACCTTCTTGCTAGGCAGCAGCGGCATGCGGCGCGTGAAGTCCAATAACGAAGCGAAGTTGTCGATGATGTTCCCTCTAATCGATTAGCGATCGTTCTACTAGAGTGGGGACTAATGACGTCATGATGACTTATGACCTATAATAGATGTCTTACCTTCCTGCTAGGCAGCAGCGGCATGCGGCGCGTGAAGTCCAAAGACGAGGCGAAGTTGTCGATGACGTTGCTTCTAATCGATTAGCGATCGTTCTCCTACAGTGGGGACTAATGACGTCATGATGACCTATGACCTACAATAGATGTCTCACCTTCCTGCTAGGCAGCAGCGGCATGCGGCGCGTGAAGTCGAGCGAGGACGCAAAGTTGTCGATGACGACGCGAGCGCCGCCTGGTGGCCGAGCCTGGATACTGCCGATCACCATCGCGCCGTACGAACGGGTTGTGTTCATCACCTGGAAACATCACAATGGTTGAAGACTCAAACAAACGTAACGTAACTGAGATAAGTGACAAGTGTGTGTGATGTAACGATATGTTACACATGACTAGGGTGCGCGCCGTGATAACGTTATCGACGTCAAAATGTATGGGCAAAATCGATAAAATGGAGTGATAATCGCTTATCGCGGCGCGCATCCTAAGCCTATCACCTCTCACATCTTGTTATTTAGTTGATGACGTTGAACATGTCTTTTCGCTACTATGGAGAAACTTCTCCACCAAAGTCACGTACGTGAAGCACATTTTAAATCATCCTAACGTTTTGACGCACGCACCAAAGAAACCACTCCGATATAATTATGCACTGTCTTTTGTTAACTATTAAAGAATTTAAAATGTATTTTGTTGTATGTCGTGTGAAGTCAAAAGTAGGCCTCTAATTGACTTATTACGCTGAGCATTGTTTATTACGCTTGAGCTTAAATTAATTAAGCATATCATACGAGTATGTCCACTGCATTGAATCGTATACACACTGCATGTGACTTTATTAGTCTACACAAATAGTGATGTAAAAGTGCTTTTCAAAAGCCTACTTGCAAAAATAAAATGAGTTTTAATAAATAAGCTAAAACAAACCTCAGCCTGGTCTTCTGGCGACACGATGAGCACCATACCAATGCCGCAGTTGAAGGTACGCAGCATCTCGTCGTCCGACACCGCGGCCGCGTCTGCGATCCACGCGAACACCTGTTAATGCGAATAACATTAGTCGACTTTATTTGACACTAGCGGCCGCCCGCGACTTCGTACGCGTGGATCCCGTTTTAGCCCGTTAGACGTGGAGTTTCGTAAAATCCTTTCTTAGCGGATGCCTACGTCATAACATCTACTTGCATGCCAAATTTCAGCCCGATCCGTTCAGTGGTTTGGGCTGTGCGTTGATAGATTAGTTTAGTTTAGTTTCACCTTTGAGTTATACAGGGTGTTAGGTAAATGGGTATATGAGCCGACACTAGCCCATGTTAACATGGGTATATAAATGGTATGGCGAAGTCAGAAATTCGATATCATATTTTTGTTTTTTTTTTAATTTTCATACAAAATAAATTTTATAAAATCCGATCTGTATGAAAATTAAAATAATTAAAATGAAGATATCAATTTTCTGACTTCACCATACCATTTATATGCCTATGTTAACATGGGCTAATGTCGGCTCATATACCCATTTACCTAACACCCTGTACAAATTTAGATTAAAAGGCACGAATTCTCTCAAAAACTCTTTATTATAAAACTTGTTTGTTTCAGCCAATGACATCCAGTGCTGGACAAAGGTTTTCCACACGCGCGGATTTCCACAACGATCGTCCTTGCGTTGCCTGCATCCAGGATTTTCTGTGATCTTCACCAGATCGTTAATTCACCGAGATGGAGGTCAACGTGTGGCGCCAAGCGTTGACTTGAATATTGACTAACAGGGGGAGAATGGGGTGAGGTTAGTCACAGGTTTTATTCTGAAGAGTTAGTACGTGATGCTATTCACAGTTTTATTCTAGTCAACTTAGTTTTTGTATTAGAAGTGTTTGGATACTGATCGACGAGCGTAAGAGTGTGGTTAGTCACAGTTTTTTTCTAAATCTGAGTCTTTGTGTAAGAAGTATTGAGATATTGACTGAAAGTGTAAAGGGGGCGATTCTAGTTAGTCTTTATTTTGAACAGCTTGCATATCGTTTTCTGTCAGTATTTATTGCATATTGACAAGTGGGAGGGACTTTTACAAGACTATTTATTTCCACCTCTCGTTCCCACCGCTGCAACCCCTGTGTAGCCAGGATCTACAGCTTGACCGCCAATAAAACCCAAACAGTGAAGGTCAAGTTTGTCCCGGGGGAAAGTTAAACTGTCATTGGACCCGCAACGAAATTAATCAGAAGAAGAAGAAGAAGTTCGAAGTTAAGGTTCGACTTCCCTCCATTGCAAAGCGGATGACAGGTGACAAACAAAGGTTAGGTTAGGGCTAACCAAAGTAACCGACATAGCTCGCAGAATTGCTAAAATTAAGTGGCAGTGGGCGGGGCACATAGCTCGTAGAGACGATGGCCGTTGGGGCAGGAAAGTTCTCGAGTGGTCGCGGGCTGGAAGACGTAGCGTGGGCAGGCCTCCTACTAGGTGGAGCGACGATCTGGTGAAGGTCGCGGGAAGAGCCTGGATGCGGGCAGCGCAGGACCGTTCATTGTGGAAAACCTTGGGGGAGGCCTTTGTCCAGCAGTGGACGTCATTTGGCTGAAACGAGGTTAGGGCTAAAGGGCTAGTGTACGTACCGGCGGCACGTGCCAGCAGTGCGCATCAAGCCTGGCTCGCACGGAGGCGGGCACGACGCGCGGCAGGTTGTCGGGCAGCCCGCCGCCCGTCACGTGCGCGGCCGCCTTCACGCGCCCGCTCGCTAAAGCCGCGGCCATTGCCCGTGCGTAGATACGCGTCGGCTTGATCAGCTCCTCGCCTGTGAAAGACATAACATTGAACTATCACTTACCATCAGGTGAGATACAGGCCAAGAGCTTCCTCGTTGAGGATATTGTGCCTACTTTGTACTCAGTTAATTATAAAATATGATTGCATCATTCTTTATGCACTCATCACACCATGTATAGCCATGCCATGACCAGGAACATAAAAACCCTCGCCATGTTGCGGAAAACTAATGGTACTAATTTCTTTTAATGGCAACAGTAACTGAAAACTTCATTGTCTATTGCTGTCAAAGTGTAAACAAACTTTATTTTAAATGTGCGCAATTGATTTTGTGAATTAAATTGCTAAAATATTTTTATAGTCGTGAAAGAAAAGTGGTTCACAATGTGTTAAAGTATTTGTCGAAGAGAAATACTAAGGGTTCGGACAATATTTTCATTGAATAATGTTTCCGACAAAGGTTGTCAAATTGACTGACATGTTTATCGTATAGTACAGTCCACTATGAAAATTAGCTGTGGTTTGTTTCAACTACCTATTTTAAAGTTTTTTGTCACTTTCTAAGTGTTGAATTTTATGGAATTGGGAAAGAAGTACCGAGTTTGAAGCGTTCATGAGCAGACATTGCAGTTGAATATTCAAGTTCTGAATTTGATTATTGATGAATAATAAAATAAATTCTACTAGCTCGATTGATGGTTTCATTTAATTTATTTAAACCAGGTTACCTATAATAATATTTTTTCGTTAATTTATGAAAATATCAAATTAGCCCGTAATCCTGAATCCTGATACATAAAGTTAGCCTATTAATTTAACACAGGTACGACTGTACTCAGTGTTGCACTATCAAATGCAATTGACGCGCCTCTATGCCAGGGTTTTTATGTTCCTGGTCAGGCTATACGTACCAAATATTGAGGACAGATTAATCATGTACCTAATAACTTTTCTTTGTCTTTTGCACTCGGCACCAATCCCTAATTTGTAATATTCTATCATAATAACTAGTCTTCGTTTTATATTCAATTAATTACACCGGTCAACAAAAAAATTTTTTTTTTTTGCGCATGGATTTTACTTATTATATTCTGATTATATAAGCAAATTTATGTAAAAAACTGCGATTACAAATCGAAAATATTTGCTTTTTAAAGAGTTATAGCGATTTGAATTTTCCATCTTCATAGTAGAATGTCTCTAAAGATGCACGTCACATTCTCATTGGGATATATTTTATAGATAATTATGGGGGCTTATTCGCAAGAACAAGGGGCACGCTTTCATCAAAATATAGTGGGATTTGAGAGACGACGTTACCAAGGCCAGTATACTGAAAGCATGATAGAGTTAGATTTTTATGAGAAAAATCTTCTAAGGAACATGACAGGAAATTAGAACTTTTCATTTTTAATAAATATTTGGAGTCTATTTTAAATTTTCTCTTGTGAGAATGAATCTTAAATGGATGTTTGGTATGTTTTAATAATTAGAAAGAATGAAAGTAAGAAAGAAAAAAAAATATTTGGCAACAAATTAAATCATCTCTATGTTCATGTTTCATACATTCATTGATATGATTTTTTCTATTTTTTATACATAAAAGCAAATTCAGAACAAATTTTTGTTAATATTCTTATTTCTAGGTATTATAGCAATAAAAATAAGCTATGCATAACCCGTGCGCAAAAATGCTGTAGACAGTTGTTATTACCTCACTCTTTGTACCACTGTTGCACGAACAACATCAAATACAGGGTGTTTGGCGCATCGTGTGCCAAAATGATTTGGCGGATAGAATGGGTCATTTCCTATATTTTCAGCCCCCATAACACGTTCCATGCCAGGCGGCTACTTTTAAATTAATTTTTTTAGTAATTTCACCAAAATACCCAAATCGCATCATTTAATTTCGATTTAAAAAAAAACTACTAGGCGCAGCCCTAAAGTAAATATTTTGTTTTGACGTGCATTAATGTAGGGTTGCATCAAATCTAAATTTACTGGCAAATATCATCTAGTTTTTTTTAAATTCAGCTTTGAAGTTTTCCGAAAAGTTAAAAATGGACTGAACATTTAAGTTTACATGGGTATAATTTTTTTTTAAAAGAGATAGCGATCTTAGGATTTTACCAAAACTTCTCTAGTCTATCCTCATTCAAACGGTATACTAATCTTGTTTAAACAATAACAACAACTTCACAAATTCCTTAAATTAGTGCATTGACTCTACTCGGACTGATTTGCGAAATTTGTGTTTATAGCCCCTTTATGTTTGAATAGCACGTTTAACACCTACAGGTAAAAAATATTAAAGGGGCTATAAACACAAATTTCGCAAATCAGTCCGAGTAGAGTCAATGCACTAATTTAAGGAATTTGTGAAGTTGTTGTTATTATTTAAACAAGATTAGTATACCGTTTGAATGAGGATAGACTAGGGAAGTTTTGATAAAATCCGAAGATCGCTATCTCTTTTAAAAAAAAATTATACCCATGTAAACTTAAATGTTCAGTCCATTTTTAACTTTTCGGAAAACTTCAAAGCTGAATTTAAAAAAAACTAGATGATATTTGCCAGTAAATTTAGATTTGATGCAACCCTACATTAATGCACGTCAAAACAAAATATTTACTTTAGGACTGCGCCTAGTAGTTTTTTTTTAAATCGAAATTAAATGATGCGATTTGGGTATTTTGGTGAAATTACTAAAAAAATTAATTTAAAAGTAGCCGCCTGGCATGGAACGTGTTATGGGGGCTGAAAATATAGGAAATGACCCATTCTATCCGCCAAATCATTTTGGCACACGATGCGCCAAACACCCTGTATATTAATCAACTATTGTCTGGTGTTTTATCTACGTATCTCCCACGAAGAAGTTCTACCTACGACAACCAAAGTATCCAACTCTTCACAATATAAAAAAAAAAGTAGCGTCTTCAAGTAAAGGTTCAGCCAAACCAACGCGATCACACGCGATCAGACTTAAATGCATTGGTCACCATCGCTGCACGCCGGCTGATCACGTGTGATCGCGTTGGTTTGGCTGAACCTTAAAGCCTTGTAGTCGAGTAATTTTGTCAAGTGGAGAGTGATTTAGGCTGGGTTGCACCATCTTATTTTAACTTTGACAAATGCCAAAAATCTGTCAAACTCCATACAAAATACACCGGTTATCGTTATAGTTATGGTCAAAGTTAGGTGGTGCAACTCAGTCTTATTTGCTAAACGTGTCCGAACACCAAAAATTTAGTCGAGTATATTACTAAATCGTTTAGTCAAGCCATATATTTAGTTCTATTGTATATAATGGCCGCAGAACTAGCAAGCGTTCTTCACGCGCCCGCCCGCTAGTGCCGCGGCCATTGCCCGTGCGTATATGCGCGTGGGCTTGATCAGCTCCTCGCCTGTGAAAGAGGTAAGACTGAACTAGGGTCTGTTAACTGGAGAAAAAGCGAGCATTAAGCATCCCCAACCAGTCTGGCTAACGTGGCGAGTATAGCCTCCCCGAAGACTACAGACTAGTTGGCCGATAGTTGGGGCTGATTCTAATTCGTATGAAGAATCGGCCGATACCAAATCGGTGTAACGTGCAATTTTCATGTCCACATAGCCCGACCCAACTATCGACCGATAAAAAATCTGCAGCTAGTCTAGGCTAAATCCTCGCATGGTAAATTACAGAGGATCGACCTCCCTCCTACACTAATCACTGCTCCAGATGTATTTTAATTACCTAATAACGATAACCGTCACTTAAATTCTAAGAGCCTATACACACCACGCCTTTCATATAATCGGAACGCCATGTTTACACGATGTTATTGCAATCTTTGTGAAAGTCATCTGCATCACACACGTTGACGGTGTCTGACAAAACGAGATGTGTATGAGCCCTTATACCACATACATCAACAACAGTTTACAAGAAAACGAACACGAATTAAAAGCTGCGTTGTTATATAAATAATCCTATAGACTAACCTAACGTGAGTCCTTCTTTGCTGAAGGGAGCCTTGTCCTGGAGCGTGAGACCAGTCTTCTTCATCAGCTTGTGGATCAGACTGAACCCGTTGCTGTGGACGCCGTTTGAGGGCAGCCCAATGATTATATCACCAACCTAAAGAAAACAAAAACATATTTTAACATTATAATTCGATTTCTTATACTGTCACACCCCGGTCTTGCTTATCGCTACAGAATGTAAGAAACGACAAAGAGAAATCTGATTCTGTAACGATCCCGAGTGTGCTTTTGTGATGCGTCAACTTAGACGTTGTAGAACATTGTTGAGGCACATAATATGCAGATTTTAAATTTTATTTTGTCTATAAAATATGTTGTTTAAGACTTCTGTGTTTCTTTTTAATATTAGGTACAAAATGTTGTTATATTCTCACCGTGATGTCGTTAATTTTCGGCAACACCTGTGTCCTTTCCACAACCCCGAGCGCGAAGCCGGCGATATCATACGCGCCTGGTTCATACATGCCCGGCATTTCTGCTGTTTCTCCACCTAGGTAAGATAGTTAACACTTTAAAATTGAACCTAAAAGCTACTTGATTAGAGTTTATAATTACTTTGAGACATAATGACGTTATTCTGTACGCAACAGATAATTTTAGACGCAATATTGAACCTAAATGTAAGAATAATAAGGTATGTTTTTGAATGTTCTACCGATGCGTAGTGGTGTCTTCTACATTTTTATCGAGCCCCAATCAAAGCAATCTTGGAATCATGTTAAATTCAACATTGCGACCATTGAGGTAGGGTTTATAATACATTGATATTCAGAGTCAGTTTCTGCATCATGATGGAAGGATGAGAATCTTTCTTTACACGCGAAATTGAACCTAAATAGCAAACTAATAAGAATAATTTTTGATCATATCTATAAGCGCAGCATTGGCCTGTCTACAGCCCTCAGCGACTCCAGACGCCACGTTCCTCGCTACATTGACGTCCAAAGAACCGCACGCAAAGTAGTCCAAGAACGTCAACGGAGTAGACAAGAATCTTCACACCCTATTTGAAACCTTATTGCCATACTAATAAGAATGCTTCATGATGATTCAACCGCCTCTGTGGTCTAGTGGTTAGACCACCTACTTCAGACGCAGAGGTCCCGGGTTCAATTCCCAGTGGGGGCAGATTTTTCTGTTCGGTTTGGTTGGTGGTAGGGCTTGTTCTAAGCCAGCCTGGCTAGCTACCACCATCTTACCTAAGTCTGTCGCCATAACAACAATGTTAACAGCATTGTTGTGGTCCGGCAGTTAGAGGTAAGATAGCCAGTTCCTCTGTGGTTGAGGATTCCGGGTGAAGCTCGCTTCCACCTTCGGCCTGATCATCACTTATCATCAGGTGAGATACAGGCCAAGAGCTTCCTCGTTGTGGATAAAATAAAAAAATTATGATCATACCTATAAGCGCAGCATTGGCCTGTCTACAGCCCTCAGCGACTCCAGAAACCACATTCCTAGCCACATTAACGTCCAAAGAACCACAAGCAAAGTAGTCCAAGAACGTCAAAGGTGTAGCGCCATTGCACAGTATGTCGTTGATGCACATCGCAACTAAATCGATTCCGATGGTACTGTGTTGGTTGATAGTTTGAGCGATTTTGAGCTTTGTGCCCACGCCGTCAGCTGCTAGGACCAGCACTGGATCCTGTGACAGAGAAAGTAAGAAATTATGAAGATAAGTTTTTTAAATAGAAAAGGCACATATTCCAGAAGCGAACTGCTTGTTTATCAATAAGTAATATAAAGTACAACTTGAACAATATCTTTATGCTACAAAACATTACACGAAAATTGACACGTGCGACTGAACGCCAGTACTTTTTATCAGATACGAGTATATCGATCAAATTACCAACGTTGTAATAAGCGAAAGATCTAGACGGCTATGTTAGTTGTTGGATGATGTGGAAATCTCCTCAACTTGTCCAGAGCTGCAGAGCTGACAAGAAAATTTATTTTGCTATCAATAGAGTTTTGTCTCACCTTGAATTCTTGTTCAATAGCTTTCAGTTGGAAGCAGCCACCGAAGCCACCGAGACCCCCCAAAACTCCTGACCTAGATGTGGACCTGAAACAAAACGAATAGGAATCATGTAAAAATAATGACATTTGTCTATGTACAGTGAATATAGGTCAAGCAACAATAGTTGAGCTATAAACTCAAAGATTTGTATCTGTATTCGGATTGCCTCAACATTCGTTGAGCGACCTATAATACACTAAGGCTTGTTTAAAAAAATCTAAGAATAACTTTTATATTATTTAACTGAATAGAAAATCACTTACCTGGCCAAAGGCTTAATGAGAGAGACGAGAGAGTCCCCAGCCTCAATATCGACTCCGCTGTCTTTGTAAGAGAGAGACTTCTGCCTGACGGCCTGTCCGATCACGTAGGGCGCTGTTAGAGGCGTCATCGCTTCTCTAAAGTTGTCCACCGCCACTTGGTGGCCGCCTAGAAAGAAATAGTTATGTTTAGACTTGACTTGCTTCTTTTGTTCCGTATTAATTATCATAGATTTTTACATATAAATAAAAGAGTTAGATAGTCGCTTTGCAATATTTTTGTTCCAATTTCAACAATCGTTCGTTTCAGCCAAATGATGTCCACTGCTGGACAAAGGCCTCCACCAAGGTTTTCCACAACGTCAGGCACCTCCCGTGACCTTCACCAGATCGTCGGTCCGCCTGTAGGCCTAAGATGCGCGCCGTGATATTTTTTATCGACGTCAAAATGTATGGACAAAATCGATAAAATGGCGAGATAACCGCTTATCGCGGAGCGCATCTTAGGCCTACTGGTGGGGGGCCTGCCCACACTATGTCTTCCGACCCGTGGGCGCTACTCGAGAACCTTTTAGCCCGAGAGGCCATCAGCTCTACGAGCTATGTGCCCCGCCCACTGTCACTTGACTTAACTTGCATAATCATTTCATTGACTTATCAACTCACCCTCCTTCCCGATAGCTTCAACAGTGCCAACGACCCTGATATCCCCTTCTACCAGCGCCAACAGCTCTTTGACCACCACCGGGTCCACGATCAGCACCATGCCTACTCCGCAGTTGAAGGTACGGAGCATCTCAAAGTCGGAGACCATGCCTGGAAAATTTTTGTTGAGGTTAGTACAGGAATGTCAGGGGATTTTTCGATTTGAGCTTTGTGACCTTTTCAATAGGGGCTTGTGTTAAGTTGAGATCTCAGTGAGATTTGACCTTATTTAAAGCTGACAACTTACGTCAACTGTTGTCGTGACAACCGATGTCGTGGTCATGGGTCAAGGAATTCACCCAAGATTCAGCCTGCTCTATTTCTTAACGGTTATTCTACTGTATTGGTTATCAGTTATCTGCCTTCTTCACAGCTTTGAACAGTCCTTATTCCAACTAGCAAAATTTTAGTCTCAAACCTAACTTAGTTTTTACTGGTTGGGTTGTAACAGTGCTGAAGGAAACTGTAGATTTTACAAAAAGTCGCAGTAACAATAAGGGCTAGAGATGGGATGTTCTTCTGATTAATTTCGTTGCGGGTCCAATGACAGTTTAACTTTCCCCCGGGACAAACTTGACCTAAATTGGTTGGGTTTTTGTGGCGGTCAAGCTGTAGATCCTGGCTACACAGGAGTTGCAGTGGTGGGAACGAGAGGTGGGAATAAATTTCTGCGGAGAGCCGGCAATACTTGGCGCACGTAGATGTAGCCTTAAGGACCTCACCCATAAGATAAACCTGCTTTACTGAGTAATTTATACCTAGATCTAAAGAGTGTCTTCATACCTTAGTTTTTCAGTTAGCCGCTTTCTCCGCCGGTCCTTTACTTCTGCAAATTCTAGCTACAAAAAAATCTAAAGCCTGGTCCGTGAGCACGTAGAATTTTGTCCAATGACCCCAAGCTACCCATCCTTATCGCTCGCGCGTAATTATATTGCTGTTGCGACTGTGAGACGCGCGCCCGCAGTGAGTGTGCGAACGCGACAGCAACATAATGGGTAGCTCGGGGTCATTGGACAAAATTCTACGTGCTCATGGACCAGGCTTTATAAGAGGTTACTTTAGTTACCTTTGGCCTGCAGCCATCCAAACAGCGGCTTGATCTGGAACTTGCTGGCGTCGAGTCGCACGCGCAGCCCCGGCGGCAACACGCGCGGTACATTGTCCAACAATCCTCCGCCGGTGATGTGTGCGAGGGCCTTTACGAGGCTTCTGCGGAGAGCCGGCAACACTTGGCGCACGTAGATGCCAGTTGGTTCTAAGAACTCCTCGCCGAATGTTCGTCCTGCAGTACTGAAGGGCGCTTTTTCTGTGTATCTGCGGGGAAATAATGAGTAATTATATTCTTGGACGTTTAGCATGGCGAAAACAAGTCCTAAATTAAGAAAAACTTATGTTATGAGTAGTAGACGATCATATTTATCAAGTTATGTAACAAACTAAGCTTGGATTTTGTAAGTTAACACTTTCATGGGCAGTGAACTTCTATTTTGTCTGGGTTACTGTCCGGGAAAGTGTTGAAGATCTTTTTCCTTCACCTTCACCGCACAGATATCAGCTTAGCTCATGATATAACGAAGTTTCAATCGTACGCATCTACCTTCAACAAAAAATATGTTTCATCTTATCTTAGTTTTAGCATCAACCGTACCAGCACCCGCTCTCAGCCATAATCTTCTGCACCAGACTGTATCCATTGCTGTGTACAGTAGACAAGGGGGCGTGGCCGGTGTCGCAGAAATATGCCCAAAAACAGAACACATTGCTGGTGAGAGCAATGATAACAGCAGCGACGTCATAATGTAAACAGTTTACATTGCTTGCGTAGTATGCGTAGCTTGCGTAGAGTACCGATACTGCAGTGGATTAATTACGCGCACGTAGAATTTTGTCCAGTGACCCCAAGCTACCCATCCTTATCGCTCGCGCGTAATTATATTGCTGTCGCGACTGTGCGACGGGCGCCCGCAGTGAGTGTGCGAGCCCGACAGCAACATAATTACGCGCGAGCGATAAGGATGGGTAGCTTGGGGTCATTGGACAAAATTCTACGTGCTCGCAGACCGGGCTTTAGTGGTCTACTGTACCTGCACCCACTCTCAGCCATGATCTTCTGCACCAGACTGTATCCGTTGCTGTGTACGCCAGTAGAGGGGAGCGCCAACACTACGTCCCCCGCTCGGATCTCTTTGATGCGCGGGAGTTGCTTGAGGTCATATGAAGTGCTTGGTGTAACTCTAGCTATAGTCTGGTCTGCGAGCACGTAGAATTTTGTCCAATGACTCCAAGCTACCCATCCTTATCGCTCGCGCGTAATTATGTTGCTGGGATGGGCAGCTTGGGGTCATTAGACAATATTCTACGTGCTCGCAGACCGGGCTTCAGTGGTCTACTGTACCTGCATCCGCTCTCGGCCATGATCTTCTGCACGAGACTGTATCCATTGCTGTGTACGCCAGTAGAGGGGAGCGCCAACACTACGTCCCCCGCTCGGATCTCCTTGATGCGCGGGAGGTACTTGAGGATATATGAAGTGCTTAGTGTAACTCTAGCTATAGTCTGGTCTGCGATCACGTATAATTTTGTCCAACGACCCCAAGCTACCCATCCTTATCGCTCGCGCGTAATTATGTTGCTGTCGCGCTCGCACACTCACTGCGGGCGCCCGTCGCACAGTCGCGACAGCAATATAATTACGCGCGAGCGATAAGGCTGGGTAGCTTGGGGTCATTGGACAAAATAATACGTGCTCACAGACCGGGCTTTAGTGGTGTACCTCTGGCTAGTGGTCTACTATACCTGCATCCGCTCTCGGCCATGATCTTCTGCACCAGACTGTATCCATTGCTGTGTACGCCAGTAGAGGGGAGCGCCAACACTACGTCCCCCGCGCGGATCTCCTTGATGCGCGGGAGTTGTTTGAGGTTGTCGACCACGCCCACCGCGAAGCCGGCCAGGTCGTATTTGCCTACGTCGTACATTGACGGCATTTCGGCTGTTTCGCCACCTTTGTAGAAGAAAAAAAGGAATTTAAAGGTATAGGTAGCAGCGGCATGCGTAGAAACACCTATTATAAACGCGTGTCAGACGCAAATTAAATATCAAAAGTTGAACGAACTAAAGTTTAGGCTCCAATAAATAAAACGCGTAAATAGCGTGCGTTATTATGACGTCACGCTATAGCACCGAATTGGGTTGGTTGAATGTGGATAGTTTGAAATAGTTTCAAGTCAAAAACAATGGCGGCGCTAGCAGTACGCAACGCGAACGCTCTGTCGCGGCGTTAGGACGGTTTGGCGCCGAGTTCTACATTGTAACAATACAATTCGACGCTATAGCGCAACATCAGGCTAGCACTCTGACGCTGCGTAAGTATACGCATCCTATATGGCGAAGTCATTAAAAGGGAATGAGTTCGCTATGAGCCAATGTTTCCAACTTTTGGAAATTATTTTTTTCGTCGCTAGGAGCATGGATACTTTTGGGACATGCCTATTGCCTCATATTGTTTAATAAATTAATAATTAAAGATAGCCAGTTCCTCCGTGGTTGAGGATTCCGGGTGAAGCTCGCATCCATCTTCGGCCTGATCATCACTTACCATCAGGTGAGATACAGGCTAAGAGCTTCCTCGTTGTGGATAAAAAAATAGGGTCATACCTAGCAAAGCGCAGCCGGAGAGTATACACGCGTCAGCGATGCCCTTGACGATAGACGAGGCCAGCTCGACTTGTAGGCCGTCGCACGCCATGTAGTCCAGGAGCGCAAAGACAACGCCTAATTTCGAATGTTTTTTAGTAAATAGGCCCCGCCCACAACACTGGTATTGTTTTTATAAGTACCTAGTAAGGCGCAGCCGGAGAGTATACACGCATCAGCGATTCCCTTGACGATAGACGAGGCCAGCTCGACTTGTAGACGGCCGCACGCCATATAGTCCAGGAGCGCAAAGACAACGCCTTATGTCGAATGTGTTTTAGTAAGTAGGCCCCGCCCACAACACAACTATTGTTCTTATAAGTACCTAGTAAGGCGCAGCCGGAGAGTATACACGCGTCAGCGATCCCCTTGACGATAGACGAGGCCAGCTCGACTTGTAGACGGCCGCACGCCATGTAGTCCAGGAGCGCAAAGTCAACGCTTAATGCCTAATTTGTTTTAGTGTGTAGGCCCCGCCCACAATACAAGTACTGTTATTGCAAGTACCTTTATAGCGATAAGACCGCCTACATTATGCCGCATCTTTTGTATATTTATTTCTTTTTCTTTTCTTGTTTTATGTAGTGTACAATAAAGTATATATCTACCTAGCAAAGCGCAGCCGGAGAGTATACAAGCATCAGCGATCCCCTTGACGATAGACGAGGCCAGCTCGACTTGTAGACGGCCGCACGCCATGTAGTCCAGGAGCGCAAAGACAACGCTTAATGTCGAATGTGTCTTAGTAATTAGGCCCCGCCCACAACACAACTATTGTTGTTATAAGTACCTAGTAAGGCGCAGCCGGAGAGTATACACGCATCAGCGATCCCCTTGACGATAGATGAGGCCAGCTCGACTTGTAGGCGGCCGCACGCCATGTACTACAGGAGCGCAAAGACAACGCCTAATGTCGAATGTGTTTTAGTAAGTAGGCCCCGCCCACAACACCTTTATTGCGATAAGACCGCCTACATTGTGCCGTATCTTTAATACATTTATTTCTTGACTTTGTTTTTGTTTTGTGTAGTGTACAATAAAGTGTGTTCTGTATTTCTATCTACCTAGCAATGCACAACCGGAGAGTATACAAGCATCAGCGATTCCCTTGACGATAGACGAGGCCAGCTCGACCTGTAGACGGCCGCACGCCATGTAGTCCAGGAAAGCGAAGGGCTCGGCGCCCGCGCACAAGATGTCGTTGACGCACATAGCTACTAGGTCTTGACCGATCATGAAAACAACACCTCATACCTAGTGTGGTTTAGAAGGTTAACCCCGCCCACAACACACGGTTTTCTACAGGCTACACTTCGGAGAATGTGCGAAGGAATTATTCGACCTAATTCCACCAGCCCCCTTCCATCACCGGGGAACCAGACGCAGGTTAGCGTACCTACCATCCCTACATTGTCGACATTCCACAGCTCGCACTATGCGTTTCGATGACTCTTTTATAATGCGAACAGCTAGGGACTGAAATTCGCTGCCTGCTGCTGTCTTTCCTGAACACTATAATCTGGGCTTTTTCAAGGCGAGAGTGAATAGACACTTACAGGGCAGATATTTACCATCCTTGACTGCATCTTACTTAACACCAGGTACGATTGCGGTCAAATACCTGCCTTGTCCCGTATAAAATGCAAGTAGTGCTATTGTACGCGTAAGTACCTAGCAAGGCGCAGCCGGAGAGTATACACGCATCAGCGATTCCCTTGACGATAGACGAGGCCAGCTCGACTTGCAGGCGGCCGCACGGCTTATAGCCCAGGAGCGCAAAGATAACGCCTGACGCCTTATATCGAATGTGTTTTAGTAAGTAGGCACCGCCCACAACACCTTTATAGCGATAAGACCGCCTACATTGTGCCGTATCTTTAATACATTTATTTCTTGACTTTTTTTTTGTTTTGTGTAGTGTACAATAAAGTGTGTTCTGTATTTCTATCTACCTAGCAAGGCGCAGCCGGAGAGTATACACGCGTCAGCAATTCCCTTGACGATAGACGAGGCCAGCTCGACCTGTAGACGGCCGCACGCCATGTAGTCCAGGAAAGCGAAGGGCTCGGCGCCCGCGCACAAGATGTCGTTGACGCACATCGCTACTAAGTCTTGACCGATCGTGTCGTACTTGTTCATTATTTCTGCGATCTGAAACAAGTAGATCCATTGTTTATGTATTTACCTTAATTGAAGACGGAAGTAAAAAAAACATTGTTTTTCGACTTTAACGCTAGGCAGTAAAGTTCAAAATGCTGTAATCATTATTTAGCATTGCTTACTTAAGGATTTAAGAAGACTGGTTTTAGTGTCACGCGGACCGTCCGGTGCGGACCCGCTCCGCACGGCCAATCTGTATGAACTTCTAGGGAGCGTTTTAGAGTAATGCGGTCCGGAGGAACCGCTCCGCTCCCTAGCAATTCATACAGATCGTCTATGCGGAGCGATCCGCACTGACAGTCCGCGTAACACTAAAACCAGCCAAAGGCTTCGTTTTGTGTTTTGATTTTGTGGATCCATGACGCAATCGTGAAATTTTATCTGATATGAATGCTTATTTGTTACTAGATGCCACAGATGGTTCAGTTGACAGTCATTTCTTGTAGTTCCAACTTCCAATGCTATTATGCAATTATTCTTGTTTAGCTTGATGTACCGTCATCTGTTAACTATCACTTTGTGTTCTTGATAACCAATGTAACCTCTGTTAATCCGCTAATTGAAAACACATCTTTACCTTAACTTTGGTCCCAACGCCGTCCGTTCCCTGCACGAGCACGGGGTCTTTCAGCGTGGGGTCCATGGCAGACAGCTGGAAGAGCCCGCTAAAGCACCCCAGTCTTCCCAGCACCCCTCGGCGATGGGTAGCAGTGGCCAGTGGCTCGATCTGACGGACTAGGGTGGCCGCGGCATCAATGTCCACGCCGCTTTGCAGATACGAAAGGCCGTTGAGTCTGGAGAATGATGGCGGTTTTAGAAACGTTGACTGGTTAGGTTGTTTTTTTCTGGAAGGTTTAGGCCTGCATCTCGCAAACTATAGTCTGGTCCGTGAGCACGTAGAATTATGTCCAATGACCCCTAGCTACCCATCCTTATCGCTCGGGCGTAATTATGTTCCTATCGCGCTCGCACACTCACTGCGGGTGCCAGTCGCACAGTCGCGACAGCAATAAGGATGGGTAGCTAGGGGTCATTGGACAAAATTCTACGTGGTCACGGACCGGGCTTTAGAATGTCATGCATGATCAATCATTACTTTCCATCAGGTTTCCAACAGTAAATAATCATTATCTTCTGATGAACATTATGCCTAAACGGGATTCGAACCCGAAACTGCAAAATCCATCATAGCAGCAGGTCTAAATGATGGTCTATAATTTCTTTTACAATGTAATGCTAGCAGAATTAGGTTTAAAATTATTTTTTTAACGTAAGGAAAAGTGCGTTTGCGTTTGCCGATGCCATTGACAAAAGCACATTGTTGTCTATTCTTTGATAGACCATCGAACGTTTATTTGCCAAAACATAACTTGGCACAGACAGTAAGAAAAGGTAAAGGTAAGCACACCTGTTCCAGTCATCCTTTCATAATATGCTTTTTAATTCGGTATTTAATATTATCTGCGAGAGGAGTGAAGACATTGCTCCTAATGAGGGCTATCGTTTTAGCGCTCACCAGTTAGCGCCACTGTAGAGTAAGGTCTGTCACTTGCTAGTAGCGAAGACAGTGGCACCAACTGGTGAGCGCTAAAGTGGTACGAGGACTATCGCATTTGCACTCATCAAGATGGCGCCACTGTAGAGTAAGGTCCTGTCAATCGCCAGGGGTGCCAACTGTTAAGTATAAAAACGATAGCCGACGATATAAAAACGACGTAGCCCTCATTAGGATTTAAGAGATTCTATAGTTATTTATAATCCATATCTTTAAATATACAGGGTGTTAGGTAAATGGGTATATGAGCCTACACTAGCCCATGTTAACATGGGCTTATAAATGGTATGGTGAAGTCAGAAATTTTTTTTTCTTGTTCATTGATGGTTTATTTCAAAAACGTATAAATATTTTATTCAGAACAACAAATTAAAGTACAGGTAATTTACAAACTTAAAAACTATACTATACATATACAAAAAAAATACAATATTTACAAAAAAGAAAATAAAATTAAATTAAAAAAGTATCCCTTTCCCCAGATCTGTCGGTGAGGTTAGCGGTGCCCAAAAGGCTGGCAGCGTTTCCGCGTTGGATCGCTAGGCTTAAACGCTGGCTAAGGTAGAACCCGGCCTTCTGGTCACCGGTAACCTCGATGATGCGGGAGGAATGCTCAGAGAAAAGCTTTTTGGCCTCCGGGCCCCAAGGTCCCAACGTTTCCACGCCGAAAGGTACAAAACGGTAGCAGCTGTCTAAAGCGGAATATTTGCTTTTTTTCAAAGATTCCGCTGAAGCAGCCGCAGCGCCTGCAGCCCTCGACGTGGAAGGCACATGGGAGGGGGCAAGAGTGTCGCAGCAAGTCGCATCCCAGACCAATGCCCGACGCTTAGACCAAGGAATTAATGTCATACCGTCGGGCGTTTTACCATCATCTCATTTTAAATATTTTAATTTTCATACAAATCTTCTAAATTTATTTTGTATGAAAATTAAAATAATTAAAATGAAGATATCAATTTTCTGACTTCACCATACCATTTATATGACCATGTTAACATGGGCTAGTGTCGGCTCATATACCCATTTACCTAACACCCTGTTTATTATTTCTAAGTTAACAACAAAAGGAAGGATAAAATATGACTCGTGTTCAACTGGTTCAAATGTATATGTATGGGAAGTTATCATGAATGTGAGCATCTACGACAACATAAAACAAAAGTACAGCACTACACTTAACATCCATGCAATGAGCCACATGTACCATGCAAGGTGAAAATGAAATCCAAACAAATAAGATGAAGAATTTATTGAAAAATAAAAGAAACAAGACAACAACAATATTGACCTTACCAAAACCTTCCTTTAACAACGCAATTGGTAAGCTAAGAAAACAAATAAATATTTATTATGAATAATGTAAGTAAATAGACATACATTAACAACGTACATGAATGAAGCGAAATAGACTTTGAAGACTTCAATGGAATGTATAGGAATGTAAATGCAAATATCTTTGAATAAGGATTTTTACTTGCAAAATATTTTCTACTTTAATGGAACTTGAACCAACGAAACTCTGACGAAAATTTCAAGTGATTTTGAAACTTATAAAAATGATGAAATGTGTCAATGGCCAAGTGGTTAAGCTGTAGCCCGGAATGCAAAAGGTCAAGTCCCATTTAAAGCAGAAAATAAGTAAAAATCACAAATATATTTATCATTATAAATGCAAAGATCTCAATAACCAGCTAATATATTTTCATGACTTGCGCCCCAAGAGCTACTCGCTGAAACAAAGTTACCAACTTTAGAATACAGCCTTCAAAAACCAACCAACGTACCAACGGCATTAAAATTAAGCAAAGGTAAAACCACAAGTGAAACAGAGGAGTCAACACATATACAATATGTAACAAAAACACCGTCCGATCCTAAAGGGTCATAAAGTAGCTTTAACAACATTACCAAAACTAGTATCAAAATTACGTAATTAATAAAAACAATTTTCTTATCGATTTTTAAAGTCAATAAGTTTAGCAATGATTTACCCTACAACGGGGAAATTTTCAAAAAGCTTTAACACTCTGTCGCCGCGCGGCTTTCTTTAAGACGCTGGGGGTCATGACCTTATGACGTCGCTACGCGTGCCGGCGCATCTCTACCCCTCCCGCGTACCCTCTACACCGCCGTTCGGATTGCCATGTAAGCTTTTTTATTTTTGTAAATTTTGTAATTTTTTTTCATGGGGTATTTTTTTAATAATATTTTATGAAAATTATTACACAAATGGAATCTTAACTCGATACCTATTAACACCTTAATGGATCGGACGGTGTTTCCGTTACATATTATAGATAAAAATATTTAGGTTTAATTTATTATGAAAACATTTCGATCAATGATGGAAACATCAGAAGAGCAGCAATTAATGCAGGCAACCTTTTTATATTCAAAATCAAGGAAACTTCATTGAAAAAGGGTCTAAAGAATCTATAGCATTGAATAAGAATATAGTTGGACAAATGCAAGACTAATTTGAAAACCCATATGACTTCTGCGTGGTATGAAATATCGCCACTAAAATAGCATGTATGTACTTACTTTGAGAAAGCCCTGTGAGCGATATCCTTCCTGTACTGTGCGCCGGGGAAGTCGATGACTGACGCGGCAGCGGTGGCGGCAGCCGCGGCGGCCCTCAACGATGCAGCCCTGATGAAAAAATATATTTACTGTATCTCTGTTCACTTTTACGATATTAGGGGCTGATTTTTCAATCATCAGATATCTTTTAACTACAGAATAAACTTGACATTTATTTCCCATACTGAAATTGTTAATGTGCCAAACCTATTCTTCAGTTAAAAGTTATCCGACGAAAAATCAACCTTAAGTAGGCAATAACTTAACCAGTGAACTCTAGTCACTGTCTTCGATTCCAACATATTTGCAAAGCAACTTTCAGACACACTACGAAAATAATTTATGCTAACTTGTCCCTTGGACCACAGGGTACATACAGCTTGAAGTATTAACATACCTGGCACAAACTAAGAGGACTCGACCGCCCCACGTGACTAAAGAGCCGTTAGCGCCTCGAGCCACGCCACTGTGGAAGACCACCAGGCCTGGGGTAGCTTGAACTTGGGACAATCCTGTAAAATAAATTATCAGCATTTTGACATTTTTGGAGTTGCTTCGAGGATTTTATCAAATTAAAAAAACTTTTGTTACATTAATTTACTAGTAAAAAATCACAAACATATTATTTTTCCGATCTCTTTAAGCACGTTTCGGCTTTGAGCGAGAGCCCATTAAGCAAAACCTTGTACAAACTGTAAATTATAAAATTACTCAAGGAAGTCACTCATCGACGTTTACTTAGATGATATCGTCATACTTACCACTGATCACACAACCCTTAGTGGAGGTTTCTGGATATCCTTTAGATGCTAGGACTACTCCGACAGCTGATAACTTGGTGTTCCACATCAGTTGGTGCTTGTTCAAGGTGCCAGTGACGCATGCCTGGAAGAATTACTAATTGACACTACTAATTCGAAAGATATCCGTAAAACTATACGTATGTGGCTATATTTTAGTTGTTTGTAAACAATGAACTTTTTTTAAGTATTTCTAGAAAGAAGTAGCATGACAGGAAAGTCAAATGGTTAGCTAATTTGGCCTTGGATTGGGATATTTAAAAACATTTGTGAGAGACATTTGTCAGGGGTACTATGGACACGTGGTCAAGCATGTGAATTGTGATATAGATATCTAATAAAACGTGTGATTTTTTGTGCCTTGTGTTTATTATTAGTTAAACATCCAGTTCTATGTATCATGCAAGATAAATAGTTGTTTACGAAAATAAATAGCGCTTCAGTGATAATTCGGTGGACTACGAAGCCGCTGAACAAATTCCTCTCTATCACGTATTTGTTCACTTTTTAAGTGATGATGGTATACCTTCATAACAGTGTAGAGATCTGATTCCAAGAGGGTCACGAGGACTTGGGTCTCGGGATCGCCGAAGCGACAGTTGAACTCCAAGGTCATGGGTCCAGATTTGGTGACCATCATTCCAGCATACAGCACTCCTAAAAGTAAAAGAAAATAAAACGTTATAAGAAGTGATAATTGGGGTAAAGGAAAAAAAGACTTAAAAAGATATAAATTGCTTGAAACTTCTTCATAATACGTATATCAAGCACGACACAGAATAGCAATGAAGCTTCCGGAAAATGCAATGATTGATATCAAAAACTTTTAACCATCTCTTAATGAAAACCTATTAATTAATTTTACTTTGTTAAGGTGTCATCAGCCAATATGAAGCAATCTGAGCAATTTTTGAAAAACATTGCTAATTCCAATTAGTTTTAACGTCAGTCTAAAATGTACTCTATGCTTTAAAAATTAAAGTGTTTTTCCTTCGGATCACTAATTAAGATGTGTATTTGCGTTTCGTTATCAGTGTTTATCGCGAGCTTAATTGTGGCTAGTAAATAAGAAGCAAACAAAGGGGTCGCGGGTCAGTCAGACGTAATGCCACTGACTGAGGCGAGTGACGTAAGAACGCTGTTGAAATTATACAATTTTATGTCTTTTGTTTCGAACAAACAACAACAGATTATTGATCTAATAAAAAAAAATATTAGAGTCACAGTCCAGAGCCGTTGACAATAAAAATATGAAAAACAATATGTTGACTTGATAAGAGACGCAGATAGATAAATTATGTTCCAGTAAAGTTTGGATTACATTAGAAGATGCTAAAAAAATCTGCACCGAACCCAGATCTGTATGGATGCACTAGCTTTTACGTACTGTATTTTCTCTTCGTTTCTTTTGAATACTGACAACTTTCATCAAAATCCATACAATAGTTTTTGCGTGAAAGAGTAACAAAACATCCATACAACCTTTAAAAAGTAAATTAAATTAAAGATATACTTAATTTGTATATTTTAAAGACTGTAAACCCTTGAAAAGGAGGCTGACAATAGTGACTGAGTTTCTTGCGCTGCTTCTTCTCAGCACTGGCCCATTTATTGTCCCGAAGCAGTGGTAGGGTTAATATTGGGACGTGTAAAAGTGATTTTTAAAAGCCTATTTGCCAAAATAAATGAGTTTTTAAGAGTTTTTTAAGTTCATATTTTATTGCATTATGTAAAGATTTTCTGCAGAATAAGATATTGTTAGTTCTTGAGATTTTGCTAAGATTGACATATTAGTTACTAGCTTACGCTGGGAATTATCGTCATAAAGAAAACCTGATTAAGAAAATAATAATTATCAGATACTTATTAGAAACTAAGTATCCGTATTATGACTATAATTGCTTAGTAATAGTTAAATTAATTGCTGCTAGAAAACAACATGCGTTTGAGAACATTAACGCCACGTGTTCTAAATTACTTATAATAAGTCGTTAAGATTAAATACACGCATTATGGCGTCTGAAATGCCTAGAAGTGATTAGTATTGACCTTATGATGAACGCAATAAAGATGTTTAAGATAATAATTTGTAGGTAGGGGAAAATCGAATGGCTTTCTTAACTGCAAGTGATAATAAATTGTGTCATTGCATAAGGACGATAAACTGGTCTTGAACTGCTTTCTGATAGACTGAACCAGATCTCAAAAGTACTGGCAGCTCGAAAAATTATACTCCTGGAAAAAAAATCAACATGATCTATTAACCTAAACCTACGATCTCGTATTTTTTTTTTCTTTTTACTAAGTTGTACTTATAACTTAGAGCGATGGAGCGGGCTATGCACGGAGTTTCCCTGCGTGATCGAATCAGAAATGAGGAGATCCGTAGGAGAACCAGAGTGACTGACATAGCCCGCAGAATCGCTAAAATCAAGTGGCAGTGGACGGGGCACATAGCTCGAAGAGCTGATGGCCGCTGGGGCAGGAAAGTTCTTGAGTGGCGACCACGAGCTGGAAGACGTAGCGTGGGCAGGCCTCCCACTAGGTGGACCGACGATCTGGTGAAGGTCGCGGGAGGTACCTGCATGCAAGCGGCGCAGGACCGGTCTTTGTGGAAATACTTGGGGGAGGCCTTTGTCCAGCAGTGGACGTCTTTCGGCTACGAACGAACGAACTTATAACTGGCCGGAACTAAAAAGCGAGTTATCATATTATTTCTTTATGTCTATGATATGGAGCTAGAACAAGACTACAAAGTTGGAATGGCCATGTATTGATTGTAGAAAAATACCTACTGTGAGGTTTCACGAGAGAAATAGGTAAATAGACATAGCATTTACAAATACAAAAGTACAGTTCAATAAGTTCAACAACGAAACAAAAAACATTGTAATAATTGTACGTTGCCAACCATACAGTGCGTGTAATTACATCAGTGCGCGATATTCGTTATCTATCTACGCAAGACATCTCTCCAATGTTTTCGATGGTCGCCACGAGTCTGTAAACATCTTGTTATCAGCACTTGCACTCTTATGAGACAAAAACCTCAATAACTAATAGTACAAGTTCATTAATGAGACATTAATTAATAAAAATGTAAGATGCAATTTGATTGCACGACGAAGAAGGCCAGTGATTATTTGAAATAAAAAATAACGATATCAGTAAAAAACAAGCTATTTTTAGCATGGTCAAACTCTGATTCCCAATGACGTAAACAGATGGCCCTGTAATTATTAATAAAACATACCTACCTACTTTTTAGCTTAATAAAAACTTAAGAAGATACTCGAAAACGAAAGTTAGTATTTTTTTTTACTTATAAAAAAGTTCAATATTTGTAAAATTGTCTTACTCTTTAAATATTACATTACACTGTATTTAAAGATAGAGAGAACAAAATCTTCATTTCGTCAATTCGAGTTCATTACCTCCAGATACCACTCTAAATATAACGTAACCCGTTGCTACGGCAATAACTTAGATAGCAACTTTATAACAAACTTGCAGTGCTTCTATGCCGTTCCATATTGCAATTTATTAGGGTGAAAGTTCTATTTACTTCTTCCTCGAGAGATATATCAATTTATGTGCAAAGATAGTTAGTAGTAGATAGTAATGCATTCACTTTATAAAGGGTGTCCTAAAAGACTTTTGTTTACAGTTCTAGAACGTCTTCATTTAACCAAATTCTTAGAAGTGTTTTTATTGTTTTTTTTTTTTTTGCAACTTTACAAAATTTCCTTAATATTTACGCCTATTCAAACTCAAAAATTAAATGTTGGGACGCCATCATCAAGCATCCAAAGCTTCACTTGCCCCTGGTAAACTACATAGATTTTCGTGTTCTTGCAGTGCAGTGGAGACTAACGCCCGTATTCAAAAACATTACTACGAGGTCTCACAGTGCGCGTGGACGCACAGGGTGACACACGAAACAATCACAGAGCTCTATTCAACGCTGTGCGTTCGATTTGCTGCTTCACTTAAGCAAGAATCGTTTGTGAATACGGGCGTAAATGACCTGATGATGATAAGTATAAGTTACGGGACTATTCTACAACTTCTGTGTAGCCAGTGAAGGCCAAATTTGTCCCGAGGGAAAGCTAAACTGTTGAAATTAATCAGAAGAGCATAGGAGAACCTGATCGTTAGTACTCACCGACATACTTGATCCCCTCTGCCTTCAGTCCATCAACCGCTCGCTGTAGCACCTGGTCCTTAACATCCGCCAGCTGGTCAGGTGTGATGAGCGGGCAGGGACAGTAAGCACCCATGCCTCCGGTGTTGGGACCCACATCGCCGTCGCCGATGCGTTTGTGGTCCTGTGCTGGAGGCATCATGGACACCGTCTCGCCATCCGTGAATGCCAGAACCTGCGAAATTATTTAATACTCAATCTATTGCATCCTCATTGTTACAAGAGGTTTATTTAGGTTTAGGTTTATTAAAATTAGATACAAATATGTACCCTGTGACCCGCTTTTATGATCTCTATTCAATGAGGGCTATCGTTTTAGCGCTCATCAGTTGGCGCTACTGTAGAGTAAGGTCCTGTCACTTGCTAGTAGCGAAGACAGTGGCACCAGCTGGTGCAAGCAGCGAAAGTGGTAGGAGAACTATCGCATTTGCGCTCATCAAGATGTCGCCACTGTACGGTAAGGTCCTGTCAATCGCCAGGGGTGCCAACTGTTAAGTATAAAAACGATAGCCCTCATTGCGGTTTGCGTTTAAGATTAGTTGATTCCACAAAGGACGATGCACCGCGCTCCGATGGCGAGACTTTTAGAGCATTATTGCACGAGCAAACCGCGGTGGAATGGCTGGTGTGAGAAGATTTATAATATTTTTGTTGTTTAGGCATTTTACACAGCGCCATGTGGTCCCTAACCATGCACAACTGTCGGTCTCATACAACATGAAAATCTTGCTTTTTTGTAAATATTTACACACCTAAATCAATACCAGCATGTATTATGTTCATGCTCACAATTACAAATGTTTGCATTACTGGGGAGTAACCTGCGAACTTAGCGCAGTAGTCCGGTATGCGAATCAAAAGATTCACAATCCAGTTAGGCAAAACAGGAGGCAGCGCCAAGAGGCCATCCGTTATCATCATTACGTTTGGTTCCTCTACTCGATCGTAGTGATGTCAATGAGCGCAATAGCCACGAAGAATTACTAAATGATCATGCCGTGATGCGGTGATGCACTGATATCAATCTCTTTCGTATGTAATACGAGGCGTGGTGAGAAGCGGTATTTTTGTTGCAATAATATATTATTTTTCAAAGACAGATGTCACGAAAATAGATACAGAAGATCAACATCATCTAAAAAGTTATCAGCAGCAATAACAAGCTGTAACTTTATTTTCATTTTAAATAAGCCTTGACAAAACTTTCCGTGACGTCCCATAAAATTTTATGGATCAATTAAATCTTAGCTAATTATTCTGAAAAAAACATTTGTTATTTTCAGATTATCTTATCTGGACCCCAATGGAAGCGTAGTGATGTATGGAGGAACATGACCCCGTTATCGACTTTGACTATAGGTATCATCACTAAAATATAGACTTGAAATAATGTTTGTTTGTTGCTAATATCACTTGCGGGTTTAGAAATTTTCTTTCAATTAAATTGCTTTCTTTTTACATCATCTTTTTACAGCATTTATTATCACCAATAAATCGATCTTTTAGCCCCTATAAAAAAGTATGCAACAAAAAAATATAGCATAATATTCTGTTGCATAAGATGATGTGAAAGCGATGTCGCCAATTTAATGGTGGAATGACCGAAATTATTTGTAATGCAAACAAATTTGTGTTTAATACTGTATCTCATGTTGATAGCCCAATAAAATAAATAAATAAATAAACCTTCGGATGGACGAGGTATGGGTCAAAAGAACCAGGTTATCATTGCGTGAAACCGACTTATTAATATGATAATAATATATTTTCATGGTCACTTCTTCTTTGCTCTCGCCCTATTCCCGTACGTGGGGTCCTTTCCCTACCACGTGAACCCATTTATTTCGCTAGTAAGTTTCCCTCGTATTTTTTGGACATTGGTCATCCAGGTAGTTTTGTCTGGTCATTTCCACATAAGGAGGTATAATAATAATCAATGGTTACTTTAAACTGACTAGCGGCCGCCCGTGACTTCGTACGCGTGGATCCCGTTTTACCCCCTTAGGGGTAAAATCCTTTCTTAGTTCATACCTACGTCACAACATCTACCTGCATGCCAAATTTCATTCAGGCTATGCGTTGATAGATTACTATGTCAGTCAGTCAGCCAGTCACCTTTGAGATATTATATTTAGAAGATATACTTACAGAGACTTCATCTCCATCCAGCAGTTCCTCAATGACCACGGTCTGGCCGGCCACTCCGAACTTCGAGTCCGTGAGGATGTCGTCCACGGCCTCACAGGCTTCCTCCTTCGAGGCAGCCACCACCACACCCTTGCCGGCCGCCAGCCCAGACGCCTTCACCACCAGAGCGGGGTAGGGGGCACTGTTAAATGGAAGGAATAAAATTGCTACTAGCTACCACCTAAATAAAGAAGCTCGATTCCACCTTCATCCCGATTATAACTTTCCTTCAAATTTAGGCTAAGAGCAGCGGCGCGGCGCGCACGCACACACTGACAAAATTTAGCGTTGATTAGCGGTGAGGTCAGGCCTGGCTCACTCCGCGCGGTACATCCGATAATTACCTACAGCGAAGCGCCCCGCCGGCGGGTATTATATCAGTCGAGTGTCACGCGCGCGCCCGTCAGGACGCTGGCGTGCGTTGTAGTACCTAATTCTATGATCGAAGTATTATTTAAAAATGGAAATATTGTGCGGCGTTCGGGTGTTTAAATTCGAAAAGAAATCTACCGGATTTATATTTTTTTTCGCTTCCCAAAGATGCTAAAAGGTATGTTGGCCATGTAGGTAATCAATAATTCTTAGGATAGTATAGGAACCTAACCTACCATGACTACTGCTCAGAATGCGTTCGTTCGTTTCAGCCAAATTACGTCCACCGCTGGACAAAGGCCTCTCCCNAAAAACAACCAAATCGAAATTGTTACATACTACATTATTAAACAAATCCACTGTCTTTGTCCTTAAACCTCTGACATTTTGATAATATATCTTTAAATCAGCGAACTTAACAAAAACAAAAACAATCCAACACGCGGCCAAACAAAAACTAATAGTAATAAGTTAACAAATTAGGTCATCTTTTCTAGAGNGTTACAACAACCTTCGTAGTAAAAACTAAACAGACAGACAACGGACTTATCGCTTCGATCATCACGCAGTGAAATTTAATTTAGTAAAAGGTCACTTCCACTAAATTAAAAATGTGTAGGTACTTTGTTGTGGACACATTAAGCTATTAAGTTGTTTCATCAATTTTCGCGAGTACTTCATCGGTAACATTAGTTGAAGAGCTTTCGACACAGGTGGACATTTATTTTTACAATGATAAAAGTAAATATGAGAGAGCGTACAGCTAATGATCGCTTTTCGATAAAAAATCCTTTAAGTTGTTTGTTGTATTTATTTTCCTTAAGTACTAATTCTCGTCGAGAATTAAACTCTAATTCACACCTTTCTGTAATAAAAATAGTTGTAACAGGCGTCTTGTTTTGTGTGTTGACAGTGTTAAGTATATACTACAGAATTAACAAGGTGTACAGTGATTTAACCGTATCGGTCAGACTGACAGATTTAGTACAAGCAATATACGATTACTTTCAATTTAACGTGGACTTATACTTCGTGTATAAATATGGCAGACGTTATTATCAAGAATACTATAAACAGTATACTACCATCGACCAAGTTTTAGGCGAGTGCAGCTGTAGCCCTATTAGAGCAAAAATTAACAAATTAGTTTTTTTGTTTGCTTCGTTTTGGGTGGCCGTTTCGGCCGTGGATTGTTTTGTATGGGTTTCAACATACGGGTGGATGATCCCTTTTGCTTTTTCATTGACGTACATATATCTTCTTCTAAAAATTCTCACTAATTTAGATTTTACTTACCAAACTATGCACATTGAAGTTCGCTTGGGAATCATGCGGAATTTGATATTAACTCAATACCTTGACTGCGATTCATTGTCTGGGGCGACATCCGACCCAGTCGAAAACAAAAATTGGTTTTATTGCAACTCTTCATCATTCAAACGTCGAGAATTTCCGAAGAACAGTCACTCTGGAATACAATGGCTCAGCAGATGTTACTTGCTGTTGATAGAACAAAGCAGGTTCATAAATCAAAAGTTCGGATTCAGGGTAAGGAATCATAAGATCAAAGGCTTCTTTTGTTCTGAATATTGCTCACCAATTTCGTGACACTTCTCAACAACTATAATAATTCAGCCGATTGTGGTGAGCGAATGAGTGGACGTCCTTTGTCGCGTGCGAAGCCTACGAGGATGTTGTGTCACAGTCTAACACTAATAAATTTCTTTTAAAACTCTTCTAGTACTTAGGTAGCTATTTTCAATCTAAGTTAAACATATGAATTTCAGATGTTACTGAATAGCCTGAGTCTTTTGATTGACATGGTACGGTTCGCGAACCTTGCCATTCGAATCGCAGTCGGATCTGAGGTGAGAAGATTTCCATACGTTAATTTTATTATGTAACTTAATATTACGATTAGTAATTCTCGTAACCCTTCCTCAGTATGTCGTAAATTATTTGGCAATTGTGGCTGCAGTATCCACTATATTCCGGCTGATATTATGCGCTGCCATTCTGACAAACTTGGTTCACCACTGCGAGATGGTTTACCGGCAAAACAATAAGATTATCTGCATCTCTGATTACATGCTCAACTTCAAAAACCCTGGTAAGCAAAGCAACGAGCATTTGACTACTTAATTTGATCGAACTAGCATTGCGAAACTTAGTGGCAGTAGGCAGGGCACATAGCTCGTAGAGCTGATGGCCGTTGGGACAGAAAAGATTTCAAGTGGCGACCACCGGAAGACGTAGAGTAGGCACTTTACAGGGAATTGACAGCGCAGGGCCAAGAAATTCTTGGGGGAGGCCTTTGTCCAGCAGTGGGCGTTATAACGAACGAATCCATCGTAAAATGTTTAATTTATATTATCTTTTTTTGCAGAGCCAAAGCTGCGAGAAGCTATTACCGAGCTTAAAACTCTGATCCAGTCGCGACCCATCACCTTTCACATGGCTAACTTTATTAGGCTGGACTACGCTATGCTGATGTCTACTGCTTCTGTAGTCGTAACCTATACGATTATATTATTGCAAAGTCTTAATTAAAAGCTTAAATAAATACCTAGTACTCGTTTGTTTGTTTATAAAAGTTAGGTAAACCCGAAATAAACAAATTATAGATGACCCCAAAAATTTTAGTTTGGCTGTTATCAGATAAATGGAGATCTTTGAAAATTCAAATAGCAAGTTTTGATTAATAACAGACATAATATAAGAACAGTAGAAGCTAAATAATAGCTCATAAGCAGCTATAATTAACACTATCGCGCTTCCAAGCTCTTCCCATCAGACGAAGTTTCCCCAAACTGCGAGCAGACATTCATTGGTTCAGACTAAATATAGAACACCAAAAACATAACAATAACCTTGGACAGAGTCCCACTTTTTGGGGCATCGATTCAGTGACTGCGTAAGCCATAGTACGCGTGTGTAGTTCAGTAAGGCTTGCTGAACATTGTAGTACTAAACATGAATGAGAATGTGTTGTGTCACGTTGTGTGCTTATTAACCTTATTAAAAAAAACATGAAACATCACGTAAATCTCTAATTCTCAGTGGATTTCCCGACGTGAGCAATTTGATGTTTTATAGAACTGTTTTTCGTCTGTGAAACTTTACAAACATACTTATAAAAACCCAATTCGTCTAGAAATGACTGTCATCAAATAATTATACAAATTAAAACAACACCTACTTATCCTTAGATTCTAAGTACTTATCACAATCTACTATCTAATCTAGCAATTTGTTTTAGTTAGACCTAGTTTACCAAAAATATTAGTAGGTACTTAGTATCATGGAATATTAATAAGTACTGTAGTATGTATTTAGGTACCTGTACCTTTATTTTGAACCAGGTTAGAATGTTCTCACCCAAATCCATACATCTTCTCAACTCTCCCAATGTACCGAAATTTATACATAAATCCGAGAGAGAAGGAAGAGAAAACATTGACTTGAGATGGCCTAGGTGTTAACTGGGAGAGAATGCGCTATAAATCTTTTAGGAATTCGTATTTAAAGGTATTCTTCATCCATCGTATTAGAATACAAAGTAATGTTTTACTTACTGTTGACTATTATTATGCTTTAAATATGCAACAAAGTGTTATTAACTTGCTTAATACTGTGTAATATTATATTACGTTTAATACTTTAATACTCGTAAATTACATTAATAAACGCTTGGTGCCTTTTGCGTCCGTAATCTTACTCGTACATCCACACAAGTAAATCCTTCCAAACAGTCTTTATTTGTGTGTTATACCGTAGTAGTAGTAGGTAGGTATATCTATATGGGTAAAATACCAGAAAGATATTATTACAATATTTTATCAGAACGATAACTCGTATCATTTATAGTCTGATGGTGGCCAGTGGTTGATGGGAATTGGACGTGTCACCACGCAAGTGCTACACCTTGAAGTATTGAATCATTAAAATTGTATTTCTATGAAAAACTGGGAAGTGAAATTTATAAAAATTGAGTGCAAGTTGCAATCGGTGCAATGAAGAGCAAGGTGTATGATTTGAATGGAACGGGGAAAGAAAAAAATGGAGGATTGCCCAAGCCGGATTTTGTACCGAAGGACAAAAAGAATAAGTAAGTACCTATAATGTACCTACCTCTACCTATACTCGTATTATGTTCCACTAGTTGCTTAAAGTTAATAATTTTTCGTTGTTCCTTTTGATCAATTTGATTAATTTCCTTCAAATGTGAAAATTTTACGTTTCAACATTATTAAAAAGTATGAAAAGTCCATGTCCTGAAAAGGGGGAGTTTGCTTTAATTGACAGAAACAATTCGCTGAAACTTTGCAATTATTGTTCTTGAAATACAATCAAAGATTTATGCATTGTGAAATCTTTAATTTTATTTTGAAATCGAACAAAAGCTTTTACAGGCACTATCTTATCAATTTACAATAATTTCCAGAAACGCTTTCGGTTCGTTTCATTGACATCTATTTCGTTATGTGGTTTGGTAGGTAGGTACAATTACTTAGGTACAACTATGTAGAACAATTCTGTAAATTAAGTATTAACTGTGGATAAAGTTTAGTAATCCATTTGTGTTTTGTGCTTGTATGGCACTACTTGTACAGTCGAACAAACAATTTGTTACAAAATAACACTTAAAACAACTTCGTATAAAATGCTAATCTTTAGATTGATGTTTCGTCGTATGAATACGATTATACACACTACCAAGGGTGGCACTAAGTTCAATGTATGTATAACCTCATATCCTCTTTTGTGTTTTCTTGTACTGTTTATTTGTATTTGTGTGATGCGCAATGTAATAATGTGTTTTTTTCTTTCTTTCTATCAATCAACATGTTTCCAATGATTTATTTATAGGTTTTATTAACACGATGCCTCGTCAGGCAAATACAGGTAATATTTAACGAAACGTCTTTCGTCGACCGGGTTGCACCGGCCGTGGTCACAGGCTGACTGGAGCGTCGAATTAATTCAATTATGCAACGTAAATGTTTAAAATTAATTATTTTCTCAATTAATTAACCGTACATAATATCGAAAGTGCAAGGGCCCAAGTCAATTTAGTTTTATGGTAAGCTGATTGCTATCGACTGTACTGTTATTACCTAGATCGTAATTCACCAGGTTACTAAGGAGACGATACTGTTGTTGCTAGTATCAACAAATCGATAGTAAGCCACGTCAGGCGATTCGCTTTCCCAAGGCCAGGGCCACCCTCCCACAGGTGGTGTGAAAACCGTGATAACCAACCACCTTGCAATTTCACATCGCTAGTTTGGTCCGAAACTTTTCAGTTATCAAAGCAAGTCATGCATTCTTGGGGTGTGAATCACGATACGATCATGCATTAGTGGCGTCAATTAGAATTTTCCAGATAAGTAGTTTATTGCTATGAAATTTCAGCATATTTTCTTTTTAATAAAAAAATATCGCCTACATTCATGTACAATAGAACTGGCTTAGATCAGGCACCATTTTGAAGAATAATTCAACAAAAATGAAGTTAAATCCTTGAAATAAATAGCCGAGTTTGTAATTAAGGCTGTTGTTAAAATCAACTTTAAAAGCTATTCGTAGGTACGGCTATAATTTGTTATGTGGCGTATTGTAGTAAACTTCATTGTTTAGAACTTTAGAACTACAACCCTTAGAGGCCAAAACCCTAATGATGTCAAACTCTCTTTTTCGGTAATAAGTAATAAATCAGTGGCAAAAGGACTACAATAACAAAAGAAAACACAAGCTACAATGCTACGACGTGCTACGTTACTACGAGCTACAAGGCAAGGGTCGTACAGTTCGGTACTACGGAATTTGACTGCTGTATTTTTATGTAGTAATCTCAGTTGAGTGAAAGATTTGAGTAGCGTTTCAGTATTCGGCCGTCAGCGCAGTATATTGCATGTAAAATATATATACATACTCGTACATAACACGTGTGGTTATTAAAACACGCAATTGCAATAATCAAGACTAGCATCACCACAACACAACTGAGAGGAATCTTTGATTGAAAACAATTGATAACAATTTACTGCAATCTCGAATCTTGAAAACAGACTAACAATAGATTATTTACCCATCGACTGTATGTAACTAATAAAACCTACCAATAAACTAGGTACATAGTACTAACTACAACAATGCATAACACATCTAAATAGGTACAAAAAACGCGCGCGACGTTTTTAACTTTCATTTAATTAATTAAACTACAAAACTCATTTATTGTTGCAGTGATTCAGAACCTGAGCCAACTCCAGAAGAAGTACCGAGCGTTTCTTTCTTCAGTTTGGTACGAATAACTTCATTTAGAAATTCCTCTTGTAATCGACTCACCTTGCTACGAGACATCGTAAAATAGTAATATGATATTCAATAAGAGTGTTATTTATCTTTGCAAGATCAGCTTATCTCGAAGACATCGTAATCAGACAAATGATAAAACAACCTATTATGTACATTCATTTTGAACATTTCTAGTATTAGATATTATAAGAAGATTCACAGTATGATAAATATGATAATGAAGCACACGATTCTCTAAAATAGGGGTCTATCTAACACATCGGCAATTTTTCTGGTGCTGATAGGCGATTGCATCGGCTAATACCTGCCTACAAACCCGTTTGCTTCTTGTCTTTCTAAATGTATAACTTTAATTATGTAGCTTCGATTAAGTTTAACTACGGGCACGGATTGATTAAAAATGGTTATTAAGTATCAGATTGTTTGAAGATTTTATCGTCCCATTTTCACTTCCTAATGGAGTAATGGTTTTAAACAAAGCTTTATTTTTAACCACAACAACTGGGAAACTCTTAGCCGGTTTGTTTCATTCGCTCTCGTTAATTTTGAAGAAGAAAACATGGCAATGATGGCCATTTGCTGTCGCATATAATAGAAAAGTGCCGAAGACAAAAAAAACTGCGTTAGATATAAACCTAACAATAATTTCTTTTTTAATTCATTTACAGTATAGATTTGCAAGAACACAAGACAAATGCTATATAGCAGTAGGTATAATATGTTCCATACTGAGTGGTTGTTGCACCCCTCTAGACACACTTCTATTCGCGTCGCTGCTCCAAAGTATGGTGGACTACGGGATATCTCTCCAGATAGGACAGCCAGACCCAGACAGCTTTAAGATCGCCTTCACCGAGTTTGCTATTTACAACTGCATAGTGGGAGCAGCACTAGTCATATTAAGTTACACTGCCACTGTATTGATGAACATTGCTGCGTATAACCAGGTAATTGTAGAATAAGACACGGGACTATTCCCACCTCTTGTTCCCACTGCGGAAACTCTTTTGTAACCAGAATCTACAGCTTTATCGCTAACAAAAATTCTACTAGTGAAGGAAGACTCTAGAAACACAACACGGAATTGATAAAGAATACATCACACGACAGATAGATAAGACATAGATAACTTTAATTTAGATATCCATAATCATTTACGATTATTTTTAGGTATACAAAATTAGACAAGAATACCTAAAAGCAGCGCTGAATCAAGATTTCAAATATTTCGATGTCCACCAAACTGGGGAC